TACAAAATAAGTAAACAGATCGACTAACGGACATGAGTTCAACTTTGGAATTTAACAAACATTGATTATATTGTACACTTGTATTTTTAGTAGTAGTAGTATGATTTATTTAGCACGTCTGGCTACATAAACAGAATAATTATAAACAACTTAAAATCAGTAAATTCAAGCCATATGATGCATATGCTGGGTAAGGTATAGTTGTAGATTTAACAAGTGATTCTTCAACGTTACTTTGAATTTTGTTAAAGTATTCTGATCTTCTATCGCTGCATTTAATTTATTATGTATAATCAATCAATCCTTGGCGGAATACAGAATTGTAACATGCGAGCTGTCTCAGTGAAGTTGGCCCAAAATATGATATTTGTGAATGTTTCTTTAAATGTTTTTATATTTTTAAAGCGTTTTTATTTCGAAGTTGTCTTCTTTGCAAAATGATTAGTGAGAGGTATACAGTTCGAAATATTATTAAATTGTACAAAACAAGAGGATCTGTGGCTCAAAAACCCAGAACTGCAAAACGAATTGGCAACCACAAAAAAGTTTTCAAGAGCAACTTGTCACAGAGCTGCCCAGAAACTGGTATTTAAAACTTACAAGGTAGGCTTAAATAATTTTTTTATTATTCGTTTTTAATCCAGTATTCATGGGTAAAAGAGAATCCTTACTGACAAAGATTCAGAAGACAAACAGACCAGCGTGGACCAAAAGACACAAATTATGGTCTTCGAACCAATGGAACTCCATTATTTGTCATAGTAGGAGTCGTGTCATAAAAACTAAAGAGGAAGAGTTTCAGAATGACTGTCTTAAAAAAAATAAGTTTCCGGCTTCTGTTATGATTTGGGGATCCATGTCAGCAAGTGAAGTGCGAAACGTACACTTTGTGGCAGGTATTATGAATGCTGATATGTACATTATTATGCTTCAAAATAACGTAATACCTGAAATTTAACAAATGCGTTTAAACAATATCGAATGTATCTTCCTACAAGATGATACCGCTTGATGGCTAAAAAAGTAAAAGATTGGATGTTAGAAAACAATATTTCAGTTTTAAAATAGACGTTGCGTAGTCCAGATCTATCTCCGATTGAAACCTTTGTGACACATCATGAAGAAAAAGCTCCGATCGAATCCCGTAAGAACCGTTCCAAAATTGCGAACCCGTCTCCAAGAAATTTGGAACAGTTTTACACCAAATGACTGCCAAACATTAGTTGACACTATGTTAAGAGGTATAGAAGCAGTCGAAAAGGCGATGTAACGCAGTGGTGATTTGCTGCTATGTGGTATCGTTGATTTTTATTAATTGGTATCTTTTTTTTTAATTCCGAGGATATTTTTACTTTGTTACAAAAAATATAGTATTTCAGGCTAATATTAAATAAACATGTCGTATGTTATCAGAAATACATTTTAGATTTAATACGTTTCCGCTAATATGATAAAGTACATAAAACATGTAGTTTTCATAGTTGGGCCAACTTCACTAAGACAGGGCTCGTATATTATAATTTTTGAACATTAAATGGAAGTGAGATTTATTTCTGGTATTATGTAAATAATGGTCAGCATTTGATGATGTTAATTTAGTTAAAAGTAAAAATATTATTTTTTACTTTATAAATAAATATCATGACATGATATTTGATAAAATTTTCACATTGCGCCATTTTAATTTGCTAAGTCTAATTGGGGTACATTTATCTTTATTCAGTATTATTTTCTTGCACTTGTTTTATAAAATTTGCAGTATTTCAAAAATGAAATTATTAGCTACATCTAGAATAGTTGAACAGTACAAGAAATTTGGAAGAATGGTAGTATTATAGATAATTTTTCTAGTAAATAGACCCAAACATCCAGAAACTTGATAGATATCATATTTCTCTGCTAATCTTGTTTATATTTTTCTGATAATGAATATCAAAATTTAATTGAGACTCAACGAAAACCCCAAGGTATTTAATCAATATTTAGTTGCAAATTTAATAACATTTCGTTGTACTTGTACATACTTAATTTGATTTTATTAGAGGCTAACCATTTTCAAGTCCTCATTTATGTGACAGATACCAGACTAAACATTTTGAGTACTTATATGAATCAAAATGTCATCAGCGTAAATTTTTGCACTTTTTGACTATGGCATTTTATATAACAAAGATCAACAAAATATAAACTCAAATCGCACGCTCATGTTAAGTGGGTTGTAACTCTGATAGTGACAATCGTAGATGAGCTGTACTACTAAAACTATGTCTGTGAGCTTACGAAACATCCGCGCACAGATGCAAACTGTAAATATATTATGTATATGTGAAAAGGGTGGTTGTATGATAGTGATACAGGTAGTTTTTCTGAGAACTGCCAAAAACCGTGCAAAGAACTATACCCCATTCGTAGTCTATTTACGCCCAGACAAAACACAACATGCCTAAAAGCGAGAGTGTACAGGTCCGTATGTTCCTCAATGGCCCTGAAATTATCTAACAAAATAAATGATTATTTTATAGAAAATTCGAATGTTCTATTGTTTGAAGCCACGTAGTTTTTTATATTTGCCCAAATCATTTCAATGGGATTTAATTCGCAGTGATAAGGGGATAGCCTTAAAATAGTCTTATTTTGGTTTTTAGCCATTTCGTCAATAACATTAAGATTATATTTATATTTGTGCTGCCTGACTAGATGGATGAGTTCTTCTTTGACCATATTTTCATTGAAACTAACGTCTTTTGATAGGAGCCATTGTTGAATTTCTGCCTTTCTTGTGGACATTGTGGGATTTTTTTCTAGTTTTCTCGTGTGGTATGCAGCATTATCAAGTATAATGACGGCATTGTCGTCAAGTTTCTTCAAACCATCGTTCAAATGAACTCCCGTCCATTTCTTCATGGTAGTCGGTCGTTTTCTTTGACTCAAATGCCCATGGGGCAGTAGGTACAAAGCCATCTTCACTGCCAATGTGACAGATAACAAATTGTTTTTCTTTTCCTTAGTATAATATTCAAGAAAACTAATAATAATACAAGCAGAGTATCTAACAGGTGTTGGTTCCAAATCTAGCAGATATAGCTAAGTTTAGCGCGTGGGCTCATAGATTCAGTCTACTTGTCACTATTTTTACAACACAAATGACGAATTGGTTAGATACACGTACGTGGCTAAGAAGGCTTGTCTTGCTGATTTAATTGTAGAGTCAGCCCATACTTTAGGTTTTGTATGTCCTTTGGCGATTTGTCTCTTGCTATTCGTACTGTTCTATTTTCTGTCATTCTTTTTATGTGTTGATTCCATTTTATTTTTCTTCTTTTGGTCCACAGGTTTATTTCCTCTATACCACATCTCGCTCGTATTTCCTCACTTCTTACTCTGCCTCTTAGAGTTTGGTTTGTTATTATTTTTCGTAAAACTTTCATTTCTGCTGTTTCCAATAATCTTTGTGTTTTCGCCGTATCTGCTCTTCTTTCCGCTGTGTGCGTCATTATCGGTCTTATTGTTGATTTATATATCCTAGTTTTCGTTTCCGTTGTGAGGTATTTGTTTATCCAGATTGTATTGTTGAGACATCCTGCTGCTCTGTTCACCATGTTCACTTATTTTTGTACTTCTTCTTCCACTTTTCCATATCTTGACAGTTTGATTCCCAAGTATTCCGTTTCCATCACTTGTTCTATTATTTTGTTATTTACGACCAGTTTACATCGTCTCGGTTCCGCCGATATCACTATCGATTTAGTTTTCTCTGTTGAAATCACCATGTTGTATATGAGCGCCGTATCTTCGAATTCTTTAATTAATCTTTGTAGGTCAGCTTCATTTTCGGCTATTATTATGGCGTCGTCGGCGTAGCATATTATCTGCATTCCCTTTTCTCCCATTCTATATCCACTTCTTTGTTGAAAATTGTCTTAGGACATGTCTTTTTTGTTCGCTACACGTCTCTCAATAACATGAATTTTCATTTCAAGATGCTCCAAAATTTCGATCTTATATATCGAAGTTGAGTCATTTATTTTAACAGTGAGTAGATCTGATCAAAAGAAATGTTTTTTCCTTTAACATTTTTCTGGTAAAATTAAAGTAACAAAGTTATAGCCCTTTAGAAGTTTGAGTACCGCCCTGTCTCAATAATAATATTATGTGCTCGTGTTTGGCAACAACGGATATAATCCGCCTTATCCGTTCATCGCATCGGAAACAAAAAAGCGAAAGAATTTGAAACGATGTTTTTACTACAATGTACAATCTTATTCAGTTGTAATTAGTCGATGTGTCAGCCGGTAACGCGTGAGTGAATAGTGGTGTTTGTTGCGTGGCTCAAACGAAATAAAAAATGGCACATGTTTACGAAAATGCTGAATGTAGTACAAAGGGCTCGTGAATCAGGTGACTTAAGACCTCACAGGGGACGGCATGCCGGTGCTCCAAGACCGCACGATCAAATACAGGTCCGCACTGAAATACTTGTCGGGAGGATACTTTATAAAACAAGGTAACATTTTTTTTTATTTTTTTTTTATTTTTACACACATATTTTGGTTTATCTTCCTTCTACAATCATTATCTGCAAATTAATGACTCAACTTCAAAGTCACCCTGTATAAATAAGGGCAATTTCTTTTGCCTGAATATTCAAATGTCCCTTCTTGTCACGTTTTCGGGAAGGAGACATCACTGAAGATGAAGCATTGGGATAACTATTCTCAGTTTCATGTGCTGTATCCCTAGACATGCTAACGTATAAACACACGCTATGGATGCACCGAATATGAACAGTAACTGGCGGCGTCATGGCGTTACTTCGAGCCTGAGTTCTATCCTGTCGGATCCTGCACGTGTCCGTAGTTTTATGGCCAAATGACCAATAGCTATTGCAACTCTTAGGCGGCTGCCGCTTTGCCGCGCTGCATCTTTGTTGTGCCGGGGCGTAAATGGACTAAGAATAGGGTGTATACGATTGCAGTATGCATATGACTTTAAAAACTTACCCGGCCCAGCTTCAGGTTTTGTAGAACTTGTTTTTCGGTCCATAATTTTAGGTGAGCAATTTTTTCTATTTGGTTTTGTGATAAGGGTTGGAGGAACCTGAAAATATATTCAATAAAAAACTTGATATTTCTATTAATATTAATATAACACTTCTGTTTTTGATAAGGCATGAAACCAAAGAGAAGATATACCAAAAGATACCCTGTGCGGAATGTTTTGAAGTTTGCCGGTGGCCTTCATTGACCTTATCCCCTTTAAATTGGTTCAGCTTGCATTACTGGTTGCCTTATTTACCACATTTTTCAACAAACTGAATGAAGTAACAAAATATGATGCACGTTATTAGAAAATATTTCAGTCAGCACGCATTTCAACAATGGCAAAGAAACATAAGAATGTTGGCCAGTAGCGTACATAAGGGCAGACACGGCTTTGGTTTTAATATTTTGACGGAAGTATTAGATCCAACAAATTCCAACCGAGTCCCAAAAGCATTGTATTATCTTTTTTCTCGCTTTGCGATTTGATATCGATACGAGTGACAAATTTTTTCGAACCCCTACATGGTAGCCTCAAACACATAAAACCTGATTTTAAAGCTTTAATAGTCATTTCGTATCGTTGGAGAGACGGACATAAATATTTATTTTATAATGGGTTACAAAATACTTGCAAAGAAAGGTTACCTAAAAATATGCAAATAAGTCTGGCAATTTTTATAGTGAGAAACATGTTTATTTTTTATCAGCTTTCCTCCAATATTTTCTTGAATTATGACACTTATGACGAAAATACTGAAAAATACATCTTTTCCGCTGCAAACGTAAAATTACACGTGGTTTCAAAAAAAGCAAGCTGTTTACGGTTCATGCAAGCTTTTCACTCCACAACTTAAAAATATAAAACTGTGTACAGGGTCCGTCAGAACGAACGCAAATTTTTCGAATGGGCACTACATCGAGTGGGCTGGTCCCGTGTCGGTGGGGAAGGGCGTGTGTTAGATAGTGGGAGAAGTGCCGTTGCAGTTGGCAAGATAGTTTGGAACATTGAGCATCGTGTGTTCACTGTACGTCGGTACTTTCAAAACGGCGATTCTGTCGTTCGAACGCAACGTGAGATTCGCGTTCCACGTCGTGGGAGAGTACCAGACCGTAACACCATTTTGAGATGGGTGGAATCATTCTACACAACAGGTAATGTTATGAAGATAAAACCCCTAGGGCGAAACCGTACTGTTAGAACCCCCAACAGAGACAGAGTGAGAGTTGACACGCTGCAAAGCCCGGATCGTTCCGTCCGTTTGCGTGCCAGTTCCCTAGGGATCCACGCGTCCTCTGTACGTCGCATCTTGAAGAAGGATTTAGTGTTCCATCCTTACAAAATCCAAGTTTGTCAACAACTGTTGCCAGGGGAATATGTACAACGTGTTAATTTTTAACGTTGTTTATGAGTGATGAAGCACATTTTCATTTACATGGATACGTCAATAAACAAAATTGTCGATATTGGTCTCCAGTGAACCCCCAACAGTTGCATCAACAGCCCCTGCATACCCAGAAAGTGATAGTTTGGTGTGCAGTAGGCCCAACGCTGATTATTGGCCCTTATTTTTTTTAAGGATGAAGGAGAAACAACTACTGTGAATTCAGAGCATTACATCCACATGCTGAACAAAGATTACCAAAGCAAGCCTCGGCCCCTCGTCGATTTGAAGGAGGAAATAAAAAGAGAAGTAACCCAAATTGCTGCACGGATGCTGGCCGACGCGATAGGCTCATTTCGGGAGAGGCTTGATTCCTGCATTTCGGTTCGAGGACGCCATATACCCGACATAGTGTTTAGAACGTAAATTTTGTTTTACTCAAAAAATGGCATGTATTTCTGAGTATTTTGATGTAATAAAATATTTTTTCCAATACTTATTCTGACTGTACTACTCATATAAAAAACGTGCATTCTTTCTGACAGACCCTGTATAAAGGGTGTCCTCATAGTTGGGACGTTCCTTTACATAGCGTATAGGTCAAGCAATAAAAAGCATGTACTTTTAGTGGCAAGCTTTAAGATAACCGAGGTAGGTTCCAAAAGCAATGAACCAGTACGACCGTGGCACCCTGCCTTCCAAAATCCCCTTCTAAGTCAAAACGTATGATGTACTGGGGCTATGTGAGCCAGTATCCAAACCAGGCATCGCGTAATCTCTAGGTTAACGTAGTTTATAAATTGGCGCAATCCTACAGGGTTTGTCCGGAAAGTAATAGGACTCATTTTCTTCCGCCATGACTGTACTTCGGAGTGTGCGCGCACCGACTGGATTCGGTAGAGGGCATTCCTAGCTAACGAACTAGCGGCTGGTCAGTTGTCTCCGAGCACTTGGAGAGTCAGGACAGGCATTTTCGCGCGACGTGTCTCTGTGAGTGGTGCAAGCCGAAAATGCAGCGTTCGTTAGAGCAGAGGTACGCGGTTAACACGTGTGAAAGGGACCCCCAATTTTTCGAATAACGTAATCACAGGTGACGAGTCGTGGATCTATGAGTATGATCCCGAGACAAAGAGGCAATCTTCCGAGTGGCACACGACGGCGTCTCCTCGCCCAAAAAAGGGAAGAATGAGCATATCCAAAGTAAAAACGATGCTCATTGTTTTTTTTTGGCATCAAAGGCATCGTCCACCATGAATTTGTTTCTCCTGGACAAACCGTCAACGCCAAGTTTTACGTGGAAGTGCTCAGGAGACTCAAACGAAGGGTCAGTCGGGTCCGACAAGACATCGCAGCCGACTGGAAGTTGCACCACGACTACGCCCCAGCTCACATCTTTCTTGTGAACAGCTACCTGGCCAAGGCCGGCATCCCAACGCTTCCGCAGCTGCCCTACAGCCCAGATGTGCCCCCCCCGGACTTTTTTTTGTTTCCTCGTCTGAAAAGGCCGATGAAAGGCAAGCATTTTGAGACGACAGAGGGGATCCAAGCAGCATGCACCGCGGCTCTCAAGGCTATTCCGGAGAATGCCTTCCGTGATGTTGCTTGGAAATCGCACTGGCAGTGCTGCATCGACGCAAAAGGAGCCTATTTTGAAAGTTTTTAAAGAATTGTAACGATTGGCTCAATATTTTTTTTTAAATCGACTCAGTCCTATTACTTTTCGGACAAACCCTGTATAGCAATAACGTAGTTATCGATTTGATATGAACATTTTCAAGGTAATAATTGATACTTCGCGAGTGTACTCAGAACGTTACCGCCATCCTATAGTTTCTTTCCGTCAGAGCTGCATATTTATATACCACTAACAGATATACCAATTACTGGTGGGATTACAGCAAGATAACAAAGTAATGTAACTAAGCCACATTTTTACACGTATTTATGATAATTTTGTATTAAATAAACTGGTAGACAGCTGCTTTGCAATATGGAAAATTTTACCCAAATTCAAATCTCGATATTTTCCCATAGGTCCGTATCTATAGTTACGATTGATGAAATGTCAATTCAAGAAAAAGTGATCAAAAGTAAAACTAAAAATACAATACTGAACTATCAGAATATTTGGAGACAGTTTATGGATTTTATCAAAGAAAGGATTTATAGCATAGACAAAACACTACAATACGGATGCTGGCAAATATTCTCACTGACTGAGCCTACTACATAAAAAAGAAAAATGGTGAGGATTATAAAGATTAGACTGTGTAGAATGTAACTACAAAACTATTGGAATGGAAAAATATTAAGACGAATATTAAATGTAATCTTTCAAGTGACACTGAATTTAAAACAGCCCGCGATGCAAAGAATGCCAAAAGAAAGAAGTTACAAACACACAAAGAAAACAAAGCGCTGTATCACTCACATACAATGAGTTCAAAGTCATGGTATAGAGTATGATAAAGAAATGCCTGCCGACTTACACAAAAAGTTATTTTTGGTTTTATCCTACGAATTAGCATGACGAGGACGAGAGGGTGTACAATGATTTCAAAGAAGATATCAATAAGTCAGAGGAAAAAACTGTCAGACTGGAATACAACCCAATATTCGACAAAACAACTCAAGGAGGTAATAAACATTGTGCTCCTTCCGAGTGGCTGGTTAAAAGAATAGTTAACCCAGATATGTGTCCGGTAAGGTTGTTGAGAATCTTCTTGGAGAAAAGAAATTACGTAAATATTCCGAATTTTTTCTTAACTCTTAATGCTTTTTGGTAATTTGGCTAGTGGTACAACCACATCCATGTCAGAAAAAACATGATCACTCAGACAAAAAAATCAGGTTTGGCGACTGGAAAAGGAATAATCATTCATTGCGTGCAACAGCTATTTCTAACTTAGCAAAAAAAAGGGGTTGAATAGAATACATAGATAAAAATAACTGGACATTCAAATCCGAAATCCATAAAGCCATATTTCCTGGACGAGGAACACCAGTCAAGCGTAATAGAAAAAATGAGAGATAATAATACTGTTAATCCTAATAAAGAAATTAATAATTAAGCTACTGTGCCTACAATAAGCTCTTCAAGTTATAATTTAATAGCAAACTCGAATACATCAGCAAGTAGTGCACCAGACTCAAAAAATACTAATTTTCACAACTGGAATCCATGCAATTTTTAGTTTCGATAAGTTCTGTCGCATTTTAATTTGTCAATATTTCTGTAATTTTTATGTACCTACCTACTTTGTAAATCTAAATAAAATTTCGAACGTAACACATACATACATACATTTTCAACTCGGGAAATATTCTACCGAATTACACTCGTGCATCAAAATAATTTTCCATTTCAAGCATGTTATCAGTAAAACACTGCATTCGAATATTTGGATAAAAAAAAAACAGAGAAAAATGGGTTTGGGGTGGAGCACTTGATGACCAAACTACTAAATTGGAAATTATCATGGCCGCTAATTTAGTGTCCGGACGCAAATGAAAAACTAAAGTTTTTGTAGCTAAACCAAGTGATTTATGACGTATTTCTTCTTATGGAAATTAGGGCCCCACCTTACTCAAACCGTATAATTTTTTTCTAGTTTGAGAGACATTTTACAAAAAACGACTATATACATTAGAAATATAACTTCAAACACGGCTTTTCATTGGTTGAATTTACGAATCACATGTTTTTTGGGACTAAGATACGGATTTCTGTTAGAGAACCATACAGTGCTGAATACTTACAACTTTATCACTTCGCTGACCACTGGGTAACCTAGCCACAGTAGCTTCTGGGCTATCTTCTGGGGGCGGCGGCTGAGTAATCCAATTATACTGTCGTTTATCTAACGGTAGACCCCATCTTTCATATTCTAAACTTTGCGTTCTTAATGTTTCATAACAGTCAAGACACACGACAGCATAGTCGCCATTTTCCAGGAGCAATGAATGTTCTGGTTGAGGATGAAAACGAAGAAAGGGAAAATCCTAAAAAATGAAATACAAGAGATTAGAGATCAAAATCAATAACAACATGATATAATTACATCTCCTTTTATAAATGCTAGTTCCAGTATTATTACACAATGAGACGAATATATAAAGGAAACTTTAAGGGCGAATTGAGCTACAACTGTATCTGCATTTGATGTAGCATACGTTTTTTTATCAACTAGTATCACTATGAATATACGTACTTTAATTAAAAGTGCTCTAACTCTTTTCCTGTAAGTCGTAATGCCGCAAACATAACATCTATAATCATGTGTATTGTACTCTCTCCTATCTGCAGGCGGAGCAGTGGTAGATTGTGCTTCGTATCTGAAAAGACAACAGAAAAAAAATATACTCATTAACGTCGCATGTACCTTTTTTCAACAGCCTGTCTGACAGAGTACTCTTAATACTTTTCATCTGATTGTTTCATAGTGTGTGTATAGAGATGACTGAAAAACAATGTTATCAGTCCCTGTTTTGTCAAAAAATGCATTTATTCTTCAATCGTAACTTGAAACAGATAGCTCTAAAATTTTATGTGAAAATTCCACTTTTATGGAAGAATGACGTGGGTGATAACTTGTTTTCTTATCACTTTCATTTTACAGCAAATTGAGTTTTTAAGAAAAGCAAAGATTTTTTGAAGAGAAAAAGTGATAATAAAAGTAATTAGCCGTTTCATTCTCCCAAAAAAGAGTGTAACGTATCAAAATCACGAAACCTTTTTTTTACTATTTTGATACCTTACCAGTAATTTGAATTTCTCTCTATTAATGATAGAGTACCGATTCCTAGGCCAAACCCTTTTCAATGATTTTCTTTTGACAAATTTCATAATTTATTGATCTATTGAGCTCGAAACTACCTAATCTTGAGAGTACGATTTCACGCAAAATATCTTTCTTTCTTAGCGACTAAGTATTTTGTTGAAGTATTTTAGACACTAATGTTATAATATTTTATTAACGACTATCTCAGAAATTTCCTCATAAAATATCGTTGGTCCCTCGAATACCGATTTCTTTACCCGCAACATTATTTTGGAAAATGAAACGGTCCTGAGGCCTACTCACAGGCAACCAGAGATGTTGTGTATGTAGGGTCGGTTGCGATCTTTTCTGAACGCCTTTGTCAGATTTTTGGGATTCTATTTTTTCCTTGGGCGAAACTCTGTTTCGTTTTGTCTAGGTAGAATATTAGACAATTTTGTTTGTGAATCGGAATTTCTCATTCGTTATTATTTTTGGCATCGAATCTGTGGGGTATAGAATTTTGGAACGACCTCCAACTTTTGACATTGATTGACAATCAACTGACTGACTGACGGAAGACCAGAAATTTCATGTCTGTCATTTTTCCTGTTAAACTTTTGGTTATGTGGGTTCTTCCTCCACTTTCCAGATTTTGGGATATCCAACCAATCACCAGTTTATGGAGTAGCACCTTTTTTAACCTACCCTACGTTTAGTTGTTTGTTTTGGTTTGGTTGCTACTCTCTCCATTTTTATGGGATTTTAACCTCTTCAGCCGTAAATTCTTTTTTTATACCACCTGACCACGTGCATTATTGCATGTCCAGAAGAAGTTTGCTCAATATCTGCTTCCTTTTAGTGGGAAGACATTGAGGAAAACCGCCACCTGCACTCCTCCAGCTTTGTAGCCGATTTCGATTAGAAACCATCCCTTTCTCTCAAAAAAAAAAAACCTGATGTGAAGAGGTAAAACATCATTTTAATTAACTCTTTTATATATATTTATACAGGGTGTAAACGTTATGGTTGTCATTATTGAAATGAGTAATAGGGGGGTTCAAAACAAATTAAAAAAAGTTCAGACCCATGGTCCAAAAGTCAATAGATTTTTGTCTAAATGGCTTTATAGTTTACAACTTTAAGGGCCGTATCGTCAGTCGTTCCTAAAATTGTAGAACGCCTTTATGCCCTCCTTGATTGTCATACTCCTTTCTCTCCTTCAAAAATTTCTAGATTGCACCTGTTCTGTGTCAGCGTCAGCGTTCTCCTATTGTGAAGATGTTTTCTTTTTTAAATTGTAGGAAATTTCAGGCTGATAAGACATGATACAAATCAAAAGCATGCATAATTTGATACGAATGGATATTTGTGACATAACCTCAAAATAGAGCGCTGACACGGAAAAGTAGAAAACTATGACAATCAAGGAGGCCATAAAGGCGTCCTACAATTGTAGGAACGACTGACGGTACGGGCCTATGTGCTTTATATCGACCACAATCACCACAATCTTACTAATTTTTATAATCTAATCTAAAACGTTTTTAAATTGGGTAATTAACAAATAAATGGCATTACGTTTTTCTAAGTTAAGCCAAAATTTGTAGTCAGTAAGTTTCATTAAAGTAAATATTTAAAACACACATGACAACAGCGTGTCGGTCTTTAATCACTCTTATCGAACCGGCAATCGATCGCAAACGGTAACAGTGGTTAGTTATCGTTTTGCATAGATAAATTACTTTATCGTTTTGTCGAGCAGAGCATCGGGCCTGTTTTGTTGTTTTTGTTCGCGTAAGGCGTCGTGTTTATTTACAATGTTCTCGAATAAGAGTTCGCCGACATGTTGTTAGTTTACGGTGAAGCTCGTCAGAATTCAAATCTTGCAGCTCAAATTTATCGCCACAGATTTCGCTAACGGGTACAACCAGACAGAAGGACATTTGTGCAAGTGTACCAAAGACTTCGAGATACAGGAAGTGTTCAGCCCACTAATATTCGCACTCGTGAAAGACAGGTTACTGTAGAGCAGGAGGAACAAAGTTTAAATAACGTGGAAATCAATGCAGATATCAGCACTCGGGAATTAGGCCGCCGCGTAGGACTATCGCATACCATAGTGCATAGAATCCTACGGGAAAATTTGCTTTATCCCTACCATGTACAACGAGTGCAGGCCTTGCTACCAGAAGACTATCCTCGCAGACTAACATTATGTCAGTGGTTTTTGCATAAAAACATTGAAAATCCGGATTTTTTAAAAAACATTCTAGCGACGGACGAATGTACTTTTACGCGAGACGGGATATTAAATTTTCATAATACTCACACGTGGGCCCAAGAACATCCTCATACCATTCGTGAAGGTTATTTCCAATAACGTTTTAAAATAAATATTGGGGCGCGTATTCTTGACGATCAGGTAATCGGCCCTTTCGAGTTACTCCCAAAGTTGTCAGGAGAAGGATACCTTAGCTTTATAACCAATAACCTACCAGAACTTTTGAAACAGACCTTAAACAACATGCCATTACAACGGAAACAGAATTTGTGGTTTCTTCATGACGGGGCACCACCACACATTTTAGAGGCGTCATTCAGTATTTGAATGAACATTATCCAAATTGCTGGATCGGTCGAAATGTTCCTGATACTCGAAAATGGCAAGCAAGATCTCCTGACCTCAAATCGATGGATTTCTGGTATTGGGGAGAACTTAAAGGGATGGTTTATGGGGCTGGTCCAATACCAAGTGAAGCACAAATTCGCGAAAAAAATTTTAATGCTGCTGAAATAATAAATGGACAACTTCGAGGACCTAGAGTAAGAAGAAACTGGGTTCGACGTAATGAAGCTTGTGTGGAAAGTGGGGGACGACATCTTCTTTAAATACAAAAAAGTGCAGTGTGGGTTTTTAAAAGAAAAACAATGTATGTATCAAAATTGTGTTCCCTATTTATAAGTGGATTTTTTTTAATACGTTCAATAAACCTTCACACACCAGGTGATGCGCTGAGACACTTAGTGGTAAGTCCGTTTTTTTTTATTCTTTGCATTTTACGAATACATTATCAAATAATGAAATAAAACCTAAGGACCAAAAATAACAAACTCCATCTTTATTTACACTGCGTTCCGTCGAAATTTGTGTCTGGCATTGCGGCGTTGTCAGATTTTATTTTACTTTAAAGTCGCTTTTCTCTAAAAAAAATGCCGTTTTGATCCCCATGTTATGTGAAACTTTTTGCTTCTTTTAACCCCTCTATCACACACACATTGACTCAACATTTGATTTTATTTATCGTATTTTATTAATTTATTAAATAACTACAAAAAAGGAAGAAGGAAACGCACCACCATTTCCTTTTGTTTTTAAAAAAGGCGGGGCAAGTGGAATATTCACATGCACTTTTAGAGATGTATTAATATTTGTTAAGTTACGATTGCAGAAAAAAAAATGGACAAAAAAGATAACATTGTTTTTTAATCATCTCTATACACCTCATGAAATAATCAGATGAAAAAGATTTACGAGTAGAATACTGCTCAAAACAGGCAGTTGAAAAAGAGACACGCCGCCGTAAACGCTTAAAGACTAAAGGAGATCACACATCTATTCTAGCACTCTACTGATTTTCTAGGTTGGGTGGAAGGAATTCAATTTGATATAAAAATCGTTTCTCAGACGTTAATTTGCCTTCTATTTTTTATACTACCTATTTGGTATGGTGAGAATGGCAATCACTAATTATCAATTTTGATAACAACTGGATTCTTATCTAATCTTACTATGTCAGTGAGCTATGTAGTTATTTACCTCCGCCACTGGTTTACAAGACTATGGTAACAAAATGTGCAAACTAACGCCGATCCATCTTCTCTCAGCTGTTCGGCATTCGGATGACTATTATGGCGTATTAGAGCAGGAAAATACGGTGCGTTACGACCTGAAAACAATTTCGGTATTAATTTCGTCAAAATGTGTTGCTGCGGGGTTGCGTCCAGTAAATACATAATACCCCAACTAGCAAAGTAGTGGTATAAGCTTTTGGTAAAAGAACCGTTCAGCCATAAAAGCTCTCTATTGTTGTTGCCTGAACACCAAAATGCTGGCTTAATGTTGTGTGGAATGCAAATTTGCTTTGTGCAACATATTTGCTCTAAAATGAGGTGTTTAAAATATTCTTATAGCATAGTTATACAACGCCTTCCAGGACAAATTTTTAACCTTTGCATAAACGTATATACAACTATTTTATACGGCATATTTGCACGTTAGTCAAAATGGTTGTGTTGTGGCACCCATGCTAACGTTTATAAAACAAACCCGAGCCTTGTTGCTTTGCTGTGCAATTTACTACATTCGCCAACAAATTGCTCCCAACGGAAGCACTTATACAACTGTTACATATGCTAAATATGTTGGTAAACAACTTCACCATAACCTAACTTTCTGCTGTCATATTTTTGCTAAAATGCGCCATAACCAATGTTTTAAGACAAACAACGCATGCATAACGGTTCAAAATGTTTTGTCAACTGTTCAAACAGAAGATATAGATCTTTTACAAATTCTGGGTAAATCATTCGACTCTGTCGGTATTTCATTTCAGACATTTGTCAAATTGTTGTATAACACCTGCAGGCAACACCAAAATACAACCACCCGCCATATTGGGCAAACATTTATTCCTCTATTTAATATTAAATAATTATGTTTCAGTTCGAAATTACAGATATAAAGTGATAAACATTAGTGCAATTGTGACTAAATATAAGATTTGTGGACGATTTAACGCAGTTTTCCATCTTAAAAATCTAGACATACTTTTGATCATTGTCAAAATATGAATCAAATACGAAACCCGTAGAAATTGGGTAACTAATTTGCACGATAATCACAATAAAATTTGCTGCGCAATAGCCCTTTATCAAAGTGTAGAACTTTAACATATACCTGTGTATGAAATTCACAATGGCCGATATGTAAGCAAACAAGATGACTGTAATGTGTTAGTAATATATTCTTCACTTCGTCTATACACTACATAGGAAATAGTTTGGTTGCAATAAAGTAGAATCACGTAAGAGAATAGTTGTATAGTTGACAAAAACTGAATCTTGCACTGACGCAAAGAGGCTTACACTTTTGTTTTATAACTGTTACCTGCAGCCCTTATACAACGTCTTAAATGACTGAGTGTCCTATTAGGTGTCCCATTCCGCTTGTATAGCTGTTCTAAGAGGGTTTTGCTAATGTTCTTACAGTATACAATGCTGTTTGAAGAATACTTTATAATCATTCTTGCAACTCTAATAGGAGTGATAATTGTTAGTTGGGACCGTACGACACTAATCTAACAAAAAAATACCTGATCTTTAAATTCGGGGATAATCTGAATCCTTTTTGTTTGACAATTTTTGCTGTATATCTAAAAATAAAGTGGTGCGGGGTATTCAAAGGTTTCCGTATTGAAACAACTGAGCCGGTTTTAACAAACTTTTGCTACGAAAATGTAATAATATTTACAATTTTGTTAGTTTCACATGTGGCCGCTAGAGGGCTTTTTCTACCGACAGAAATTATTCTTTTCCTCAAAAACAAAAAATGAATGCATTGGTATGATTTTTTTGTGACAAAGTAGCTAAATGTTGTCTACACAAGTTCGTGAAAACCGCATCTCGGTATCTTGATCCTAACCTAAAATTTAGGCCAAAGAAATTTTATACGGAAATCAATTAAATTTTGATTTTTTAAAATAATTTTTCTGGAATTCTGTTTCATTCATCAAAATAGAATAACCCTTTTTGAAAACATTACAAAATATCGTTAAAAGGTAAGTAAGTAGGTAATGCTAAATGCAAAAGGCATATTTTTATTAAATGCATAATTATTCAATATGGGTATCTACGAAAAAGACAATTAATAGAAGTAGGCCATGGAATACAACAAAACAAATACCTAATCAAAACATAAATAATCCTCAAATTGTCAATAGTTTAACATTACTTTGAGTAATTTTTGTGCTTACAAAATGCGTTTTACAAACGATGAAGCTGTTGATACGAGTATGCTTGCAGTTTATTTTGAATGTCTTCAGAATTCTGCAGGAGCGAAAAGAGTTTACGCGACTCGATATACAAATGGGTGTATTTGCGATGTGAGAGTTTGTTCCCGATTAGTGGGAAGCTTACGAGCCAATGGTGGTTTTCGGCATATGTTTCAACGGTCAAGAATTGGAAGAACACAAGAAAATATTAATCGCGTACTGGGATATATTGAAGGAAATCCTCATGTTAGCTAGCACAAGGGCACAGTGGCGGCTCGTGCCAATTCAGTGAGGTAGTGCCAGAATGGAAGCCATAATTTTGAATCGATTCAAAATTGTAAAGAATAACTTATAACTTACCCCTGATAGTTAGTGGTCAAAGTTCTTGAGGTTCAATAAATCTATATGTCCAAAAAAAAATCAAAAATAAAACTATTTACACACGCGCACCAAATTATAAAACAAGTGTGGAGAAGTACCTATAACTTCAAAGTTTTCTATACATGAAGTCCATTCTTCTTTCTTTTTTGGTAGCAAAGTTTTCGATTACCTTATTATTAAAATTTTCAATGCCACTAACAAAATGTTTTTCTGCAGACAGCATTCCTAAAGCACTAAGCCTTTCTTCCTTCATTGTGTTTCTGAGGAAAGTTTTAATCCGTTTCAGCATTGAAAAAGAGCGTTCTGCTTCAGATGTTGACATCGGTATAGTGATTAAAATACTTAAGAGCTTAAGAGTTTCTTGAAACGTACAATTTAATCCTTCCTCGTTCAATAAAATGGATAGTGGAACAGCTCCAGAAGTAGTACTCAATTCTTCTCTCTGATATAATACTTGTAACTCAGTTTTAAGCCTGTTTTTGTCTAAAAATGAAAATTGTGTGCATGTGTCATTTAAATGTGCTTCAGGAAACTGATGTTTATAAACAGAAAACTTTTCAGACACAAATAAATTAGAAGCAACTAAATGTCCAGAAAAGTTAAATCTTGTTCTTATTTGCGATAATACTGCATCGCATATTTCTAACGCTTCCCGTTTTTTGCTGCCTTCTTCAACTTGCCTTTTTTTTCTTGCCGGTTCATCAGTTTCTCTCTGCACTCGTTCAATCTCGTCAATAATGCTATCCATTTGTTCTCGTATAGTTTGAATCGCTGCTTCAAAATTCTCTAAATCATTTTTGACCTTAACAGAATCGGTGCATACTTTTTGTAATTGGTTAAAGACAATTTCAACATGTGGCATTATTTTATGGAATATACTTAGCCAAAATACAAAATTTGTATCTTGCAGCTGTAATTTGTACCCACTGGCTTGATTAATCGACGAAGAATCGCGTGAAGTACTTTCTATATTGTCCATAACTTCAATCAGGTCATTCCTATTTTCATAAACTGTATGAACACCTCGTGACTGAAAATTCCAACGTGTTTGGGAAGATCTTGGCAATCTGCAATTAACTATTTCATCCAAAATTTTTGTTCTTTGAGGAGACGTCGAAAAAAAAGAGCACAATCCAGATAAATTATGGAAAAATATTCTAGCCTGCTTATTGACAGAGCATGCGCTTGTCATAATTAGATTTAACTGGTGTGCATAGCAATGAACATAATTTGCAAGTGGATAAGTTTCCTTAATAATTTTTTGAACGCCATTCAATTCACCACTCATAACAGACGCACCATCATAGCTTTGAGCTATTAATTTGTTTGGATTTTGATCTAGTAATGGATTTACAACATTTAAAACGCATGCAGCGATTGATTTGGCATCGTGTCCGTCGGGGACGTAAAATCTCCAAAATCTCTCAACTGGTTGTCCTTTACACAAATATCTGAAAATAATAACTAACTGAAATTCACAGGCTACGTCAGTCGTTTCATCGGCAATTACTGCAACAAAAGGAGAATTTGCAATCTCCTTCTTAACTTCTTCATGATAAACATCTAGCATGCACTCAAGAAGCTCGTTTTGAGTTGTTTTTGAGGTACCCTTGAAAAGTTTGGCACTTTGAATATGGACTTTCAATTCGTTGTCTAATTCGGCGCTAAAATTCACCAGCTCCTTAAATATGCCTCTGTTTTCCGAATTTTCCTTTTCATCGGGACCCCTTAAGGCTAACTCAAATGCTCCACAAAACCTTATACAATTAATAATTTTATTCAATACATATCGATTCTTATCCACTTGATTATTATGTTTAATTAGATCATTGCGATAAGCCGAATTGAGTTGAGTCCTTATATTTAATTTACCAAGAATAGAAAAGCTAAAAACATTATTCATATGGACTTTAGATTTTTCGTGGGTCTTCATTTTATCCCATATATGTATAAGATCGTCTGTACCTTTTTTTGACCAAGTCTCGTCACCTCCAAATAGAACACATACAAAACAAAATAGTTTATTCGTTTCTTCACAACCACATATCCAGCTGTTTTTATCGTACACATTTTTATTAAATTTGCGACAGCGCAATTTTTGTCCGCTACCACTTTGTTTCTCAATTTTTAAATCGGGTATTGGCCGTCCTAATTCTTTAATTTGCAGTTTTTGATCCAGCGAAAAACCACTAAATGAGTTTTTTAATATCCCGATTTTATTCATTTTCACTAGTTTTAATAAAACAGTAAAAAATATGATCACAAAACAGAGCAGTTCATGAACACTAGACGTACTAAAACAAAAAAGGTATTTTTCACTTTTCAGGTAAAAAAAGACCGAAATCAGCACTAGACGTAATCATCACGAAACGACCGACCGAACAAAAACACCGCCGATATCACTTGATAACGAATTACGACTGATGATGTGCCTGGCACAAATTATACTTGTCTTTCGCTATTCACCTCATATAAAAATGTGTAGGGTAGCGTTATCTCTGTCGCTCGTATGCGATGCTAGTAAAATTTCTCTCTTTTTATTTGGGCCGGCCCAAAGTTGGCACAAGTTGATGACGTCAAGGTCAAGGCGTGCTTTCCGTCTCGCGTGGTTCGAGTGCTTGCGGTGTTGTCACGTTGTCAGTGTTGTCACTTCATATAATTTATACAAAAAAAAAAAATGAAAAAGCAGAAAATAAAGTAAAACATTGAAGATTGAAAAAAATATTCTTTTTGAAGAAGACAAGGTAGTGCCATGGCACCGTGGCACTACCTCACGAGCCGCCACTGCAAGGGCATTATCCCTTCAGTTGGGCATACCGCGAACAATGGCTCAAAATATTTTGAAGAACCATATAAGTTCTAATGGCCATCAAAATATAGGGATTTCTTTAAATTTACTTTTGTGAAGCCACCTTTAATAGCGACGGGAGTGTCAATCTGCACAAAATGAATTATTAGTCTGCAGAAAATCCGCATTGGTTGTGTGACGTTCAGCACCAAGGGCGTTCGAGTTTAAATGTGTGGTGTGGCAAACTGGGACGCTGAATTATTGGGGCATATTCTCAGCAACCCCTAAAAGGCAATGTCCTTCTTGACCTTTTGGATGATCAATTACCGTTGTTGTTGGAAGATGTGCCACTGGAAATACGGTAATATTTATTATTTGCTGCATATTAATGCAGTATTTCAACAACGGTCGATTTTAAGAGGAAGTCTGTTACCATGGCCTGCGCGATCACCAGACTTAACTTGTCTTAGTTTTTATTTATGGAGACGGTTAAAGCACATCGTGTTTCAGAGTCAACCTACAACCAGAGAAGATATGATTCGTAATGCAGTACACAGCATACCGAGGGCCTTCTTTTTTAAATCGGTCCGTTTTAGGACCACAACTTAATAAAAAGAAATTCCAGAAAAAAGTTTAAAAAAAATAAATTTTAAGGGATTTCCGTATAAAATCTTTGGGCTAAATCTTCGGTTAGGAACAAGATATCGAGATGTGGTTTTCGCGAGCTTGTTTGGACATCATTTAGCTACTTTTTTATAAAAAAAAAAATGATCAATGCATTTAATTTTTTTTTTTTAGAAACTCAACTATTCAACTTCAAATATTATAACATTTGTAGCCCAAGAATAGCTCTTATCAACTAGCCCAAGTTTGTTAAAATCGGCTCTCTGTGTTTTTTATGGAAATCTTTGATTACCCCCCACCACTTCATTTTTAGATATACAGCAAAAAGTGTCAAACAAAAAAGGTTGAGATTATCCTCGAATTTACAGATCAGGTTAGGTTAATATAGCGGAATTCACAGAATCATAGCTTTTTTAGATTCAAGATTGCAGTTCGCGGCCATTTCAGAAACTTGAAAATATTTTCCAGGTTTTTCTCGTGGCCGTTTTGGTAATAACTTTTCTTGTCTTAAACCTCTACAATTGATAGGTTCCCAGACACAGTACCTCGCATTCTAAGTTGGCCACTCTGTACACCCTGCACAAAATTTGGCGAATATTCGTAGGATAACTGCCGAAAATATTTAACAGTTTCCAGACTCCGTAATATTGTTTCCTTTCAATAGCTTCCACAACTTCAGTTTCTAAGTACTTAAAACCTAGTGTTGCAGATTTAAATGTCCATTCTAATATTAATTGGCACTAGTCACCAAGAATAAGCAGCAACATAAGTTAAATTATCCGCATTATCCGCTTTACTCTCCAAGAATTAGTAATGTTTTAGAATCATATTTCCAACGTTTTGAAACCAACTGAGCATGCACAGTGGAGAAAACATGTTCACCTAATTGGGGTTTTTTTGACACAGGAAAGCTTTTATAGGCATTCTCAGGCAGAAAACTGGACAGTATTACTCTGCCGGCCCTTCCTGCCCGAAGTGTGAGATTCTCCTGAAATGACATCCTAAAACCCCTCAGTCGATCGTCACACATCCCACTAGGGTAATGCTTGCTGCGTTTCTTCATAGTGGGTAGCATTGCTCTAGGTTTTCATACCGAAGGTATTAGTCATCTATTCTCTATTGTAAACATACATATTTTTATACCTATGTACATGTACAACTGAGGAGAATAGAAACCTACTATTGGCTCCTTGTTCTATTTTTGTTCTCCAGAACTTTCCTCAGTATCATTCGCCTCACTATTGGTTGAATATCAACCCATTTTCCCCTCGCGTATATGCGTGAAAATTGTCAGCCGTGAGCCTCTGGTCTGGTAATAAACCCACCTACCACATTCTAGTAAGTGATTGGGAGAATCCTCCTCACCTGTCAAAATGCCATGATCTGTGAGGAACTGTGCAGTATAGTGATCTATCGCACAGCTCCATTGTCAATCCAAGTTTTAATATTTAGGATCAGCCTTCTGATCCATGCACCATGGCCAGTTACATCCCATCTCTCCTGCCATCTGAAAAAAATCGATTGGCGGGATACCAGCTTCCATCAACAGAGCATCGGCCGATTCCGTTCTGTAGGCGCATACCACGCGCAGCACTACTTTTCACTGGCTTCTCAATATTAACTGTCTAGTTTTTTTTTTCTCAAGGCCTTGCTATAGGTATGTAGGAGTTCCCTACAGCATAATCGAGTTTGCCACCCTACCAAAATCCTGCGCCTCTCACTGCTGGGGCCTCCGTCAGATGGTATTAACCATCTCAGAGATGCAACGACCTTATTTACCTTGTCAGTGGTGCGCCTTATATGTTCAATCATACTCAGGTCTTTGTCAAGCTACAGACCCTGATATCTAATTGCATTTTGGCTCCGAATCTCTGAATTATCAACCTTAACAGCTAATGAAGTTAGCTTCTGTCTGACAGAAAGTCTAACACTTCCGTCTTCTCAGGAGCTAAATCTAAAGCTCAAGCCATTTTCTTCCATCCAGATGGTAACTCCCGTATGTCAAGAGTCCGTTAAGTGTATCTCTCTCCTTGCTAGTCATCATCATCGCAAGGTTGTCAGCATACCCTATCAAGCGCTGTTTCAGCAAACCAATTTTTGGTTTGAAAACTAGTTGCGGGCAGTCACAGTACACATCACCTCTGCGAGAGGTAACTTTATCCTCAAAGCAATCATGCAAATTTTCAATCGTGGCGTAAGCTCCGTGACACGTAGAGCCATTTCGGTCTGAACATAGTACGGAGCTACAGGCGGTTAGGCTGGTGGAACGTGTAACCAGAGGATTCACCCTTAACGAAAGTACTGGCATCTTGCTTTTGGATGTCTCAAAAGCATTTGACAAGGTGTGGCACGCGGGCCTCTTGTATAAACTAATCCAAAAGGGCTTCCCTTTTTGGCTTCTAAAACTACTGAAATCCTTCCTTGAAGGTAGGAAATTTCGGATCAAAATTGACAATGTCCTGTCGACAACACGGCTGATTACAGCCGGCGTCCCTCAGGGTTCGGTCCTTGGACCTATCCTTTACTCACTGTACATCCATGACGTCCCTAGTCCCAGCAACTGTGAAGTCTATCTCTATGCTGACGATACTGCATTGGTGGCTCAGTCGTGGTCTGGTGACCTAGTCCATGACAGGCTACAAAGTGCGGTGGAGGAAGTATTAGATTGGGCAAATCGGTGGCTAATTAAAATAAACCATTCGAAAACGCAGGCAATCTACTGTACAAAAAGACGTCGCGGCGTTCCGTCTGAAGTTTCAATGAATGGACTTCGTATGGGAATCCTCCGCTAAGTATCTCGGTGTCATTCTGGACAAAGGGATGACTTGGCGGAACCATATAGAAGCGCTAAAAACTAAATTCCAAATTACGTTTCGACAGCTTTACCCATTATTATGTAAACGTTCAAAATTAAGTTTGATTAACAAGATTCGACTCTATAAGATGGTCATATGCGGCTTGGTGTTTTATTGCTAAAACACACATGCGAAATGTAACAGGTTCTGCAAAGCAGGACGTTGCGCACTATTGCTGATGCCCCACGGTATGTCTCTAACGAAACTCTACATAGAGACCTCGCTGTCCCTTACCTAAAGGACTACATTAAGCAACAGGCGCAGCGGCGCTATAGCAACCCTCTGTTGCGTGAGTCAGTGGACTACACAGTCGAGCAAGTTCACAAGCACAAAAGGCCGCGGCTCGCACTGTAACCAAAATTAACTCGTGAACTTAGAACAACCAAAATTGGAGCATTTTGACACAATCTTTAGAAAAAATCGAATATTTTTAGACCATATGAAAATCTGTGAAGTGATTTTAACAATGCCTAAACGCTGCCTATCCTAAAAGATTCTCTTCTTCCCCTTTGCTCTTGTTCTTCCTTTTCTCCTTTCCTTCCTTTTTTTCCTTAAAATTGTCTGGTTTCTGGGTTACCAGACCTGACAGACTTACAAACTGATACTGTGACTCAAGAGCTAAGGTCCCACGGACCGTTCTGACAACCAACGATGACTTGACGTAGAGCCGTCCTGCTGGAACCACATATTATCTAGGTCCATATGCTTCAATCTGGGCCATCGTTGACGGTCACTACCTCACCAATGTCATTTTCGAAAAAGTATGGACCAGTGACGCCACCGGCCCAAAATCTACACCAAACCGTAACTCAATGCGGATTGTCACCTGATTAACCTGGTGTGTGTTGGTGTCGTCCATATACGGCATTTTTTTTGTTAACACAGTTATTCATCAAAAAATGCACCTAGTCACTAAAAATGATTTTGCTGCCAAAATTGGGAAGCCCAGTCAGCGAACAAACGGTGTTGTCTGAGGTCATGGACTTTTAGCTTTTGGATCCGTTCGATCTTGTACAGGTGAATACCTAAATCTCGAAGCAAAATTCGCCAAGTTAAACTCTCCGAGTTCTTGTGCACGGCGACTGCCTCGGGTTCTGCTGAACACTTTCACGGACCGCTACGATCTCGGTCGAACTTGCCATGGTGATTTGGCAAAAATGACGTAAAAATATTTTTATCATAAAAACATGTTCTTACCTTGTGGTTTGCTATAAACTACTCGGGCTAGAGTCAGTTCTGAATGGAATCCGCAAAGGAAACAGTATATACTGCTGCCTCCAGATCCCGGATTGCTATTACTGCACACAGTCCTATCACTATTTGTGCTTGGAGGAGTGGGGATTCCCCTATCTCCATTAGCTGATGCTGGTGCGGGTATATCATACCTGTAATAAAAACGATGCTTGAAGACCTTATTTGAGTTAATGTATACGTCTTAGGAAAACGTGTAGATGAATTTTTCAGGTACCTTTACCACTATTTGGGGTAGCTATAATATATACATAGGGTATCGCATCCAAAATGAAACAGGCGCATTTACTGGCAGCTCAGTTTTTTTTTTTGAAAAACGCTCAGACCCGTCGATTTTGTTTTCGAGGGGGACATAAGTGTGGCAAAAAATCACGTCAGCACGTGCAGCCCCCTAAGCGGGGGTGACACCACCCCCAAAATCTTAAATGGAAAGGGGGGTCGAGTGATACGTTATTTTAAAGGTCTTTCAATTCCAGTTATAATGATATAAAATTAATGTACTTCAGTTCAGTAGTTTTGAAGATTTATTGATTTAAAGCTTAAATAAAACTAATATATCATCATTAGTGGAGATCAATACATTTGGCAGCAAAGTAATTTAAAAATGAAGAATGATCTGACCCGTTAGGCAAGTAAATGTTGAAAATGGCCACCATGACTCTCCATGCAATAATAAAGATTTTGGTCAAAACGTTGCCGCACATTATGCAATATTTGAGGAGTAATTTGAAGGCACTCATTCACAATTCTTTGTCGCAGGTCTTCTAATGATGTTGGCTGAGTAGCATAGATTTTGCTTTTTAAATGACCCCACATAAAGAAATCCAAAGGTGATAAATCTGGCGATCTTGGGGGCTATTCAATGGCACCTCTTCTACCAATCCATCGATCTAGAAACGTCTGATCTAAATATTGTCGAACACGTAATGCGTAATGTGGTGGGGCACCATCCTGTTGGAACATCAACCTATTCGCAATGTACCGCCGATCATTCTGATTTTCAATTATGGCTGTTAATGCACGATCTATGGCGTATTCCAGTAATTCCAAATACATTTCACCGGTCAAATTTCCAGGTAAGAAAAAAGGACCAACTAAATGATCGCCAAAAATACCAGCCCAAACATTTAATTTTTGTGGCTGCTGTGTATGAACCTCATGATAAATTCTGGGATTAGAATCGGACCAATATCGGCAGTTATGACGATTTACTACGCCATTTAAGAAAAAGGAACATTCGTCCGAAAAGCAAGTGTTGAATAGAAAATGTTCATCGATTATAATTCGTTCACTCATATCTACACAAAATTGTAATCGCCGATCAAAATCGTCTTCATTAAGTTCTTGTACCAGGTGAATTTTATACGGATGAAAACTATGGGCCGTTGGACAGTACTTCGACTAACACCACACACAGTCTCCAGTTTCCCGAAATTTAGCTACAAGTTCTAGAACATATTTTCGATGCACGTTACTGTTCTCATGTCGCTCATTAAATATTTACGCTGTTCTATTAGCGCACTGATTATTTCCGAAAAATATTTCGATGATTTCAACTCTTTCTGCTGTGGTATAAACCATGGTTAATTTATGTAATAAAGCGTTACAAGTTATTTTAGCAACAAAGTTTGGTCAAATCAATCGCAAACTATGTACTAAATTCCTATTTAAATATAAAGGGAATTGAAAGACCTTTAAAATAAGGTATCACTCGACCCATTTAAGATTTTAGGGTTGGTGTCACCCCCGCCCAGGGGGCTGCACGTGTTAACGTGATTTTTTGCCAAACTTGTGTCCCCCTCGAAAACAAAATCGACGGGTCTGAGCGTTTTTCCAAAAAAAAAACTGAGCTGCCAGTAAATGCGTCTGTTTCGTTTTCGATGCGCCACCCTGTATATATATATAAAGAAGAAAAAAGACTCTCAAAACGTCTATTTTTAGAAATGTCCCACATTTTCATGAGAGATCATTGCATGAATAAAAAGACTGATGTTGAACAGCTCAGTGTCATTTATTCCTACCTGTTGAATTGCGAAAAGCTAGAACGGCTACATGTCCAAATTGATCCAACATCTTTACAAAATTAAAATACATTTTCTCACTCACATTTTTAATATAAACTCACATAACCCATCTTTTCAAGGTTGTATCAATATCACACATTCTTGCACTCATATGAACCACACACTCTTTTCCAAAACAAGTTATTCCAGCATTTTAGTAATTTTGGGTGGAGATTTACCGAGCGTCCCTCGTATACTTCATACCCAAAGTTGGACAGGGAGGTGCACATTTCCACGTTCCGTCGCGTCAATCACTTGTCTTCTGTCGACGCTTTACCGTTCCTTGCCTTCCCCCTCTCCACGTGTAGCGGTAGTAAAAGGTTAGGGACTGCATTCCGATTGTTTCAACAAAATGTCTCCCCACGTGTAATATTTTTAGCTTGTTCGGGTTTATTGATATAATTTTTATTTTTTCTTAACTTTTAACGAAGGTATCTGTCGTTTTTTAACAAGCCCAATGTCCCCGTCCTTTTGTTTTTATACTGAACACAAGTTCGATCTTCTCTACGTTCTTTCTGAAACACCTTGTGGCTGCAACCTCACCGACGAGTAAGTTGTCTGACATTTTAAATCTGTCTTCTTTGCTAGCATCACAATTGTGTTTTCAGAATCCTGATGATGGCTCCATAGAGAACGCCGAAAGATTGATTTTATCGTCAAAAGAGTCAACTTTAGCCTAAAAGTTTTGCCAATTTCCCAACTAACAAGTAATTGTATATTTATATTCGATATTTCTTGTGTTCAATGACCTCATTAAATAGTAATGGCCATATTATTATTTCTCATTATTCTTTGAATTTTCAGCATTTCCATGCAGAATTGATTATTACACAATATAGGGTGATTAGTATATTTTAGGGATGACGAACAAGATTTCCGCGCCCTTTTCGGTTTTTTTTACTACTTTTAATCATAGACAATAGTTTTTGCATTGTTTCCCAGTTAAATAAGATTATTCACATCTTTAAGAAATGTGAAAACGCATTTTTCACATACTTTCTACTCCTTATTTAGGGTGGTTCTGGGTACATCCAATATTTTCCTATCCTAGAATTATTATATTATATCAAGCTTCGAACTATCAGAATTTCTACGTAAAATTGATTTAAGACTTTATTATTCAATAAGGGGTGATTAGTGTACCTTAAGGATGACGCTACTAGATTTCCCTGCACTTTTCGGATTTTTCTGACTACTTATAACCATAAACAAAAATAGCAATTTTAACACTGTCCTTTGACTGACTAGTATATATCACTAGTTAATTCATACTATAGTTCCACCGCTAATAACCCTGCGTGTTGATGCGGAATTTAATAAAAAAGAAAAGGTTTCCGCCAGTAGGCATGGGAAGCATAAAGTTTATAACATACCTTCTTCGTTCTAAAGGTACCCTTTCCGCTTCCAGCGCCTCCCACTGCTTCGTCAAATGGTCAACGCACCTCGCACAACTGAGAACCCTGCCATGAGAGTCCATACAGCTGTTCTCCGACGTTCTCGCAACTCTGGCTAAGCACGGAAAGTGCATAGCATGTGAATTGACTCCTTCTGCAGAGGTGCTGACCTGTAAGGAATTCCAGGACAATGGTCTTGCATTAGTCACTGTTTTTTTAATGGAGTTGTAAAGAATCTTACAATACCTGTTGCAAAATAAACAGAACTTTTGAAAGATATCCGATACAAGTAGCGCCATCCATTATCGAACATAGCGTTGGATAGGTACATATTTCATTGATGCCCTGTCAAAATTGCAGGACAATCGAATCACATCACGCGAAGTTATCGAGCTCAAAATGACAGTTACCTTTTTAGCATCGGTCGAAAAATGAGCATCGAACAAAGACCCAATATTAAATAATGTGTTAAGTTGTGATAAAACATTTACCGAGACGCATCAGATGTTGATGCAAGTATATGGTGGTGATTGTTTATCTCGCAGTCGAGTCCACGAGTGGTTTACGCGGTTTAAAGAAGGCCGTGAGTTGCTGAAAGATGACGAACATATTGGCCAGCCAAAATTTGTGATTACGCCAGAGACTGTCGAAAAGGTGCGTGAATTCATCAAAAATTATCCAAAATATTGATTGAGATATACAGAAATGGAATTAACTATCTCTAAAGATCCACTCCATCGAATGTTTGGCAAGAATTTGGGCATAAGAAAGGTTTGTTGGTTTGTTCTGCACAAGCTCACGGATGACCAAAAATTATTTCATCTGAGAGACATCATTAAATAGGCAAAAAAGACAACATTGCGACTGGTGTTAAGAAGTGGACTTTTCAATTCGATCCTGAAACCAAGCGTCAAAGTGCCGACTGGAGGCACCCAAGCGAGCCAACTCCGAAAAAAAAACTGTTTGGAAGAGTCCAAAGCGAAGATAATGTTGATTTGTTTCTACGATTCGATGGGAATTATTCACAAATAATTAATATATATATATATATATATAAAGGGTTGTCCAATAGGGACGCAGGAAAGTAAACGTCAATTTGACATAGACGCCATCTTTGTTTTCTGTCACCGACATGTCATTTTGTTAGTTGAATGTTTACCATTGATCGCTATGGAGTCGTATTCGATTGAAGACCGCATTAAAGTTATTCAAGAGCACTACAAAAATGGTGCAAAAATAAAAAACACGTTTCGCGCGCTTCGTGAACATTTCGGTCGCAACAACCGCACAAACGAAACAACCATCGGTCGTCTGGTGCGTAAATTCGAGGCAACAGGTTCTGTGGCAAATCTGCCAGGCTCTGGCCGGCCAAGGAGCATTCGCACACCGGAAAATATTGCTGTTGTGAAGAAGAGTGTGAGAGACGATCCGAAACAATCAACAACGCGTCGATCCCAAGAATTGGGCATTTCGAGAACCAGTTTGCTCCGCATTCTCCACAAGGATTTGAATGTACACGCCTACAAGATCCAATTGACGCAAGAGCTGCGTCGGGCCGACCATTTTTCGCACCGAACGTTCTCAGATTGGCTCCTTGAACACCGCCAAATTGATGCCAATTTTTCATCAAAAATCATGTTCAGCGACGAAGCGCATTTCACTTTGAATGGGACGGTAAACAAGCAAAACTGCCGCATCTGGGCGAACGAAAATCCCCGTGAGTATCAAGAGCAGCCGATGCATCCTCAAAAAGTGACTGTGTGGTGTGCATTGTGGTCAAAAGGCATCATCGGACATTACTTTTTCGAAAATGCGGCCGGGGACGCCGTTACCGTCAATTTTGAGCGATATCACGTGATGTAGAGGACTATTTTTTGCCGCAACTTGAAGGAATGGATATGGACGATGTTTATTTCCAACAAGACGGTGCAACATGCCACACAACCAACGTCAATATCCATCGATTGCAGTCCTTCTTCGGTGAACATTTGAGCGATATTATTTTTCATACATAAATGGTATAAATGAATCTTCAAAATAAAGTACCCAACTTGATTTGAATATCAATCTTTCTTGTTTTAATATGCGTTTACTTTCCTGCGTCCGTTTTGGACAACCCCATATATATATATATATATATATATATAGAGTTCCAGCACTGCTATGAGGAGTGGAAGAACTGTCTCCAGCGATGTGTGTAGCTTCAGATTGGAGTTATTTTGAGGGTGGCAATATAAAATCAGTCTCATTACTTAATTTACAGACCTCGTAACACGTGTATGATACTAACGTTATAATCAAAATGACTGCTAAGTCAGGTAGGAATATTCAAATTAAAAAATACTTTATTACCACCACATTTAGGGAACTTCACAAAATTAAAGTCATTATCATAACTATGAAACTAGGGACAGTATCGATTTTCATCTGCAAAATTGTAATAGTAACATAACTAAATTAAAAAATCACTATGAATACCCAAAATGCATAGCGATATAATTTTAATAGACAAGAATGTACTTACTGAAAAAGGATTAAAAGAATAATTATACAAAATTGATATTATTGTGATGCGCCTTTATCTTCTCAAAAAAAAAATGGCGTCATATAGTATTTGACTACGTACATCCCACACAATTCTGGTCAAATGAACGTTGTTCAAACTAATCTAGAGGATTTTACTTACCCATTCCATTTGCGATCTCGGAAAAAGTCCAGAACAAATGAAGCAGCGGTAACTTTGACCACCAGTAGAGGTGGTCGTGTGACCATTTTGATCCGGTTGTTGAGGTGAAGTTGGTCTTGATATGACTTGCTATAATAAAAAAAAGACGTTAAGTAAGTTGACTCTGTACTTCCCATGCAACGCTGTCATCAGTTCGTAAAGGACTATGCTTTGCACAAGTTAGCCCTTCTACGAAAAAAGTTAGCTACAAACATGTGCAGGGTGGGCCATTAAGTTGAGCGGATTTTAAAAAACATAGAAAACTTAGGGAAGATAGTTTATATTTTTTATCAAGTAGACACATGGGAACTTTAAAAATAACCTCTTTGAGTGTGAGCCATCGAAGACGTACGCACTTCTCGAATCTCGATTTCAAATTCGTGAAAACTCGCTGGCATTTAGACCATGTAAACTAGAAGAGCGAAACAGACGCCGCGCAATAGTGCACGAATCTCCATTGTTGTAATAAGCCTCAACACAGAACGCACGCTGCTCACCGGTGAACGCTCCATGGCGACTAAATTTCCGAGAACCAAGCTACTTATCCTCACTACCCGTGTCCCGCTCCCACATGCCTGTCACGAGCAATGCGGTTTTGAAATTCGTTCGACTTTATGGTCCACCGTGTATAGGTACATCTTTCATTCATGCCCTGTCAAAATTTCATGACAATCGAACCACTTCACGCGGAGTTATCGTGCTCTAAGTGACAGCGCTTTTTAGCATCGATCGAAAAATGAGCATCGAACAAAAAGCCAATATTAAGTTCTTTATTAAACTTGGTAAAATATGGAATAAGAGGAATCCCACTACAGTGGTTCAAAAGCTATCTGACCGACATGAAAAACTATGTACAATAAGGTTGTTCCAAAAAATGAAAGTTCTTTTTTTTTAAACACATACTCTAATTTTACTTGAACAATGTCAAAACAATTGCAAATAAGGCTTTATATACCTACAACCAAGGCAAACCGTGCCGAGTTGCGTGGAACATGTCAAAACTTGCAGTACTCGTTTGTTCTATTACTAAAAACGCACTGTTTTCGTTCAGTCGACATGTCGAAGGAATTACGCAGTTCTAAAAAGTACTAGCCGTTCGACCGACACAAAATTGATGACAGTTTTCTCGACGAATGTCCAACTTCATGGCTTCATAATGATTCTTTTCTTAAGAATAAGGTGCAAACACTCAGAGCAGTTAACGATACGGCAGAAAGAGTTGTCAAGTCAATGCTAGACTTCCATGGCTAAACCACTGCTGATGAGGAACAAAACATTTTTATAATGTTGCGTACAAGAACACAGGCAGGAATATCCTGACTGAAAAAAGAAAACTTTGATAAGAAAATTCTGTTAATAATGTTCTTTTAATGATAAATATCTAAGAAATATAAGATACAAGTAAAGCAGTGTTTTGGATTCTAAAACTTCAAATAAACGAATACGAAAGCCCCGAGGAGCTATGTTTATACAAACGTTTGGTCTTAAAACACTATCGGCGTAAGAAATTACAAACAGGTATTCTTTATGTTTCAGAACATAGATTATATACTATGGATTCTAAAACTCCAAATAAACAAATAAGAAAGCCCCGAGACATATGTTTGGTCTTAAAATCGATGCGTCCTGCGAACATTGGACACTTATTAAGAAACACCGCCTATGTGAATGTCAGATACTTTTTGAGTTACCTGATTCTTCTTTTAGTAGAAATCATTAACATCCGTTTACTCATAGCAGAAATATCGATCCGGTGTCCAATATCATTTAATTACAATATAATTATTTTGACCTCATTATCCAATGAAAAATGTCTTCCCTAACCTTTACAATGACAGCGACATTAATGAGACTTTTTCATAAATAGCCATCATCCTACCTTCAGCTGCGTTTTCTTCTTAGTTCTGACAAATTTCCTTATATGTACCTTCTTCAAAACTATTCTCAACTTCATAGTTCTATCAGTACACAAACACGTAACTACCAAGTTGAACGCATAATAATTATAATTATGATTTAACACAAAGTTGTTATTCCTCAACTGAGCCAGTTTCAATGCCAATAAAACTAGTAATATTCCACTGGTAACTGATAACAATCTTTACAAGTACTTTTACACAAAAATCATTGACAATATCTGCTTATTTGGACTGATAACAAACTTGTATTCGCCATTTTGTTCAAAGGCACTAATACCTGCATCCAACGTTTGGTTAGACTTCGGTATTACTGACACTGCGTTGCAAATTATTTTCCAAGTTTCAAAAGCAAACATGGGTTATCAGCATTGCCTAACCCCGTGACTGTAGTTCAAGAGTCAACCAAAACAAAAACACACACACCTACTAGATATTTATATGTAATCTGTATCACGAAGGATTTGAATTGGATGTTGATATTAAGAGATAAACATCCGAGCGATAACATAACTGGAAATGTGTGGTTATGACCATTTTCTTCATGTACCTACCGGGTGTTTCAAATTCAACCCTCACCATTGGGATCTCGGAAACGTATTCAGGGTATTTCAAAGTTGAATCATCTATTTTAGCAGCTTGTAGAACTCGTCAAAAGCAGTTGATATACCAAATTGAAAATTATTTAAAAAAATCATTATCAAGTTAAATAGATACCGTTTTTACTAAAACTGGTCAAAAATCATGCTCGGCGAATCCACAACACAGTTCAGTGCGCAGTTCAAGTTCTTCCAGAGTATTTACTGCTCCATCATGATACACCATCTCTTTCAAATAGCCCAAAAAAAAAAAAAAACGCGATGCGTTAAATCCGGAGAGTGAGCAGGCCAAGAAATGGGTCCATTGCGCCCTATACATCTATTCGGAAACTCGTTATTTAGATGTTCATGAGCTTCTCGACCAATAAACATTTACCACGCCAGCCCAAACATTTAAAGCACCTGTCGACTGGAACAAACTGATAAATCAGCGGTCGCCGAACACGCACTCCAATACGGCCACAATGTTCTGTACGATCAAACTGAAATCTATAAACAATGATAATTTCAATAGAAAATAATAAGGACTTGCTTTAAACAAAACGTGGTTCCCAATTTTAAAAAAACACAGCGCAAAAACCACGCCACTTAAGGGACCTAAAGTACCCCCACCAGACAGCTCAGTCCTCAGTCCGCCGATCACCTATAAAACCGCACGCCCATCCAGTTGACCGATCAGTATGAGTCGACCCGCCAAGCCGAGCACTTCGCTCTCGCCGACAGCGCCACTGAAGATGGCTACCGAAGATGTAGCCGAAAGCTCTGGATCAAATCCAACTCGACCACGGCTCAACAGCCCGAAAAACATTAGAATTAGCCTTCATTCTTCAATCCAATAACTAAATTTACAAACATCCGTGGGGCCAGATGGTTTCTTAAAGGAACATCCAGCTGCGGCTGCATTTTGTTGGCACTGTCCGAATGTTAATATTATGTCCACTAGTTCATTCTTTTCGTAAACGTGGGCCATTTTTTTGCACAACATAATCCGAGAAATTAAAGTATACGTACTATTAAAAGACAATTGATCGAACCAAAGACTCCGAATACCTAACAATAACACAAAAAGTTTGGCAAATTTAGATAAACGATAAGAGTAGTGAACAAAAAACGCTAAGACCACACCAATGGTCGAGAATATCAAAAAATATGTGTAATAAGACAAAACACAGTAATAATCTAAAATCACAGATACATAATGTACAAATGACACAGTGGAACTAACGTCATGTGCATGCAAAAACCAAAACGAAGCATTCATGTATTCAGAAATACTGTATGGTTCCAACTGAACTACAACCCATGTCAGGTTTGTTTGAAGGTTTCTGTACCTTTCATCGCTTTCAAATTATTATTATGTATTGAGTTTCTCGCTTATTTATAAAACTAATATACACTTGTTTGTATCTTTTTATCCTAGTGTCGTCCTTTAAGTGTTTTTTATGTTTGTTTATTATACAACTTTGCGGACATGTAAAAGGAGTTTTTTCAGTTACTGTCAGCCTATGCTGAGGTATCAAAACATTCAAAGCTCTTGTACCGTAGGTGTGGGAAAATTGTTTCTATTTTTCACTGTGAACATGACACAACCAAAAATGTAAAGTCCATATACTGACATTAAGGCCATGCAATTTTAGTCGCCTCTACATGTTTTATTAAATTTAATTTGTCTCATTGCTTTTACGGTCTTTTTTTGAATAACATATAATTTTTGCAGTTCTGAGCTGCCTCCAAAAAGTATCATTCCATAACGTAGAATCGATTCAAAATTTGCACAGAATACATTCGGAATTTATATAACTAGACAACACTCTTATTCCCTGTATACAAATGCCGCTTAGAAAGTTTCGAAATTTCAAGTACGTCCGAACAGGGACATAAAACCCAAATTTTCCCCAAATCGTTTTTATTTTTACCTCACTTTATTTACAGTGGGATTTTAAAATAATTTGCACATTAACTTCTCCTCCACAAGACGGCACAATTAGAGTTTCACCATACCTTTTTATTTCTTTATAATTTTCGTTCGAACAAGTCCATGTCCAACTAAGGAAATACAACACCGAATTTAGGAATGGAGACTCCATTTGAATGTACTCGTACAAAATTCCAATATAGCTCCATATTAAACAAAGTTAGTGATGGAAGTTGAAAGAAGATACCTCGTATTGAAAATTTGACTATGCCATCTTGTAGAGGAGAAACAGTGGAAATAACAATATGCAACTAATTTTGAAATCCCATCATAAATACCGTCAGGAAAAAATTAAAATGATAAATCTGGTACATGAAAGAAACTACTATCTGATCATTTGAAGGCCTGCCTAGGAAATTCTGCGTTGTCGAAATAAGTAAGGTTTGACAATGCCAATGTATAACATATTTTTGGAATCAGAATTACAAACTCTATTCACCTGAGCAAAAGTCCAATAATTAAAGTTGGTGTTGGAGGACAAGAGACGAAGTGTCATAGTGAGATTCTAATTATACCATCTTGTAGAGGAGAAAAGCGGCGATTTGCCCTTATTTCGGTGACTTCGTATCTCTTATTGTTTTCGGCTTCCCGATGGTGAGTGTCGAATTTGTAACACACCCGGTATAATTACGTATTGTATTTTTCATCGTATTTATATGTACTTTATTATGAGTATATACAAATAGATAAAAATAGAATTTGTGAGGATTATTTTCCTTATTGTTTCTTAAATATAAATGATGTTTGCGAAATCGGAGCAGCCTTGCTTTGGAGCCCATAGAAACAGATGTAGATACACAAGAAAAGTCCAGTTATCAATTTATCTATTGATAACACAATTATCTAATCCTCTACTGCTAGCGCGGCACGATGTAAAACGGCCAAAGTTGCCATTTAGCATGGCTATATAAAACTGACGGTTAACATTGTTAATATACAAGGTCAGGGTAATCTAAAAATAAAATATTACATTACACTTTAGATTTTTAAATGGAAACCACCATTTTTTTAATTTTTAGATTCTCCATGACGTTTTTAGTAACTTTTGTATATTAAATTTGTGAAGCTATATGAAATTATAATAAAATTCTAGAAATCATTATAAGGGATTTTATCGCAAAAAGTTTCCATAGTAACAAGACTTTAAAATTAATAAACAAGTCTCCGTCCGACTATTAAAAAAACAAAAGCAACTTAGAGTTTACACGCACATCAAGGTTAAACTAAAAATTAATTTGCTATAAAGAGGTAGGTCAATGTGGTAATAAATGCCGAAAGTGGTATCCATGCAATAATAAAGATTTTGTTCGAATCTATTCCTCACATTTTCAAGCATGTCTTGAGTTATTTATCTATATTCAGCCGTAATCCGCTGGCGAAGATCTTGAATGGAATCTGGTTTCGTACTAAAAACTTTTGAAACGCCCCCAAGGAAAATAATCTAAAGGACCTTGGTCCGGAGATCTAGGCGGCCACTCGATAAAGTCACTCCAATATCGTCAATTATGTCTATTTACAGCATCATGTGAGTAGAACGTACACTCATCCGTGAAAGAAATATTAAAAACATATGCATAGTTGATTAAACGTTAGGACATTCATTCGCAAAGCTTCGACCTTCTATAAAAATCGCCTTAATTAATCTTATGAACAAGTTGTATCTTGTACGGGTGTAATTTATTGTCTTTCAAAATTCTTTGTACTGTTGAGAGTGTAAATCCTGAAGAAATAGCCAGTCCACGAGTGCTTTGGGCGTTTTCAAGTGCTACATGTCCCAAATCTGCTATTTCTGCGGCTTGAATAAGTCATTGTTCAATATTTATCACAACTAGGTAGGTAACTTGACAATTTGAAATTAAAGACATTTTTTATGACATATGATGACAATGACTGATGCTAAATGTTCTTGCTGGTATCCATGATTATAATATTTAACTCGAATAGCTTCACAACGATTAAAGATAGGTATAAACTTTATTATACAAAAGTTACTAAAAACTTCATGGAACATATAAAAATTTAAAGAATGGAGGTTTCTAAAATGTAACGCAATATCTTATTTTTGGATTACCCTGTATTGTACGGCTATAGATGAAAAGACGTCCCCTAGAAATCAAAATTTATGTCCGGGCGTTTTTCCCAAAATATATCAGGAGAGTCACAAATGGGGGTGCAACCTTTTCGTTGGGCCACTCTGTATGCTACTCCAAACTTTGCGGACACCCTGTATAGTAGAATATTTCAGATATTTCATATTTGACCACATTTTTAGTCCCATTTCTTTCACTTGCTACCAAAAAATAGGGTCTAAAATCGGTTTTTCCATCAAAAACGGCTGATCAAGAGTTCCTGATCATTTCACATCGCGCGCAGCGTTCGATTTGACAGGTCCACACCACCTGCTTCGCTCATAGCGAATAGTAGTAAAGGAAGATCTTTGAATACTCGAGCCGGATTTGCACAATGGAAGCTTCATGTTTTCTCTCCTTCTTCGTAAGTAGCAAGCTCATTGCTATCCGAACATTATCATGCTAGTAAGCATGCTCCTTCCCGATAAATATCAAACTGTGCTGCATGAACACAGAACACATAGCTAAAGAAATTTCAATAAAGTACACATTTTTTTTATACCGAAGCAGCCGCGCAGGCAGAAGCCAAAATGCCGGAACACCGCGGCTGCTATGATGATCCCAAAAAAATTTTGTTGAACTGAGAAAAGCTTCCTCTTCTAGATTGTTACACAATCCTCGACACCCTCGGGACAAAGAGGCGATCGTATCGCCCAGTTCTGGCTGTACGAAGTTCAACACGGTTAGGATGGGACGCCAAAGCTAGGAGGGTCTGTCTGGCAGACACATCGTGTGGCGGCATCATGGAATAGTGCTTTGAGGAGCAAAGCCCGTTAGTGTAGCGGTAGAAAAGAGGTAGATCGCCGACGGCCCGCCGGTGTGAAATGGTCCCGAGACTTTCTGTTAGAGAAGAGTCATCTATCAGTCGGACCGCCCTCCTCTGGACAGCATCGAGCATAAATAATGTAATCGGAGCAGCAGCACCCCAAACGTGTGAGAATACTCGAGGCTAGGCCTTGTATAGTGATGTCATGCGAAGAAAAGTACTTCTTAGCCCTAAACAAATAGCCTAGCCTTTTCCCAGAAGCTGCCGCTATTGACGAGATATGTTCGTGCCAGATCAGATCCTCGGTGATCTGGACTTCGATCAGCCGAACTGAATGGCTCTTTGGCAGAACTCGGCCATCCAACGAAACCGGTTGAGCGCTAGGACGCTTTTTGTTCGTCAAAGTGCAGTACTGTGTTTTGGAAGCATTAAACTGTACAAGATTGTTGCGTCCCCAAGCAGTGATAACCTCCAAGTCTCTCGTCAGAGAGGAAGTCGTCGCTAGTCTTCTTTTTTGCAGCTCAGCGGCAGAGATCGGCTTGTCACTCTGAATTCCTGCATGTAGAGTGCTGTCATCAGCGAAGCTGTGGATTGGGTTGATCGTGCAGGAAAGGAGGTCGTTGATAAGTAAGAGGAACAGTGTCGGAGCCGAGACCGATCCCTGGGGAACACCCGCGTTGACGTTGTGGGATGAAGAGGAGAACCCATCAATTACGATGAATATCTTGCGGCCAGAGATAAAGTCAGCCACCCATCTGCAAAGCTTTTCTGGGAGGCCATAGGATGGAAGTTTGCATAAGAGGTCAGCATGCCACAGCTGGTCGAATGCTTTCGTAATTTCAAGAGCAACGACATGAGCCTCACCATAAGACTGGATGAGTTTACTGCACAATTGCGTGACGTAAGCTAGGAGGTCCCCTGTGGATCGTTGGTGCCGGAAACCATACTGCCGGTCGCTAATCAGGCTGTGACGTTCGAGGTAGTTCAGTACTTATAACAGAAAGCAGAGCTATAGGCCTGTAGTTGTAAGGGTCGGTCTTAGATCCTTTTTTTGGGATGGGTTGGACAAATGTCCAGTTTTCTGGGAAGGTGCCGGATTCATAACATATCTGGAAGAGACGCGAAAGAACTGGGGCAACCTCCGATGCACACCTTGCAGTACAATGGCCGGAATCAAGTCCGGATCAGAAGCTTTGTTGATGTGGAGCACTCTCGTCTTACGGTCTTATGCCTGAATGTTACCTCCCACATAGTGTGGAGAATCCTTTGAATTGGCGCTACTTGGGCGTTGGGGAGGACGTCCATGGTGGAATTGGCAGCAAAGATCTTGGCAAGCACTTCAGCCTTGGCCTTTGAGTCGGAAACAACCGTTCCATCCTGACACGTAAGTGGTGGAAGGCTACTGTGTGAGAAGTTCTTTTCAATCTGCTTGGCCAGCGTTCACAAATACCGACTGCATTGCGGTGCGACATTACCCTGTGCCTAATATAAACATACTGGTATCTATTTCCCAACATTTTGCTTCCTCATGCGTGTCCCGAAGTAGTGAGGATCTTACTTTGTAAACGATAATGGTTTTCGTTTCTCGATGTACTCGATAAGGATACATCAGCCTGCCCTCAAAAGTCTGATCCCGTTACATACAGACTGCTCGAAAAATAGACGGAGATATTTTAGAGGGTGATTTCCTGTTAAAACATATGGAAAAAAGTTTCTCTAAGCCGGGTCCGGAGTTTTCAAGATACAGGGTGATAGATTTAAACATTTCTTTATTAATATCTTAAAAAATATTTACTCGATTCTGTTGAAATTTGGCAATATTATTTGTTGTATTAAGAGGCTAATTTAGCCATAAATATATTAAAATTATTGGGTATTGTGGCGTCCCGGGGGGCACCTTAGCAAATATTATTGGCAAACAAATGTACACCACTGCCTTTTTTGAAACTTTAATATTTGTTATTCGATTAAGCATCTAAAAATACAACTTCTTTACCTCTTGTATTTTTTTCGTATCTCACTTCGTTTGTGTGTTATGATAATTAACAATATCATCACGCAGAAATCCTGCTTCATCCAAAAAGTATGGTTTTATTAAAATTCCGATTATTATTAACCTCTTGGTAATACCATTGGCAAAAGTGTAAACGAGGCAGAAAATCTCTTGGTAATTATGCTTGGCCATGATAAGAATACAAAAGTTGCTCAAAGAGAACCTGCCACACAGTGCTGTTGAAATTATTATCACCTAATCTAGTTGCTATAGTCCTGGTAATGATACCAGGATTTTGTTCCACGGTACGTAAAAATGCCTCGTCAAATTCAGGCGTTTTTACGGACCTCGGCCGGCCTCTATCATTGACGGAAATGACAAAACTTCTTAAATAATATTGTCAAAAACATTACGGAAAAAAAACAAGAAAATCTATCTTTTTCCCCTAATCTCTCTGCTTTCAAAAGTTTTACCATCTGAAAGTTGCCGTTGGGGAAATGCTTCTGCATACAAGCGCCTCAATTCATTATATAAGTGACATATAAATCCGAACACCCAGTTTAAATGGTTTTATTTTAATAAAAGTTGGTGAATGTATTTATCTTACTGTAAATAACAAGTGAAAAAATTTTCATCAGTTGGACATTCCGGTTTTTATACTGCTTTTTTTAATTCACTAACGCTCTCTAAAATGAATATTTCAGCCGCAGTAAAGAATCAACGTTGGCAGATTTTGGTTCTTGACATCCTTTACGATCGGTTACGATGCCTAGAGTACAGAGACCTGTACGATTTCGTCAACTTAGTGAGTTTGATAGGGGCCGTATAGTGGGACTTCGGGAAGCTGGACTTTCTTTACGGGCAATTGCAGTTAGAGTGCAAAGAAGTGTAGACACTGTGGTTAGGTGTTATCAGGCATGGCTTCGAGAAGGCCGTACGCAAAGAGCAAGGGGCACTGGACGCCGCCGAAGAACAACAGACCGTGAAGATCGCCGCCTAAGATTATTGGCCTTAAGGGACCGTTTCTCCACTACCAGGTCCATTGCAAATGAATGGTTTGCAGAACACGGAAGACCTATTGGCATGCGAAGTGTTTACCGACGAATGAGAAGTTTTGGCTTGTTTTCATACCGGCCACACTGGGTCCTCCCTTTAACTCGAGAACACCGACGTAATCGCCTTGAGTGGTGCAGACAACGGTCACTCTGGGATCAGGAATGGAACAGTATTGTCTTTAGTGACGAGTCTCGATTTTGTTTAAGCATGCACGATGGTCGTGCCAGGGTTAGAAGGCGACGTGGTGAAAGGAGGAATCCACAGTTTTTTGTTGAAAGACATGTTCATCACACTGTTTCAGTTATGGTTTGGGGTGCTATAGCTTATGGTTCCAGGTCACCTTTAATCTTCATCAGAGGTAACATGAACGCGCAGCGTTATATCCACGAAGTTCTAGTACCCCATCTTTTACCCAATCTTGACACCGTGGCAGATCCAACTTTCCAACAAGATAATGCCCGACCACATGTTGCAAGAGTCACAATAGACTTCTTTCAACATAATGATGTCACACTGTTACCATGGCCACCAAGATCTCCTGACTTATCCCCAATTGAGCACGTGTGGGATATGATGGGTAGGAGATTGCTCAATTTGCAACGTCATCCTCAGACTCTAGAAGCACTTCGAGAGGAGTTGGTGGTTGCCTGGAATGAGATACCACAGGAGGACATTGACCACCTGATCAGAAGCATGCCTAGGCGTGTTGGAGAATGCGTGGCACATCAGGGTGCATCCACACATTATTAAAGGTCAAAGGGCTTTAAAGCAGTGCAATCATTTTGAAATTTTTATCATTTACTTATTATGCTTCATTAAGTACTTATACAAAATTTTATTAAAATAAAACCATTTAAACTGGGTGTTCGGATTTATATGTCACTTAGTATATAAGCACGTGCATACATTACATGCAAGTTCGCCATTTCATCAAAAGTGTAATTTTCCATCACAAAAACCGAGACAAAACCTTTTTAGAGTGAATAATTCTTTTCTAGATTTGTTTTTTAGCAAAAATTAATAAACCAATTTTGTCCAGTGACATGCAATAAAACCTTCGGGGCACCACTGAACCTAATAATTTTAATCTATTCAGGGCTAAATTATCCTCTTAATACAATAAATAATAATGAAAAATTTCAACAGAATCGAGTAAATATTTTTTAAGATAGTACTGTATCTTGAAAATTGCATACGGACGGATGTTTATAGAAAGTTTTTTTCATATTTTTTAACAAGGAATCACCATCTAAAATATCGCCGTCTATTTTTCGAACACCCTGTAGAATTGAATGAAATGGAATGATTATTAAACGATGAAGGACGGTTACGTACGGATATCATCTTAAGTGGTACCTATAATTCATTATGAAATAATACTTTATATGTTTTATTTACCTTGATACTTTGTTGCCTACTTTCTAATGCAGCCTGCTTTTTCTTCCCAGTAACACCTCCTGTTGGAATATCATAAGGTCTGTATCTAACATCCGAGCTGGCACTGTTAGCTGTACTAGGCCTTGATATGGTACCACTGTTGTGATACTGAAAAAATATATCAAACGCTTTACATTTGAAAAAACTCTGTGTACAATAAATATAAACTGGTGGACAGTTGCTTTGCAACCTGGAAAATTTTACCCAAATTCAAATCTCGATACTTTCGGGAGGTTCTTGACCAACTCTTTGAGAGCACGTACACGGTTCGACCGGTATATTTCTTTTATTTATCCACTTATACGCGGTGAGCAAAAGAAGTCAGGTTTTTTTAGCAAACTTTGGGGCTGTCAGATTCTCAATTTTTGATCTTGGAAATTTTTCAAGAGTTGACTACAACTGAAATTATCGAATTTTTAACTTCCCGCTTAGGCAGCAGCGGTGGCCGCAGTAGTAGACTCTTCGGTCTCCTGATCAGTGGCCGTGCGCTGTGCGGGTTCGAGTCCCGTCCCAGGAGAAATTTTTCTCTTGGCTATGGATGTTGTGATTGTCCGTAGGTGGTAGACGGTCTCTGACTGTCGAACGTGGAGGTACCACCCGGCGGATCTCGTAGGCGGAGCCAGAATGTGTGCATGTTGCATGCACACGTGTTCCCTCGCCAGGGTCCGTGTGGCGTTCCCCCTTTCCCCTGTATCCCCCTATAGCCCCACGGTACCCAATGGGTGTTTAGGCCGTAGGCCTTCGTGGTAGTTGGAATATAAAAAAAAATATATTTCGACTCGATCTCGTATTTTTTTTGTATTACCTTCTCCGTGCAAATAGGACGTTTCTCCGGTTTCATGCTAACTACCTACAGCTCAAACATGCAATTGCTAAGTAACAATAATATTGACTGTAGACTTGACAGTATAGTCATTAACCGAAGTACTTTTGTGAATGGCATAAGGCATTCTTCAAAATAGTGTCTTTAGCTAACGCTATCGTAGGGCACGAGGTGGATTTAGTACAGTAAAACCTGCATCTCGCATTTTCATGACAATCCTGTGCTGATTGCACATTTTTGGGCTAGTAACGTGTGATTTTTTAAGAGGTGTAGGATTTGATTTTCAAAAAAAAACACAAAAAATTTGAAAAAACGATTAAATCTTTATTTGAGTCAATAGAACGGTCGATATAATTTAACGTTTAAAGATTATTTCATGTAAATGTTGGCCGCGGCTCCGCTTTAGATGGCCCATGCGCAAGGTCCAATTTTGGCACACTCTCTCCAACATATCGGCCGGTATCTCACGAATAAATGCTTCAATATTGGCTTCCAGTGCGTCAATCGTTGCTGGTTTATCCCTGTAGACATTAGCCTTAGCATGGCCCCACAAGAAATAGTCCAACGGCGTTAAATCACACGATCTAGGCGGCCAACTGACGGGCCCCAAACGTGAGATAACCTGTTCACCGAACTCGCCTCTCAAAAGGGCCATTGTTTCGTGTGCGGTGTGGCATGTGGTACCGTCTTGTTGAAACCACATGTGAGCCAAGTCCAGCTCTTCCATTTTGGGCAAAAAAAGTTTGTTATCATCGCACGGTAGTGCTCGCCATTCACAGTTACGTTCCGGCCATTGTCGTCTTTGAAGAAGTACGGCCCGATGATGCCACCGGCCCATAATCCACACCAAACAGTGTTTTTTTCGGGATGCATTGGTAGCTCTTACAATGCTTCTGGCTCGTCTTCACTCCAGATGCCGCAATTTTGCTTGTTAACGTACCCATTCAACCAGAAATGAGCTTCGTCGCTGAACACAATTTTTCGATAAAAATGTGGATCTTCCTCCAACTTTGCCAGCGCCCATTCACCAAATGGGAAACGTTGTGGGAGGTCGTGTGGCTTCAATTCTTGCACCAGCTGTATCTTATAAGGTTTTACACCCAAATCCTGTCGCAAAATTTTCCACGTAGTGGAGTAACAGAGGTCCAATTGCTGCGAACGGCGGCGAATCGACATTTCACGGTCATCACTAACACTGGCGGATACAGCCGCAATATTTTCTTCAGTCCTCACTCCACGTCTGCGTGTTGGTGGTTTAATGTGCAATAATGTAAACTGGGTTCGAAATTTAGTCACAAGCTTCCGAATAGCTCCCTCAGTAGGCCGACACAAATTGCCCATAAACCGGAAGCAGTGCTCGATGCACTCTCTTAACCGAGCATGAATTTTGATAGTAAAATTCAATAATTTGCAAGCGTTGTTCGTTCGTAAGTCGATTCATGGTTAAATTATAGACCAAACTGAACAAGTTTGACAATGACACAAGACACGATTCACGCGTCATCTGTCAAAAACAGTGTAGCCAAAAAGATACTAGCAAAAAAATCACCCTTTATATGTGTAAGAATTTTACAAACCAAATTGAGGTATATTACTATCCATGACTTGGCAACATCGCAACTAGAGAGGGTATGATAGTGATGGTGGTGTAGTGATGGGAATATTTATTTGCAAGTAAAAGAAATGACTGCTTAACAATGAACTATTTTCATCATGAAAATAATGCTAAATTGCATTATTGCAATGAACAGTGTCACAGTAATTTACAGTGTATGTTATATTCATATAATTTTGAGCAATATTTTGTGTAAACAAGAAAAAACAGCTTATAAAGCAGTATTCTATACCACAGTATTACCACCCAAAATGCAACTTTGAAGTTCTATAAAATAGCAACCAGAGGGTTCCTTAAAGAAAAAATGGTATTTTCGTGCAAGTTAAATCCTAATTTTTCATTTTAAAATAAGAAATGAAATATTTGCGATATGCGATAAGGTATAGTTCAGCCCGAAGGAGGACCCTTTCATCCAGAACCTTGAATGAAAACTTAAGGCGGCACAGTGGAATAATAGCAACCAATCGTACTGTAAGAAGAAAATTTGCTAGGTACTTTCTTAAAGTAGCATTTCTCCCTGAGGAAGGCGTCGAGCCAAGTGTACCCGACTCTTGAACAATCATAGAGTCGCCAGATACCAATGGGCACAAGAGTGGGTGAATTGGCATCAGCAGTGGTAAAATTGCATGTTTTCCGATGAAACACGCTTCAGCCAATACCACTCTGATGGTAAGGTATTTGTTTGGAGGCAAGCTGGGGAACGATATGATTAAGAAAACATGACTCCACAAGAGGCGTTTGGTGGAGGTGGCATTACTGTTTGGGCTGGATTTATGCATAAGGGCAAAACCGAACTTTTCATTTCAAACAGGACAGTCAATGCTACAGGTTATAGGGACAACATTATAAACAATATTATTGTACCTTTTGCACAAGATAAAATTTTGGGGTGGATTTTGTCTTTATTGATGATAACGCCAGGCCGCACAGAGCTCGTACGGTTATAACATTTTTGCCTCCGCAATCATAGGCTCCAAACGTCAACAAAATTGAGCATCTGTGGTCTCGGCTAAAATTTTTAGTGTGATTAAGACCAAATGCTCTTCAAACAAAGGAAGTGCTGTCTGTGGTCATTCCGGAAGAGTGGAAGAATGTATCCCGGGAATTTATTAAATAAATAAATAATCTTTATTTGTTCTGTATATCATTTGTCATGACATAGAACACGTCAAGGTACTCTTTCTTGAAAACTACCAAAAGCATTCCAAAAATAGATAAATAAAAACAAAAACAATACACATATGAAGTATAGGACAGTCACAAAAACAATATACAAAAATACAACACAGTACATATTAAAATAAACCGGCCAGGTTAAAATATACAAATAAAATACACGAACCATTTGAGATAGTTAAGCATCTTGATCTAATAACCTTTTGGAAAGTATACCACGAAGATGCAAGGCTGTGATCGAGGTGAGGGGTGGCCCTACAAGGTACTAACAATATTGTGTAAAATAACTGTTGCTGTTTTGCAAAAAGTTCGATTTTGTCATAAATAGATAATTTAGATATTTAACTGGTCTTAAAATTTTTTTTCTAAAATGTTACATGTTGTTAATGTTAATCAATGAATTCTTTGATATTTAAAAATTTGATAGTCCTATTGAAAAACACCTCCAATAAAGACGCGTACGCCAATGCTGAATGAGTAAAAATAAAAAATCCAGATAAAAGATGTTTAGCAGTGTTGGAAAGCATTTTGAAAAATTAAAATACTTTTGGTGTTATGTCATTGGAATACACCGCTATATTAAGAGTAGTAACTTGGATTTGTTCATTGAGCTGTTTAATTGCATAGTAAAATGTATAAATTCGGCTTAAATTACATAATGTCAAAGTAGCAAATTTTTACTGTACGCCACTGGAGGAAATAACGTTCAATGAATGATTCAATCTTTTCTCGGCCGCAAGAAATTCCACTTAATGCAACAGTACGAGGTAAAAAAATACCCATACTTTTTAGGGATAAAGGTTAACACTTTTTTAAAATCGATAATTTGAGTTATAGCCAACTTTCGAAAAATATCAGAAATTACTTTTTTTAGGATAGTCCAAATATCAAAAAGATGCATAGAAAAATTTCCGAGATCAAAAATTAGTCAAGAACCTCCCGAACACCGCAACTCGATATCTCTTTCCGTTCCAAGTCCAAACAAAATGCGGCTCTGTCTACCTCTCGTTAACGGATCCGTCAAAATTGTGTCATCTGTCGATATGGGGAATTTTGAAATATTACTAAAAAGACAATAGTTTTGTACGTACTTCCTTGATAATGTTGCCGTCTCCACCTCCACTGGCTGCGCCTACGTTATTCATCAAAGCGTCACCACCAAAAACTTTGTGCTTCTGCGGAATAGACTTGTAACAGATGGAACACACTTGTACCATTCCTTGGGGGCTGATGGGACTGGCTCCCGTTGGCGGTTTAAGAGTTTCGATGAACGGGAAATACGGTTCTTTCTCAGCATTCGGACAACAGTACAATAATCTGATGAAAAAATAAATAGAATTTCTTAAATAACGTATCAAGACATTTTTATTCAAATAAAGAGGATGTTTAAAGTTACTTATTCAGGGTGTCCGAACCTTGCGAGGACCGAGCACCACTGGTAAACAAAAAGTTTTCAAAGAAAACTAAGAATTATTATGCAGGGTGTCCCAAAATTCCGTGGACATAGCAGTACCATTTATTTTTAGACTCAAAATAAGTCGATTTTTTCTTATTAAACAACAATTTTCAGATATTTTTGGAACCGATGTCCGATTTGAATGAAATTTGGAACACATGTTTTGCTAGACGTTCTAATGTTTGACTTCTAAGAAAAAACTCTAACGAGTTCGAGAAGGGTGAAAAATACCCCCATCCCTACATAAATTATAGCAGAATGTTTTAGCAACTTTAACAATAATCATCATATCAGGGCTGAAGAAAATCCCCATGCGGTTACAGAACTTAATTATCAACAACAGTTTTCCCTGAATGTTTGGATTGGTACTGTATGTGATTATCTCATTGCACTTCATTTTTTACCCCCGGTATGAAATGGTCAACAGTATCGTCATTTTGTAGAATTTATTCTACCTCAACTACTAGGAAATGTCCTGCTGGAAGAGGAGCAATATGGTTTATGCACGATGGGGCTCCACCTCACTTCAGCCTAGTAGCTCGCCAATTTTTGGATGCAACCTTTGACTAACACTGGATCGAGCGCTCAGGTCCACAGTCATGGCCACTCAGGTCACTAGCTTTAAATCCGTTAGATTCTTTTCTTTGGCGGCATTCAAAGTCCCTCGTTTACAAAACTCCAGACAACGCTGAAGAGGAATTAACCCAACGCATACAAGATTCATGTGATCAGGTAAGGCCTAGACTGGGAATATTCCAAAGATTTCGGCAAACAATGTTACGACAATCTTTGCATTGAGGTTGAAGGAGAGCATTTTCAGCCACTATTATAAGTCTCGTGTTATTTGCTGTTAAGTGTTTTTTAAAATCAATACCAAGGAAAAAATCCTCAAAGATTGCAATCAAATTTTACAGGAGGTTTATTTCAATTTTTGGAAACACCCTTAAATTCCATGTGCGACCACTGGTTACCGAGATATCAGTGGCCGATGACAAAAGGATCGTATTGGGATTTTTAAAACAGAACATTGAAATTCAATAAACGGGCTATCTGATGCATATAGCCTAACAAAAAAAATTCAAGCCAGTGGACTAAAAGAAGGCAAAAATTTTGCACAATCTGTTAGAATTGCATGAGAACCGTTGCTCCTAAAATCTGCTGGCTAAAAAACCTGAAAACTAGAATCTTGAAGCTTCAAAATGCTTTGTTGAGTCTAGATATGTCCATTTTTCACAGAACCCGTCAAAAACCACAGAAAAATTTAAATTTATTCTTTCTCCCTTAATTTTTTTTTATCAGTGTAGATAAAATGAAAGCTTTTCAGTCCAACCCTCCATCATTTTTAACATGCCATCGGCACATTTCCTATGAATTCTTTTTCATTTTGCATATCGACTAACGAAACTATCTCTAACTCTATCAAAAGTTTTGTTACCTTATACTGCTAGATGGATATTCCAATGCGCATGTGTAACAAACGAAGGTGGTGGTATCTAATGTAGAGCTCTGCCTTTTCCTCAAAGTATAGTTGCGTTCGGCATGCGGAACACCTTGTGCTTGGAATACTTGCCACTGTTTGACAAGGTGTTGTTGGCAGTCTATACATGCTTGAACTCGACCTGTATAACGTAGAAAATTTGGTAATCACACTTCAAAGCAAACTTCACACTCCAAAATGCTAGAAAATTTTTTTTCTTTCAAATTTTCTGGAATTTTGAATGCGAAGAAGCATGCAAACTATGTAAACACCTATCATCTGAAGGCTCTGTCCAAAAAACATTAGGACTTAGAAATATGTGGATACAAGTCTATCAATTACAGAGCCACCAAACCTCTATTCGAGAAAACATTTCCACATACTGCTGAGACAACCACTGTTGCAAAAAATCACGATTGTTTCAACTAAATCGTGATTTTTGTTTATTCTTGTCAGATTGTACCGATTTTTTCCTTAAATATAGCAATAATGAACTTTGAAATAACTTATTATTATGATTTTTCTCTATTCGCTCGAAAATATATGTTGTCTAGATATATACAAGATCTGTCGCCTGGACTTTTAAAAGATATCCAATACAAGTAGCGTCACCTATTATCGGAAATAAAAATGATTTTGGGAGAAATCTAAAAGGCGAAACAAAGCTGATAAATAACTAAGGTTTCGCAATGTCAATGTATGATGTATTATACATCTATGGAAAACTCTTCATCTGTGCAAAAACCCGATATGGCGTCCATAGGGAAAAATAAAGTAGATGCTGGATGACAAGAGACGAACGTCATATCAAAATTCTCATTATGCCTTCTTGTAGAGGAGAAAAAGTGTCAATGTTAATGTGCAATTTATTTTGAAATCCCTACTACTCCTACAAACAAAGTAAGAAAAAAATTAAAACGACTTTAGGAACATTAGGGTTTTTCCGCCTCTCTTCGGAAGTACTTTGGATTTCGAAATTTTCTAAGTGCTATTTTGTTGGTTACCCAAATACGCAACTTTGCCACCATTTCAGCAACTTCGTATCTCTTACCATTTTCAAGATTCAAAGGCGGTCGTGAGTCGCTGGAAGATGACGAACATGTTGGCCAGCCATAATTTGTGATTACGCCAAAAACCGTTGAAAAAATTCGTGAATTTATTAGATATTAAAAATGATCCAAAATGAGATACATAGAAATGGAATCAAATATCTCTAGATTCAATCAATCGTATTTTGATCAAGAATTGCGTTAGAAAGGTGTGAGACATCATTAACGAGACCAAAAACGGAAAAAACTTTCTTTAAAGCATTGTGACTGGTGACGAAACCTGGTGTTTTCAATGCGATTCCGAAACCAAGCGTCAAAAAAAGCCGTTTGGAAAAGTCCAAAGTGAAGACAATGTTGATTTTCTACGATTCGAAGGGAATTATTCACTAATAATTCGTTCCACCGGACCAAACGGTTGATGCTGTGTTATCTTGCTGTTATGAGGCGTTTGCTGACGTGTATTCGTCATGCTCGGCCAGAATATTGCGAAGAAGGAAGCTGGCACTTGTTGCACGATAATGCACCGTCTCATCAATAGACGCTTGTCCGATTTTTTGACAAAAAATGCCATTTTAACCATGAACCACTCCCCATATTCACCTGATATGGCACCGTGTGGCTATTTTCTGTTCGGTAAACTACATTTGGCCATGAAAAGGCGTAGAGGCCATCCAAAAGGCGTCGACGACCATTTTAAAGGACATCCCGGTCAATGAGCTAAACTCATCATTCGAAAATCTTTTGGTCCGTGCAAATCGCTGTAACATATTAACTATGATGAAGAAAATTTTGATTAAAATAAACTCGATTTACAGAAACAAAAAATTTTTGTTCATTTTTTTCTTTGCCCTGTGGACTTTGCGACAGATCTTGTATATCATATTTTCGAGCCCTGATTATCAAAGAAAAATCTTACCCTGCGAGTCAATGGGCCTACTTCTACTGGGCCGCGGATGCTCGATAAGACTAGGAAAGAAAGGCTTGCCAGAGCCGTCTGCAATCTGCTTGCTGAACACGTAATCCAAACTGCCCCGTTTGAACTCATCACCGCATACATAACACACCTCCGTTACGGAATTCTTATCTGGCATGCTGAGATCCAGGATGTCGGTGCCTGTGGACGAATTGGAACTCTGGCTGTGCTGGTAAACAGGCAGCGACTGGATGGGCGTGGCTACAGGGACACCGACCGGATTTGTTGGATGGGTTAGGTCCAGGGCACTCTCGGACATGTCCGAAGACGGTGGTACTTCGGTAGAGGTACTGCGGCTGGGCACCTTAACAAAGCAAGAAATCTCAAAATCGGTACTATGCGAATATGTGCGGGAAGCAGGACATAGGGTTAAATTGGAGGAAGTCTCAATACTACATAAACACGATAACAATTACAAAAGGAATCAGCCTATATAAAATTAAACAACAATTATCTTTCTACATTGGTGGACAGTTGCTTTGCAACATGGAAAAATATACTCAAATTCAACTCTCGATATTTTCGGAACGGAAAGAGATATCGAGTTGCGGTATTCGGTAGGTTCTTGACCAACTCTTTGAGAACACGTATAGGGTTCGATCGGTATATTTCGGAAGTCATGTTTTTAGCAAAGTTTGAAGCTATTCCAGATTCTCAATTTTTGATCTTGGAAATTCTATGCATCTTTTTGATCTTTGGACTATCTTAAAAACAATCTCAAATTTTTCTGAATTTATATAACTCATTATCCAATTTTTTAAAAGTGTTAAGTTTATCGATAAAAACGGACTTCTTTGGGGTTTCCCTTGATAATGGGTATTTTTTCTCATACTGTTGCATAAAGTGGAATTTCTTGCATCCGAGAAAAGATTGAAGCACTCATTGAACGTTACTGCCTTCAGTGGCATGCAAAAATTTACTACTTTGACATTAGTAATTTAAAACGAATTTGTGAATTTTACTATACGATTAAACAGCTTAATGAACAAATCCAAGTTACTACTCTTAATATATGGAATATTCCAGTGGCGTAACACCAAAAGCATTTTTTGGATTGGTAAAACGTGCTAATAACTTGAAAAAAAAATATTGTTCAAAATGCTATGATGCTGGCCAACACTGCTATTTATCTTTTATCTGGAATTTTTATCTTTCTCATCCAGCATTGGCGTACGCGTCTTCATTGGAGATGTTTTCCAATAGGTAATAGACTCTATTGAATTTTTAAACAACATCAAAGAATTTATTGACTAACATTAACAATATCTAACGTTTTAGAAAACAAAATTTTGAAGACCAGTTAAATACCTAAATTATTTATTTGACACGAACGAACTTTTTGCAAGATAGCAACACTTATTTTAAACAATAATGTTAGTGCCTTGTAGGGCCATCCTGGATAAAATTGTCCATGTTGCAAACAACTGTCCACCAGTTTAGTTCTGTGAACTGTGACCCAATTTGATTGAATATCCTTGAAAGAAGATCTAATTGGTATTATCCCACCCAACTAATGCACCGTGAGTTGTTAATCCAGGTATTTCCCGATGCGTAGGTATTCTGTTTTGTCATCTCAAGTCCAAACTCTTGTGACTATTTTCTCACAGGACAAACACCCCCCTTTAGATGTCGAAGTAGTATTTCTCGCGCTTCAGATCCAAACAATGTACTTGTTACGACAACAGTTCTGGGCGAGTTGTGCGTTTTTTTTGTTTTACAGATTTTGGCGTTTTGATGCATTAAAAGACGACAGATAGCCATGAAGTGAACAACAGCTAGTTCCAAGTTGACGGTCTGTAGGAAAACCTACATAATGTTATAAAAATCCTACATACTGTCAAAAAACGACATAATGTCACTTTCAAACTACGTAACACACTGTATAGGAATGTGATAATGAAAATAAAAAAAACAAACTGTTACATAAAAGACATAAATAAAATATATTGTCATTGTACTGAAGAAGATCACCTTTGTGATTAACACGGTTACAGTAAACAACATTCTGTAAATGCAGGGTGACCCAACGAAAAGGTTGCACCCCAATTTGTGTCTCTCCTGGTATACATCGTGTTCCTGAATGATATGCGAATATTTAAGGGTGTGAATCTACATGAAAAATTAATGCTGGTTTGCTTTATAAACTATGGTCCAAAAATGTTTCCTTACAAAAACCCGGGGTCTTGAAGTTTTAGGAAAAAAATGGAAATTAATTAATATTTTCAGAACCGCTTCAGATATTTCACTGATATTTAGTACGTAGTGAAAGTTAATAAAGTTGGAATTTTTTCAATGCAAAAATAAATTTTAACTTTAACAGTGGCGTGTGTACGGGTATTGACTTCGATATTTTTTAAGAAAAAAATTGTACGCCAATGTTTTTTTGCCAAATAAAAATTATTTTTGATTTCCCCGTTCAGTTTAAAACAAATAATCTCTCTTGAATTGTTTTCGTTCGATGCGCCATTTTTGAGTAAAAAAATAAAAACCGTTCGATTGTCTAACTTGCAAAATTATTATTAATTTAATTTGAAAAATTAAACACATTACGGGTAATGAACAACAACAACTGACAACATAAACATAACATTAAAACCAACGAAATGATTACAAAAATTGTTGAAAATGGCCCCCTTCACTTAGTATGCATGTTTCGTTAAATATCCCTGCAGTATTTTTTATTCTATCACAAGCTGCAACTATTCTTTCTCTTAATTCCTCTACAGTGTTAATGGGATTTGTGTACACTAGTGTCTTAAGATAGCCCCACAAAAAGAAATCTAAACTGTTGAGGTATGTGGACCTTGGTGGCCATTCTTGGGGCCCACCGCGGCCAATCCAATGATTTGGATAAACAGTTTGTAAATAATTACGAACCGCTACACTGAAATGCGCTGGTGCACCATAATGCATGTACCACATGTTGTTTCTTATTACTAACAGAACATCATCAAGCAGCAAAGGCAACTGTTGTTGAAGAAAATTGAGGTAAGGCTGTCCGTCAAGTCGTCCCGGCAAGAAGAATGGGCCGATAAAGTGGTTGTCAATAATTCCTGCCCATACGTTAACCAAAATTGGTGTTAGATATGGGTTTCGGTTACGACATAGAGATTTTCTTCTGCCCACAAAAGATTATTGTGGAAATTTTGAATTGCATTTCGAGAAAAATTATCTTCGTCCGTGAACAGAATCATTGATTCAAATTGCGGATTTTGGGTAATTTTTTGAAGATACCACTGACAAAAGGTCACACGCCTTGGAAAATCCATGGGAAGTAATGTCTGTATTCTTAAAATATGGTAAGGATATAACAAAAAATCCACTAAAATTCTCCAAACAATTTGTTGGTAAGTATTTAAGTGTCTAGTGATCTTAATCGTACTCGCTTCAGGATGTTCTTCAACTTCGTGCAGCACTGCTTCCTCAATTTCAGGTGTTCTCACACTTAGAGGTCTACCTTCAGATGTTCCTTTTCGGACAGAACCAGTTTCAACAAGACTACGATGAATATTAGAAAAGGTTCGACTATCTGGCAAAGCACGATCGGGATATCTCTGGTGATAAATCCGTCTGGCTTGCTCACCATTACCGTCGGCAAGGCCATATACGTAACGCATTTCCGCCATTTCTGCATTTGAATAATTCACCATTATTAACAAGATATTAAATAATGAAAAAGATGCCACAGCGAACAGATTTGAATAACAGACACTTGTCAGATGTCCAAAGCCAGTGACACATTCCAGAGCAACTAGATATTTATTGCTAAATTGCATTCTTCAATTATTACATTAATTTTCTCGGACAATAGAACGGTTTTTATTTTTTTACTCTTAAATGGCGCATCGAAGGAAAACAATTCAAGAGAGATCATTTGTTTTAAATTAAACGGGGAGAATAAAGATAATTTTTATTTGGCAAAAAATCATTGGCGTACCATTTTTTCTTAAAAAAATATCGAAGTCAATACCCGTACGCACGCCACTGTTAAAGCTAAAAATTATTTTTGCACTGAAAAACATGCAACTTTATTAACTTTCACTACGTACTAAATATCAGTGAAATATCTGAAGCAGGTCTGAAAATATTAATTAATTTCCATTTTTTTCCTTAAACTTCAACACCCCGAGTTTTTGTAAGGAAACATTTTTGGACCATAGTTTATAAAGCAAACTAACCCTTAAATATTCTCATATCATTAAGGAACACCCTGTATTTTGGGTAAAACGCTCGGACACATCAATTTTGATTTCTAGGCGGACGTCTTTTCATCTATAGCTCTGAGCATACAAGGTGATCCAAAAATAAGATATTACATTACACTTTAGATTTTTGAACAGATAATAAAGTTCGACTAACTTAACACTGATAATAATGGAACACACAGCAAATCATATCATAGGTACCAGCAAGAACATTTAGCATCAGCCGGTGTCATCGTATGTCATAGAAAGATTTTTAAACAGATAATAAAGTTCGACTAACTTAACACTGATAATAATGGAATGCATGGCAAAACATATCATGGGTACCAGAAGAAACTGGATTTGTGTCTAATATTCGCCTTAATCGCCATGGAGAAAATCGATCAGTTAGAAAGGGAACCGCAGAAATAGAAGTTTTGGGACACGTAGCACTTGACAACACCCAAAGCACTCGTGGACTGGCAACTTCTTCAGGATTTACACGCTCGACAGTACAAATAATTTTGAAAGACAATAAATTTCATCCGTTATAGATAAAGCTTGTCCATGAGCTTAATAAAGAAGATTTAGATAGAAAGTTGGAGTTTTACGAATTAATGTTCCAACGTTTAATCAACAATGCAGATCTGTTATTTAATATTTGTTTCTCGGATGAGCGTACTTTCTATTTACATGGTGCTGTAAATAGAAATAATTTTGGATATTGGAGTGACTCGAATCCACATCTGTTTCGAGAGGAACACTCGCAATATCCTGAAAAAAATAAGTGCTCTTTCGCACCGGCGGGCCGTCGGCGATCTAGCTCTTTTCTACCGCTACGTTAACGGGTTTTGCTCCTCGGAGCTCTTTTCCATGATGCCGCCGCGCGATGTGCAGCCAGACAGACCCGCCTGACTGGCGTCCCATCCTAACCGTGTCAAACTTCGTACATCCAGAACTGGCCCATGCGACCGCTCCTTAGTCCCGAGGGTGTCGAGACTGTGGAACAATCTACAAGAGGAGGCTTTTCCCAGTTCTACTAACCTTACACAGTTCAAAAATCGTATTAACAAAATTTCTTTGCGATCATCATATCAGCCGCGATGTTCCGGCATTTAGGCTTCTGCCTGCGCGGCTACTTCGATATAAAAAAGACCTACATACTTTTCAAAGAATACCAGCTGCTCACCTGCTGAGTTCTCAAGTTATTGCCAACCATCATTTTCCCTTTGATCACATCATCTCTCCGACCAGTGCTCACTCCAATTCCATCACTGTTTAGTCCTAAGATTTGAGCTGCATATTCACCCTGTAAGCCCATATCAGCCCCAGTGTATGGTCCATTGTCCACTCTCTTCAACCAATACAGTCGCTCCGAATGCGGACGGGAGGTCATCTCGTATGATTCCCATTGTTGTAAAAGTAACGTGTAACAGAGATAGCAGGCAGGTACGACGCCATCTGAACGAGGCACATAACCTGAAAAAATTCAATAGGTATGGAACAATACCCTATTTCACGAGAATCCATCACGGTAGAATGACAGCTGATTATCTAGTAATATTCTGACGGATCCGTTAACGTCAGGTAGTCAGAGCTGTATTTTGTTTTGGTTCTTTGTACGCTACAGATTCATTTTGTACTTGCTAACAGCTCTTGTATTTAGAGAAGCTCATTTGCATGCAAAAAACAAAACGCCTCAAACAAGTTTCACTAGGTCTACACCCGATTCATACTTCAACGTCGCAGACTAACACAAAAATCTCACTTGCTGATCAACTGTTCACCTCAGTAGACAGGCATTTATTTATTGCTAGAAGGGCTCATGTATCTCCCCCCCCTTCTGCTGACGGTGAGGCAAGGCCAACTCACTTCTCTCTGCGAAATACTATTCACTCAGAAAACACGCGTTTCCTCTGCGCCACGCTGTGCATGTCATATAGATCCAGAAAACATATCTCATTTACGAAAAATTTCGCGATTCCAATACTTCTCCGCCGGGAGCCGTGGGAAGTAAAAATCATTTACCGAAAACAAGTTTTGAGTTTGAGTTTACGAAATTTTATTTTTATTTGGAAAACCCATGAACGGAGATTTGTATGGAATATGGTATGAATGAACTGCCGCCCTTTATACAGGCTGCCGAATTGAAAACGTAAGGACCAATAACGTTGTCGGCCCAAAATATACACGAAAACATTTTTTGTAGTCATATTGCCATACATAGGACTTTCCAATTTGAAAAATGGTGTTAAGTAGGTTAACTCTATACTTCACTACCAACGCCCACATCAGTACATAAAGGAATATGTTCAGAACAAACTAGACCCTTTGAGAAAAAAGTAAGTTAAACAGGTACATATAATTAGTACATAGACATTCTTTTCCTGTCCTACCAGTAGTGTACCTGGAAACGTCGCCTCTTCCCGATACCTAATTCGGGGAGACGTGGCACCGTGGTAGCGCGACCAGAGCATAGAAAACACTATAATGTTGCTCGGCAGAAATACGTGTGATTTCATAACAGAACAGTCGTCTCGGTCGGCCCACGACACCAGGAGCAGCCGCGGCCGATATGTACGCGATCCATCTCACGAGAATATTTTTCCAAGTTTTTAGGGTTAAAGTACATGATCTGTGAATAATGTCTAATCGGTGCGTTCAATTACCAATGTTGGGAGTGTATAAATGTATCAGCACCAAAAAATTGAGATAAAGCCTCCCCATCCCCTAACAACCCCCACCATCAAGTTTTTTTACCTCTAAAATTGTTTTCAAGAATGACCACTATCCTCTGAAACGTCAAAAAACGAAGTTAGAGCGATTTTTATTTTTTTTTGTTCAGGCCTTTTTCTCTGCCGCCACTGGACCGATCTTCAAAAACTAAGCTTTCGTGTCCTTGGAATAATAGTGAAGGTAGGCCATTTAAAGTGGAAGCATGAAGCAATCCTATATCTTTGACATTAGTTGTCAGATCGACTAATGACATACAGCGTTGGAAGCGTCATTTCAGTACAATTTTAACTATGGAACATTACACACCAAAACAACGCGCTGGTTATTCAGTTGTACATTCAAAATAACTGAAAACTAAATGTGCGTTTCATAAAAAATTAAAGTCAAAAGTGCTCCAGGTGATAACACTATCAGACGTTTATACGCAAAATTTATAACACTGGTAGCCTTAGTAATGCCAGTCACCTATCCAGACAACGAACAAGATATTCCGATGAAAATATCGAAGCTGTACAAGCCAGTGTTGAAGAGACTCCATCACTATCCGGTCGTCATCCTTCTCAAGAGTTAGGCATCGCTCGAACCACTCTCCGACGCATAATTCGTAAGGATTTGAAGATGTTTCCATACAAAATTCAAATGGCTCATCAATTAAACCCAGCTGATTATCAGTGTCACTTTGATTTTGCCAAATGGGGCATTGAAATGGCCGAAAATGAAGATGACTTTTAGCGTAAAATCATCCCGTCCGACGAGGCACATTTTTCGTTACATGGAGGCATGAGTAAACAAAATTGTTCATTGCTACCGAAAAGCATCAATTAATCGAACAGCAGCCTCTTTATGATCAAACAGTTACTGTTTGGTAGGGTATGTGCGCGAATATGGTCATTAGGCCATATTTTTTTGAGGACGATGATGGAGCTGCGGTAACCGTCAATGGTGAGCGTTATCGAGCCATGATAACAAATTTTTTGAGGCTAATTGTTTGTGAAAATGACATGGACGATTACTGGTTCCAGCAGGATGGCATCACATGCCACACAGCTCAAGCAACAATCAATTTATTGCGACCATTGTTCCCAGGACGACTGATATCGAAAAGTGGCGATTTTGACTGGCCACCAAGATCACCTGATTTGATGCCACCAGACTTTTATTTGTGGGTGCTATTTGAAATCCAAGGTATATGCTAACAAGCCATGGACTTTAGCTGCAATCAAGAACAATATTCGTCAAGAAATTGCCGCCATATCCGCCAAAACATTGGCCAACATGATGGAAAACGCTGAAAAAAGGGCGCATTTGGTTATCAAGCCCAGAGGTGGCCATTTGCGCGATATCATTTGTGAAAAGTAATTACAACAAATCCCCTTGGATCAAAACAGAAGACTTTTTAAATGAACAACAAACAATGTTTTTTAATGTCTTTTTTTTATAAACAAATGCTTCCACTTTAAATGGCCCACCCTGTATAAACTTCATTGTACAAAAGTTACTGAAAAGTCACAAATAAGGGTGCGACCTTTCAGTTGGGCCAACCTGTATATAAGTAATGTAATAAAATATGCAATGCCCAGATACATTAAATTACTTAGATGTTTCTTAAATTAGTAATATTAGCTGGAACCAACAATGAAGAAGAATGTTTTGAATAAAGAATCTGACTAAGTAACAAGAAAGAGGCGATGATAATAGGAAGAGGATATTTAGAATAAGGAAAACACTATTTAGAGCTTATCTAAAAATATATCAAAAATTACCTGCAGGTGGTTCATGAGACTCCAAAAAAGGAAAATATGGTTCCTTCGGTTTTCCAGGAATTGGTTTTGTGTTTAGATAGTAGGACAATGAATGAGTGCGATTACTGCATACAAAACAAATCTCAGAGCCAAAGGGATATTTTGGATGGTCAGATGTTTCAGTTTTTACTTGAATCTTATCCATTGCCTGCATGGTGTATCTAAAATCAAGAGCAACAGAAATGTTGATTAGATGCATGCATACTAACAAAACAGCCTTGATCTTATCAATTTCTTGCAACCACCAGTCTTGTGTGAAAATCAATTTTCATGCAAGTTTTATTCTGATGGCATAATCAGTAACTTACAAGTTACCAATGCATTTGAAGGTTCCTATTTCACAAGTATCCATCACACTACCTTAAATAACATCCACCACAAACTCAACAACTCAGATCCCTATTTCGCGAGTATCCATCACGCTTTGACGTCTACTGAGGTGAACAGCTTATCAGCAAGTGACATTTTTGTGTTAGTCTGCGACATTGGCAATATGTAATGAATCGAGTGTTAATTTAGTAAAACTTGTACTGTTTTGTTTTTTGTATGCAAATAAAATTTTCTAAATAAAAGAGCTGTTAGCAAGTAGAAAATGAATCTTTAGTGTGTAAAAAAAAAAAAAACAAAATACAGCTATGACTACCTGATGTTGACGGATCCATCAAAAGTACGTGTTCTATGCTGATATGGGTAATGTTCAGATATTACTAGATAATCAGCTGTCATTCTACCATGTTGGATACTCGTGAAATAGGGTATAAACTCGCACTTGGAATAACTTTTCGTAACCAAATTTTCTATATAAGGTGCCAAGTATTTCCCTCCAAGCCACACCCAGGAGCGAGAAATCATTTTCCATACATCAAGAGATTGATATCTAACTATACCCTATTTTACGAGTATCCATCATGGTAGAATGACAGCTGGATATCTGGTAATATTTACAAGATTCAACATATCACCAAAGGACACATAGTTCTGATGGATCTGTCAATGTCAGGTGGATATTTTGTTTTGGTTTTTTGTATTGTACAGATTCTTTTGTACTTGCTAAAAGCTCTTTTATTTAGAAAAGTTCATTTGCATACAAAAAACGAGACGCTACAAACATATTTTTGATAGATTTACACCCAATTCATTATAATCAACTTTGCAGACTAACATAAAAATGTCACTTGCTGATCAGCTGTTCACCTCAGTAGACATCATAGCATGATAGATACTTGTGAAATACCACATACACGGGTCTAGTGTTTTGCCTCGTTTACAGATATACATTTGATGGTGTTTTGATAGTGGATGATCAACGAATTGAAACCAGCTTTTTTTTATATTACATAATACCATGTTTTCTCGAATAAAAACCAAAATTATAACAGGTTAAGAATGTGGCAAGGAATATTTCATTTATTTAAATTAGTAATTTTACTCATTTGAATCGAGGAAACAGAACCATCTTGCAACTGCAAGAGTTTGCATGGAACAAAACAGAATTAGTACTTTTCTTCACATAAAATTTATTGATACATAGCTTACAAAATGAAAAAATCACACTGCTATTAGGCAAGTTTCATTAAAAGTAAGAGAATGCATGATAGTGAAAGATGCTTCAGTGTGCTATAAGGTACTCATTTTTACAAAATGGTATTCTGAAAATATTACATGTTTTCAATATACATTCTTATAGCTTGCAATTCTATTTTGAGAAATATCTGAAACGAATAATTGAAACAGCTGATCTACAGCAAGTTATCTTGACCATTTTTATTTACAATAACTTTCAGGTTGCAGAGCCACACTGTTATATTAGCAATTATTTCTTGACATAAAACTGAAGCAATTAGTTCATAATTCAACATTCATGTCAAGTTTCAGCAAATTTTGAAAGTTTGCAAATGTGGCACACTAGGTGCACAATACAATTTTGGATAATATTCTGAGGACTACTGATTAATATTCATATTAAAATAATAATAATATAGGCATGTAAAGAAGAAGCTCAGTTGAAAAGTACTTGCCTGGTCCAGAAGTTCGTGTTACTCGCATTTCATTGTTAAAATTTGAAACAGCTGTAAATTTAATATTAACAAAAATAATAGGTCACTGATCAATAGTGAAAGACTAAATTTTGCACTTCTCAGCTGGCTAGCCTACTCGCTATAGTTCACTATAGTAAAAATGTAGACGTATGTAGTAGTTTCGCAACAATCACACTTTCTTCAGATTCTCATAGGCTGCAAATCTGATGACCCATCGCAGGATGCCAGGATAAAATTTCAAAATGGCACTATTTACACAAATAAAAACTGTCCAAAATCAAAGAAACTTAAATTTTACACGTCAAAACACTTTAGATTAACGCATTTTCGCTGGATTTATCTTATAGATGCAATAAAATCCGAGTTAACTTCTGTGCGAAAACATCAGATGTTCTTATCTTCGACAGAATGTTGGCCACTTAAAAACTACCATTGCACAAAGTTACGAGGAAGATGCAAACCGCGAAGAGATTTTTGATAGCCCCAAGTCACAGTTTTCTTAACTAATGCTTAAAATGCCCGGAGGACTAGTAAAAAATGCACATTTCAGAAAACTGCTAAATTCCACAGAATATCTGTGAAAAGATTGGCCATTTTGGAAAAATTTCCAACAATGCAATTCGATATCTTGTTGCCAACATTGCAGTTTCAAATGTTACAAAATGACTCGGCAGTGCTACCAGCTTAAATATGTTCGTAAATTGGGATTTTTAAACTTGTTTATTTATCCATGTGAACATCTACTTTTATGATACCTTAAAAAGACACACTCCGGAATTTTATGGGCATCCATAATAGTGTGACATTTAACAGCATAAAAACATTCGTGCATTTGAAAAAATCATTAAACAAATGGAACTAGGAATAACGGATTAAAATGCGAAATGTAGCTTGGGTCACGGCCATGAAGACTAGAGATAGAAGGTCAAATTCATCGGGGGGTGAAGTCAGAAATGTCGACGATGAAGTGACTTGGTAGGTACACTGCGCAGCAAATGAATTTCAGGTGTTGCGCATGTGGTATGTCTCTCTGATCCTGTAAACAGCTCCAATTTTGACTGCTGGACGAGTTGCAAGCATAATTATCAGATGACATAAGTAAATCCCAGAGTAATGAACCTACAAAGCATGGCAAAACGAGAAGCAAATGCACATAAAGATCGTGGCAATTTAAGCTGATATTTTTCAATACGCAGACGCTTTGCGCCGCCACGTTCTACACCCTTTAGAAACCCAAGAGCTACACCATCCTTGGCGGCAGGATTAACTTCATACGAATACAAATTAATATACACATTACACATCCCTTACGCAGTTTAACCTCCTATCTCTAGTCTTCGTGGTCACGTCACAGACTACTACGTCATGTTTTCAACCATCGAGTCGATATACCATGAGAATCGACAGCTATGCTGTTCGTGCAGTAAAAACGACCTCGAAAGTTGACGTCATAGTACCGCATGCTAGATAGTGCAAGCATTTCCGAGCTGCTTTCCAGTGCCTGATTTGTGTTACTCGGAGCTACTCACTAGTGGTCGAGAACTATCGATAGTTAAGGCATAAACTATCGATAGTTTCCGATAGTATTTTGCGGAATGAAACAATTTGAATATTATGTTAAAAAAATAAGGATTATACGATTTATTATACATCATTTACTTTCTAACATCTACAAACTGTTATTTTTATACAAAATACTAATTTATCAACATTGGCTGGTTTTAGTCTGGATCTCCTATCTGATATGACTTGCCCTGCAGCACTAAAGCTTCTCTCGCTCTCTACTGAGGTCGCTCGAACACATAGATATTTAATGGCACATTCGTCCATAGGGGGTAACTCCTTGCCGCTTACCTAAAAAAATACAATGAAATAAATAAAAGCAAGATTTTTATATTATGTTTACCTTCCAAAACACTGACTATTTTACCTAGTTATTTTCGGGTGATATCTATCCAAGTGATCTCGCATGTAACTTGTGTTGCCACTTGTTTTGTATTCCTTTCCACATTTAATACACTTAGCTAATTTTCAATCGCCGGATTGAAATAGTCCCATACAGCTGACACACGCTTTCTTTTCATTTTAGAATTTGAATGTCTTTCTCTGGAAGTCTTCACATTCACAAACACTTCAGCTTTACCTTGGAGATTTTCAGATTCAGATGTTTCTTTTGAGGTACTTGGTTGGGGTTCAGCATTATTCTGATTGTTGCCTTAAAATGACAGTCCTGTTTACAAACTATTTCTACTAAACACAAGTATAATCATACTTCTCACGTCTGTTTAAAAAGAATCTTTCTATTGTTACAAATATCCAAGATAGTTGTATTGTACTATATACTAAATTGTGTTTGTTTGAAAATGGCTCCAAAAATGTTTAACACCACGACCACGTCCTTTTAACTTTTCACTTTTCCTCTTATTTTGTACTTTACTACACGTTACACGGTTTTTATTATGATACGATTCCACCAAAATAGTGTTCAGCACATTTGTTTACAAACATTTTGTGTGAAACTCCAGCATTGAATGTGCTCAGTGGTATCGAATTTATCTTCTGTGTCCACCGGCAAAGCAGTGCATAACTTTTGTAAGCGTACAGTGTAGCACACTTGTGCACGAACATGCTTACCAAGCAAAGTTCTCACTAACTTCAGTTCTTAATATGGATGGGCAGGAATACGTAGTGTTTTGTGCTGCAGCTTGTGTTTTAATAGGTAGTCTGCTTAAACAGAAACGAAGAAGAAAACCACGATGAGGGGTGAGGCCTTTTCTGCAGCGATCAGATCCCTTAAGTGGATTTAAAAAGTTTACTCGTATATCGTGTGAAGGTTTTGAGTTGCTAGTCAATGCACTTAGTCCTCATATTGCAAAGCAAGACACCAACTACAGAAAATGTGTCCCTGTTTCAATAAGGCTTATTTATAGCTTTTATTGCCCATCAGATAATATTCCATTTATAGGCCAAAATCTTAAATTAGAAATATTACAAAAGCCTAACTTATAAAACTATCTAAGGCCCTCCTACAGAACACATTTTAGCTCCGAAATAGAACATAAAATATGTCACAAAACTTACAAATACTATTATAAATCAAACACATAACCCTTTCAGGTGATTTCAAAATCAAATTTGTGTTAGCACGACTGCAAAAGAAAGTAACATTACATCTTGAAACGGATCTTGGCGTTAAAAACTGTAGTTGTGATAACAATATAAAATAACAAATAATAAATCTGAAAACCCAGAACCTGAAGATTTTGAATTCGCTATTTTCTTCTTTTCTCTTCGGTACCAAGCCAAAATAATCTTCCATTTTCTCATTACCTCAGTCGAGTCACAATTGAAACTTTGAGCCAACTCTTGAGTGGCGTCGTGTTTTTTGTTTCTGTTTTTATAATCAGTGTGACTGGAATCCCATAGAAGAGGATAATTTTCAATTGCTTGAATAAATTTTATAATCCTATCATTCGTCCAGTCCATTTTCAATTTCGTAAAAGAAGTGCGCGCACAAACAAATGTTTTCACTCCAGGAGCGGGAGCAATACTGAGTTCGCGAACAACAAGTATGTACCCGCCGACGCGAGTCCACTGCTTGCATGTGCGCGCGCACAAAAGTAACTGATGTTCGCGAACGTTTCCGAAATGTTTGCGCACCATTTGCTATTGTTTGCGTGAGTGAGTCGACCAGAAGAAACATTTGTGCTGTACACTGTGCATTAGAGTGCCGCACAGTTCAGCACACTGGTGGAATCGCATCTTTAGGTTTTTCTTTTATACACCTATAAACCATAAAATAGGGTTATGGTTAGGTTCACAGTAGTGTTCAATCTCGAATGGCTAGAGCTATCGAATAATATCGTCGTATTAGTCCAAACTATCGATAGTTCTCGACCTCTACTACCACATAATCTACTACTCACCTGCCAATACCGTTCCAGTGCTCTAGAGTCTAGAGTGTTACACGCTCCGAAATAGTGGGGATACGTGATAACGAAAATGACAATGTGTCAAGATTGTTAGGTTATGTCAGTGACAAGGTACATTTGTGCTTGTAGTGGGCTTTATCTATAACTAGACACAAATAATTTTGAATGTCAACAGGTCAACACTAAAACATTACAATAAAAACGTGTTGCGTCATCATTCTAACAGCATCATCAGACACCAATTGGATAGTCTGACAATGCTTTTGAAAATAAAGGCAAAATGTGTTTATATTTTCACTATTTGACAGTCTGATATAAATTATAAACGTCAAAGCAAAACATCAAACAGCTTAGGTCTTTATCGTCGCATTCCCGTGCACATTTCAATTCAAAAGCACTGGAAACAGTGTTGCCAGAGCCCACATTGAAAATTCCGCTACTGATATCGAAAAACTCCGCTACTTTCCGCTTCCGCTATTATACAGGTTGTGTCAAAAAAGAAAAACAAAAACCAAACAGCGTGATAAAACATAAGAAACTGTAATAAAAAACATTTAACTATAAAAACCAATACAATATTACAAATAACTGTCAAACAACAGAACATTTATCACGCAGTCATATTAAAAAAATATCACAGGAAACAAAAAAATAAAAAGCATATGACTAAAGGCCATTTCTGTTTTGCATAAAAAAATTGAAGTTTTTGAGTTACTTAAACTTAGTCACTGTCTGTATCAGATTCTTATTGTTGCATTTCTGTTCTCTCTATACTATATAAATTATTTTTGTATTTTTTAAAATGTTTTTCACCGAACTCGAAGTCCAAGCAGCAACATTTTTATGTATTGTATCCAGTTTGATAAGTATCGCGAACAAAGTTGAAGGTAAAATACGATTCCTTTTCTTTGTTTTGATTATCTCCATATATGAGAATGTCCACTCGACATCTGCATTACCACGTGGCAAATGTTAAAATTATTAGACATATCTTTGGAAATACACTTCACAGGTTGTGTTCTTACCACCTACTACCACGTATACGTGTCTCCGTTGAATAAGAATTACCGACCGGTGGTTACCACTGTCGATTGGAAAGATCTGTATTTAGATCTAGTTACTAACTGCACTCAATTCTTTTTTTCTGGTAAAAATATCCATCATGTGTACCTAAATTGCAAAATTCCGCTACTTTTAACAAAAAATCCAATTCCGCCGCTACGAGTAGCAGAATTCCGCTTCTTCTGGCAACACTGACTGGAAAGCGGCTCGGTAGTGCTTCAACAGGGTTGCCATACTGGAGGATTTTCTCTAAATTTGGAGGAATTTTACTGTCCGACTCAACTGGCAACGCTGTACTTTCTCTGATCCGCCATATGAACATGTTTTGTGATATGCTTATTTCTTGTGAATACTTGGTGTACATCGAAAACTTGAAGAGGGAATTATACATTCAGTATATTGTCGGTTTACCTGCACAAAATACTGACATTTGTGATATATCTAACAAGTTGTAGTGCTCTCAGATAGATTATGCATTTGATGAGCCCTCGAAAGTTGCCTACTATCAAGTATATAGTCAACGCCAAACAAAGTGGCGTGCACGTCATCAAGGTGGGTGTGTTGAAAAATTTACATTGTTGCCAAACTTTTTGTAAAATAATAAAATTTATTATTTACATTTCTAGGTTTATAAGCAATATTAACCTCAAATGAGAACAAAAATAATAGTATAATAAAATTATAGATCTGTACTTGCATAATCATTAAGTATGACAATTATTGATCAGATGACACTATGAAACTACCATATTTAATTGATAGCTTAAAGGTACTGAATAAAAATCCAAATGGGGTCCTCCAAATTTTATGCATGGTATTTATTTTACAGAATTCATACAGAAAAATGCATTCTAAAATTAGGTAAGCTACTGGTGTAAGCTTTTTCTGTACAATAAAGTTAGTCGGAGTTTCTTTCTTCAGCGCTGTCTGAATCTGAATCTTCATCACTCTCAAAGTTGATTATTAAAGGTTCGATGTCTGGTCGATCAAAAATTCGTTCTCTTTCATACCATTTAAAAATTTCTTGCTCAGTATGTCGAACACTATTTTTCCACATGTCTGGGGTAACCGTTTGTAGAGCCTCGTTCCACATATCCAAACAGTCTTTTTCACTGTTACCATCTCTACCAATATGTCTGTTATAGTAACCTTTTGCTATGCCCCAAATTAACTCAATAGGGTTAAATATACAATGGTAAGGAGGCAGACGAAGAACTTTGTGCCCATGTTGTTTCGCCAATTCATCAATCACGTATATTTTAGGTGGTTTGTTTCTAAAAAAGCAGTTATTTTAAGAATAGGAATAAACAAAAGAAATATAAACTGTCGACCAAAATATATATAATTAAGAAGCATTATGTACCGAGCAACAATACTCAATAGCTCTGTTTTAAACATTGTGTTTAAAAATGGTATGTTTTGATTTGTCAACCAGTCTTGGATATTTTTTTTTGTCCATGCATTGTTGGGCACTTTGTTCAATATCATGCTGTGATAAGGGGCGTTATCCAGTATAATCATAGATGGACTCTCCAATTTTTCTAATAACTGATGTTGAAACCATTTCAAAAAATTGTCCTGGTTCATCTCTCCATGGTAATCGCTCAATTTTGTTTTCGAAGAAAATATCGCTTCACTACCCTCAATAAACCCATTTTCATTTCCAGCATGTAATATAATGTATCTAAAATATATTAGTTTTAAGTTTTATAGTGCAAATTGTGTAAAAGTACATACCTTTTACCATCTGTTTTAATAGCTTTCACGCTTTTTTGGTTTCCATTTTGCCAAGAGCGACCTATGGTCCCATTTTGAAATATCCAAGTTTCATCGAGGAAGACAAACTGGTATAAGGCCTCAACCTTGGCTTGATTGTATTGCCTTAGAAATTCCACCCTTTTCAAAGCTATACTTGGTAGTTCCATGAGCCCTCGTCGCGGATTGTCCTTAAGCCACTTAAATCCAAGATCTCTAAGCAACCGCCTTAAAGACGTGGCACTACCATCAAATAATAATAATCTTAATCGAGACCATAAAGTTTGTATCGTAACTTGTTCTTCTGAAACCATGTGTAATATGACATTATAATTTAGTTAACAAATTAATGCAAATTTCTGATAAGTTATTATAATAAGATCTTACTTTTGTGATACATAATTATAGATCACTTCTCGAATGGCACTTGTATCCAATGTCGCTGTGTTGGTTACACGTTTAATATAACTCCGCTTTTTCTTGGGCGATTCTAAATTTGCATCACTTTTCACACCCTCGGAAATACGACTAACTGTCCTTAAACTAATTTTTAAAGCAGCAGCAACACGCTACAAAAAATGAAATAAAATCTCACTATTATTAATATACATTACATATAATTATTAGTAACCTACCTCTTGAACAGCATTTAAAGGCAACAAAGGCCCGTTGTTGTCCCTTTCTTGCTCAAAGAAGTGCATTAACGAGGCCACGAGTTCCTTACACCGACTATTTAATTGTTTGGGCATCTTTATATACCAAAATTGCCTTTATCTACTCGTAAAATGAATAATTTTGTTTTGAAACAAACAGTTGTTGATTTACAGTATGCGGGGCCAAAGGATTTATAAAGATTTGAAATGTCACAAATTGATTCAGTGTCAAAATTAATACAAATGTCAGTTCCCAGTTTAAATAAGTTTCAAGGTGACAATGTGTCAACGCTGCGAAATCGGTTTAGTGCGTTTACATGTCGATAAGTGATTGGAGTGTTTGCAAAACATTTTATTTCGCATAATGCGTCTAAATTTATCAGAAAGCAACTTATGTGATATTTTAATAACAATGTTTATATATATGACTATTAACCATAATAAGAGAGTAATGACCATTTTACAATTTATATATCACATTAATATGAAACTGCAATAGAGCAATTGTTTGTGATAGAAACCTAGGCATTAGGTCGGGGAATTTTTATCGTGATGACGTGCACGCCACTTTGTTTGGCGTTGACTATAGTATGTATTAATCGTTAGACAGATATGATTTTGGTTTATGGAACTTGACTTTTAAAACGGTCTTTTGTGCTACATCTAGTTCATGCCGTATATTATATGGGTTTTAACTAAGGTATTCAAATATAACTTTCTGTAACAACTACAATAAAGCGAAAGAAAAAACAGCAGAGGACAAATAACAATAATACTGTTTAAAAATGTCCAATAGTTGATCAACTTTTGAGACTAATAGTCACAATGATCCTGCTAGATCTTCTCAGTCTACAGCCTACTGAAAAATTTCGGGACACCCTGTAATTAAAAAAGTACGAAATTTCAGAAACTGTCTAACCAACAAAGATGATTTTTTGGCAGGAGGCAGCTTATGAGATTAAAGGGCATTTGTAAGTTTTTTGATACTGCTTGGAGTTTTCTGTTGGATCTGCCACACAGGAAGCGATAGTGGAAAATTCTCAGCACAACAATGTTTGTTATAATCACTTTATTTATTAGATGCACTTTTGAGAGTAAGCTATAATTATGTATACAGAAATATTAGTTAAAAGTGTCTACTTCTATACTGCGTCCGTTCTCTCTAAAACGCCACAGTTAAGAGTGTGCCACAAGAGTGGGCACAAAATATAATACTAACATACTAACAAACAACTTAAGTTAAATAAAAACTTATGAAACATCTACTATGACCCTGTCAAATCAAATGTGCTCGATTTTTTGTATGTTTACCATTTCCCTTTCCTGAGCTTCTATAGTAGTTTAACTGATTAAATTAATGAAGTTACTTAAATAAAATGAGTATACATCTAGTGTGTATATTTGTAAGGTCGTTGGCCGAAATGTAAGCTGGCAGTTTACCTCAAGGTACATATTTGGCCATACATCATATATTCTGGGCCACTCTGTATCACCAGCTTTTTTTTTAGTATTCCACTCTTGTCGAATTTTCAATCCAATTCACATTTTGAACTATGGAGAACCTTGTGTTCCAAGCCACCATTTTTGACAGATTTATTTTTGACCTTTGACATCTCAGTGACATTCGTTTTCCTGTAAGTTTTTCAGATTTTGTTTTTTATTGCTTGGTACTGTGCTTGATACTTCGTTTTTATCATAATTTCATAACCTTTGATCTCAAATTCTCCTATTTAAACAGCGAGGAAAATAATAATATATGGTGCATTAGAACAAACAACTTAGTAAGTAAACTGTAGTTTATAAAAAATGTATTCAGGATTGTTTAATAATAAACGATGTGTTCTCCAAATAATATAAAATTGGAAAGCTATACGTTGTTATTGTTGATTTTTTGGCCGACTTTTTTTTAAATACCTTTCGATTTAAGGTGTTTAGGATCACAAAAGATGGGAGATATTTTTGAAGAGAAAACGCAGGAACGCGTTTATGGCGGCTGTGAAGGCCCTGATGCAATGTACGTGAAGCTTATATCATCTGATGGCCATGAGTTCATTGTTAAGAGAGAACATGCTCTTACCTCTGGAACAATTAAAGCTATGCTTAGTGGGCCTGGCCAATTTGCTGAAAATGAAGCTAATGAAGTAAACTTCAGGGAAATTCCGTAAGTATATCCTGGTTTTAACAAATTCTTGATGTGTTGTGGGAGTTAAAATTTGCAAGATGGAAGTTCATACAGTGGTTGGTGACTTTTCAGTGACAGTATCTGGGATCTGGCTATGAGAATTCTGTCTATATGACGCGTAGCACAATGCATGGAATTTGTGTGCTGAGATCTTGGACATGATCAATAACAGGTTTGCGAGAGCAGGGCTATAAGGTTTTGCTAACCGCAAAGTGCAAAATATAAGCAGTTGACTGTGCAAACTACCTGGCTTCTTTTATGTAAACCTCTAATTATTTGTTTATTTCCTAATGACAAAAAAAATTGTATAGGAATTGTAATACATTTTCAAATCTAAAGAAAAAAACCTATATCTAACAAAAAACAGTCATAGTAAAAAATAATGAGTTAACAGCATATATCACAATATTCTTCCACACTATAAAAGCTATTTTCAATCAAATAGTCTTTTAAAAGATTCTTAAATGTCTTTAGACTGTGGCAATTCTTTATTTCCAAAGGAAGTAGGTCAAACATTTTCAGGCCATCAATATTTGGGGACATAAATTGAGTTCTATAAGGTGGTATATAAAAGTCTTCACTAATCCTCATATTAATTGAATGCATTTGGTGATGTGTTGGGAATTTAACTCTATTTTCAAATATGTATAAACAAGTTTCCATTATATATAAACCAGTAAGTGTTGGTACTCTGAGTCTCTTAAGCAATCTCTGAATGATGTTCTAGCACTAACATCTAATACTTTTCTGTTTCATGAACACCTCTTTTGAATTAGTAGAGATCCGCCAAAATGATATGCCATATCTTATGATAGAGTCAACATGTGCATGATACAAACTAATTAATTGATTCAATAGTAGAATATCTCTTAAATTTAATACTAGATAATATAGTGAATTGAGTCTTGTTATTACATAGTCACAGTGCTGCTCCCACTCCATACAGGAATCCAAATACTCACCAAGGAATTTTATATATTTAACACGTTCGCTGCGACCTGCCTCGCGCCGCGCGCACTGTAGCGGCTAAACGATTTTAGGCGCTGCACAAGCGAAGCGCGGATTCGCGTCGTAAGCCTATTGGATGTGCGTTGTGTAATTGAAAACTATTTCTTATATACATTTTCTTCTTCTATCGTTTTTTTTCGTGCAGTAACACGAAACATGTCTTGAAACCCTATTAAAGATTTTTCTGTGGGCTGGAAAAATCATCACTCGTTTCAGACATATTTCCATCAGACTGCTCACTTCCATCTGAACTGGGAACATAATTTTCTGAATCACTTAGATTCTCGATTTCACTCCCCGAATTGGCAAGAATATCATACAGTTCTTTTTCTGTAAGCCCTTTATTACGGTTACAATACGTTTTCACTCGTTTTGGACGTGAACAACCTGCTTCCACATCATCCGCCATTGCGCAATGTAAAAATAAACGAAACTTGATCCTACGCGTAAAATAGTCCAAAAAGATGTTCAATATGTAGGTGACCAAACAGAAAGCGAGTGCGGTACAAACTGACAACACCACAGTCTTGTGAGTTTATATCAGCCAGAAGCGCGGATCCGTTCCCGCCGCTTTTCGTTAAACATCGGTCGGACGCGGATCAGCGTCTTTCGCAGTGAACGTGTTAACATTATTGAACTGAGTTCGTTGGAATTTTTTTGCCTTGTGTGAAATCTAAAACATTGTGTCTTGCTTAGATTTAAATATAAATTATTATTTGAAAACCAGTTGTGCAGCCTAGACAATGAAACATCTATATTATCTTGTAATTGTTCCTCTGAAAAACCAGAAGCTACAATTGAGGTATCTTCTGCGAATGAAGTTATCAATGCATCAGGTACAACATTAGGGAATTCGATTACATAAAGCAAAAATAAAATAGGGCCTAGAACAGTCCCCTGTGGGCCACCCATCAAACATTCTTCAATCCCAGAATTAACTTCGACCTTAATACCACCAGATTAAACATACAGCTTCATACTGTTTTCTGTTTTTGAGGAAGGTCTGCAACCATTCTAATTGCTGTTTTTTTATGCCATAATGTGCTAGCCTATTTAGAAGAGTATCATGTATGACACAGTCGAAAGCCCTTCTTAGGTCACAGAAGACAGCAGCAGGGCTGTCCCCTGCATTGACAAAGTAAACAACTTCATCATAAATTGTACAGATTGTAGAGTTTGTGGATCTAGTAGCCTGAAAACCATGCTGTTGCTCATTGATTAGCTTGTTTTTCTCAACAAACAGCAGCAGCAGATCCAAAAATCCATATTCCAGTAATTTAGAAAAAGAGTAGCACAAAGTAAGAGGTCTATAATTGTCCATTAAATGCACGTCATCCTTTTTCTATAAGGGAAAATCTTTCCAATTTTCAATATTTCAATACAAAAAGATAAATTCATTAAAAAAGGGTAAAGAATCTCAACCTCTAATATCCCATGTTTTACTTATATATCTGTACAACTGCTAATTGTAAAATTGGTTGTATAGATATGACTGATGATGCTGATTGGTCAAATGAGCAATTTTAATTACAAGAATACCTTCCTCGTTTGTTACTAAACTAAATTGTGTAATATTTTGCAGAGCGCCCTAAAAGTTGAAAAGTTCTTGGATGACCTATAGGTTTTGAAAATAACTTTTATAAAGTTATAATTAGATGATAGCCTATATTCTGATCTTATACATATCATTTATCTCAAAGTGATGCAGTTGAATCATGTGTTGAATCGAAGCAACTGAATTCTAGATTTAATTTTAGGTAACAATAGTAATTGTATAAAAAAAATTAGTCCATTGCATAAATCCTTTGGTTCCAGAAAATTATCATCATCCTTCACTGGAATTTATTTTAGTTTTTAATGTACGGTTTTTGTCTGAAACTAATTTGACGATTCATGACTTCCAAAAAGTCTTCCACTATATGGAGAGTGATGATATGCTGTTGAATATCAATTGGGATGAACTGCTTCTGCATTGTTCAGATGTCAATAAAAAGGATGAAATTTTATCAGTAAAGCTCAAAAATGTAGTTGAAGCAAGTGTACCTAAATTTAAATCACTAACTTACTATCCTATTTACTGTAAGCAATCAAAATCTATAATTTTTTTTTACTGAATTGAAAATATATATTCCATATACAGGGTTTGTCCGGAAAGTAATAGGACTGAGTCGATTTGAAAAAATTTATTGAGCCAATCGTTACATTTCTTTAAAAACTCTGCGTCAATGCAGCGCTACCAGCGCGATTTCCAAGCATTGAAGGCGTTACGGAAGGCATTCTCCGGAATAGCCTTGAGAGCCGCGGTGCATGCTGCTTGGATCCCCTGTGTCGTCTCAAAATGCTTGCCTTTCATCGGCCTTTTCAGGCGAGGAAACAAAAAAAAGTCCGGGAGGGGGCACATCTGGGCTGTAGGGCGGCTGCGGAAGCGTTGGGATGCCAGCCTTGGTCAGGTAACTGTTCACAAGAAAGGTGGTGTGAGCCGGGGCGTTGTCGTGGTGCAACTTCCAGTCGGCTGCGATGTCTTGTCAGACCCGACTGACCCTTCGTTTGAGTCTCCTGAGCACTTCCACGTAAAACTTGGCGTTGACGGTTTGTCCAGGAGGAACAAATTCATGGTGGACGATGCCTTTGATGTCAAAAAAGACAATGAGCATCGTTTTCACTTTGGATTTGCTCATTCTTCCCTTTTTTGGGCGAGGCGACGCCGTCGTGTGCCACTCGGAAGATTGCCTCTTTGTCTCGGGATCATACTCAAAGATCCACGACTCGTCACCTGTGATTACGTTATTCAAAAATTGGCGGTCACTTTCACACATGTTTAAATTTTCTTGGCACACTTCCACTCGCCGCAATTTCTGGTTGTCAGTGAGCACTTTTGGGACCATCTTCGCGTACACCTTGCACATGTTCAAATGCTGTGTCACAATGTCACGAACCAGAGATTTTAGTAAATTTAACATCTGGGCAATTGAACGAATACTTAGTCGACGGTCTGAGTTCAAAACTTTGCGCACACGAGTCACATTATCGGTGTTTGTCGAAGTCGAAAGTCTTCCAGCACGGTCTTCATCAGCGACCTCTTCCCGGCCCTCCAAAAAGGCCTGGTGCCACCGAAACACACCACTTCTTGCTGAAGCAACACCTGGGTAAGCCTGCTTGATCATATCAAACGTCTCTGTCGCAGATTTACCGAGTTTCACACAGAATTTAATCGCGTAACTCTGCTCTAACGAACGCTGCATTTTCGGCTTGCACCACTCACAGAAACACGTCGCGTGAAAATGCCTGTCCTGACTCTCCAAGTGCTCGGAACAGCCGCTCATTCGTTAGCTAGGAATGCCCTCTACCAAATCCAGTCGGTGCGCGCGCGAAGTACAGTCATGGCGGAAGAAAATGAGTCCTATTACTTTCCGGACAAACCCTGTATGTAGATTATAAATAACAATCCTTAAAATTTACTTTGTTTAACTACTGTGGATGTCTAGTTTGGAGATTTTCTGTTTCATATCCCTAATTTGTTTAATAAATAAATAATTACAGTTTATGCTGGTGTTCTTTGCTGTAGTACTATGTTGCGCATTTGGCTAGCTAAACAAATAGCACTTAGAAAGTTTTGCAAGTATTTTCAGAGGAAAAAACTGAAATCTAAAATCGTTTTTCTTTTTTCCTGATTATTTGACATGGTATTGCAAAATGAAAAGTACATTAATACTACCAATATTTCTCCTCTACAAGATGGCATAATTAGAATTTCAATATGACATTTCATATATATTATCTTCAATCGTCTTTATTTTTTCAAATAGACACCATATCGGATTTTTATGTAGGTGAATAGTTTTTCATTTTGATTTCAAACATGTATAATATGTCATATATTGACTTAGTTATTTAAAAAAAACAGTTTCCCAAGTAGGCTTTGAATTTATCATATAGTCATTTATTTCATAATATCATCAGCCCAGGATTCCTTCCATTTTCATGAACCATGCATAGGTGAACAGTCCTTATTTTTGAGTTTTTAGTGTGAGCTTGGTAGATAACTCTGTTATTACATACAGGGTGACCCAACGAAAAGGTCGTACCCCTATTTGTGACTCTCGTATATTTTGGAAAAAAAAGCTCCGACACGTCAATTTGGATTTCATCTTTAGACGTACAATTCAGGGTGATCCTGATATTGCATTACACTTTAGCTTTTTGAACGGCAACCCCTCCTTTTTTTATTTTTAGATTTTCCATGAAGTTTTTAGTAACTTTTGTAGAATAAAGTTTATACCTATCTTCAATCGATGTAAAGCTATTTGAGTTTATTATAAAATTCTTGAAATTTTGACTATATTGCGACAAATATTGAATAACAGATTTGCACTGTTGATTAAACGTTGGGACATTAATTCAAAAAACTCCAACCTTCTATCAAAATCGTCTTCATTAAGCTCATGGACAAGTTTTATCTTGCATGGATGAAATGTATTGTCTTTCAAAATTCTTTGTACTGTTGAGCGTGTAACTCCTGAAGAAGTGGCCAGTCTTGTCAAGTGCTACGTGTCCCAAAACGTCAATTTCTGCGGCTTCATTTTTAACTGGTCGATTTTCTCGATGGCGATTACGGCGAATATTAGGCACAGATCCAGTTTCTTCAAATGTTCTTATCAACTTATCGTTAATATTTTTGTCTGGATGTAACGCATTAAACGACCGGGCAGTAGCTCTTGCAATGCTCCCATTTTGGTAATACACTTTTGTTATTTCTACCCGTTCTTGAATTGAATAAGTCATTATTGGATATTTATCACAACTAGGTAGGTAACTTAACAATTTGAAATGAAAGAAAGGTTTTCTATGACATACGATGACACTGACTGATGCTAAATGTTCTTGCTGGTATCCATAATTATTATTTTTTGCCGTCCATTCCAGTATTATCAGTATTACGTTAGTAGAATTTTATTATAAACTCAAATAGCTTCACAACGATTGAAGATAGGTATAAACTTTATTATATAAATCTAAAAATTAAAAAAAAATAGGGTTTCGATTTAAATATCTTATCTTTGGATCACTCTGTATTGTACGACTAACGATGAAAAGACGTCCCTATAGAAATCAAAATTGTCGTTTCCGAGCGTTTTTCCCAAAATATACCAGGAGAGTCACAAATGGGAATACGACTATTTCGTTGGGACACCCTGTATAATACCAGAAATAAGAACGACCGAATTTTATTATAAACTCAAATAGCTTCAAAACGATTATTACTTTATTATACAAAAGTTACTAAAAACTTCATGGAAGGTCTACAAATGAAAAAATGGGAGTTTCCATTTAAAAATCTAAAGTGTAACGCAATATCTTATTTTTGGATCACCTTGTATTGTACTGCTATAGATGAAGATACGTCCCTCTAGAAATAAAAAATGGCGTGTCCGAGCGTTTTTCCCAAAATATACCAGGAGAGTCACAAATGGGGGTGCGACCTTTTCGTTGGGCCACCCTGTGTGCTACTCCCAACATTGCGGACACACTGTATACTAGAATATTTCAGACATTTCATATTTGAACTCATTTTCAGTTTACTTCTTTCATCTACTACCAAAAAATAGCTCGTTACTTCTCCTTAGTTTCAAAAGGTTTTCACAGTCTTGCCTTAAAAGACTCCCATATATTTTGTAATTTTACTCGTAAATCAGAAATGGTTCGTTGTGGATCATTTCTCAACTGTTGCTTCATTTTGTGCCATACAGATTCGATAATATTTAAATCAGGACTACTGGAAGGCCAGTCAAGGACGGAAATATTATTCTGTAACCATTTTTTTTGTGGTTTTTGCCGTGGAGATGACGCCCCATCTTGTTGAAAAATAAAGTTTCTATCAGGTGATGAAATTGGAATTGCCATAGCAAATTGCTTTCAAGGATATCTCCATATTTAGCTGCGTTTACAGTTCCGTCTAGGAAGAGAAACATATATGCTTCTTCATACCATTAAACCTGATGGAAACTTTACTTTTGTGTGTAGGCAGTCTTTACGAAACGCCTCATTGTTTCTTATAACCCGGGATCGGTGGTCACCCACACAAACAACAAATTTCGATTCATAGCTAAAAGTGATCTTTTTTCTAGTCTTCGTAAGTCCACATTGCCCGTTCCTTAGCCCACGCTAATCGCATTTTCTTTTGTTTTTCCGGAAGCAACGGCTTTTCTTTTGCCTAAAGGAAAGATTTTACTGAATAAATATGTTATATGTCCCTACAATGCAGCCTACGTACCTTATAAAAGTGCAAACCAGACTTATGAATCCCCCGACGGCACGTTTCTCGTGAAACATTTCCTGCTGTTTCCTCATTTCATTTTGCTGTTATGCCCTTTACAGTATCTCGTCGAGCAGTTTTATGAGATATTTGCACTCTAGGGCTAATCTTACGTGGCCTACCAACACGTCTTGAAACTGCGTCTCCATTCTTTTTTACAATATCTGCCTCCGTAGACTTTGCGACATTTATTTGTTTAGTAATATCCCGAAAACTCTTTCCTTGATGAAACAATTTTATAATTAAAACTCTGATTGCACCGTTTGTTGCTTTACCACGCGACATTTCAAAGCAAATTGATTCGCAGAATTGATTATTAAATCGAAACATGAAATTGTAAACACTTTTTTGTTTTCCTGGCCTGCTATTATTTTCTTTTTAATATACAATATTGTCTTAAAAAGCAAAACAGTTAATTTACTACTACTACTACTACTACTATTCAAAACCTACTTAATTTTGCAGTACCTGAAAGAGTTACACGCTACACTGTAACTTTTTACAACCCAAATGGCAAGACAAATATCTCAGATATGGCACCTATAAATAGAATGTGCACTTCTTTTAATGAATATTGCATGGGCTGTGATATTAATTGTGATGGTCTTGATGTAATTCTGGCCATTCTTAAACATAATTACATTGTGGTGGGACGTTGAGATATGCATTGCAATGTGATTTTTATTATATTTTGTATCTATTTTTGTTGTATTTACTTTATTTACTTTTACTTTTATACCACATGTATGTCTGATGTCTTTGTATATCACTTCTAATTGTATTGTTCCTGTGATTGGGTATATCCCGTTGGAATAAATATTATTATTATTATTAGCATTATTATTACTTAAACAAAATGACAATTACCCTATTTAAACGGGTTTTTTATGGTAGAATGTTTTAATGGTTTAGGTGATAAAAAAATATTTCCTGCAGTAGATAAATAAGTTAAATTTCTATCAGCCTACCACTACGTAGATATTTTTTGTTTCAGGTCGCACGTGTTGCAAAAAGTGTGCATGTATTTCACTTACAAAGTGCGCTACACAAATAGTTCTACTGAGATTCCCGAATTTCCCATCGCCCCAGAAATCGCATTGGAACTTCTTATGGCAGCCAACTTTTTAGACTGTTAGAATAAAATTTGGGTATATATGCTTATTTTAATTGAAGACGCAAGTGGATAAAGGTGTCATGTAACAAAATCATTGTATGGAGAAAATTGACTTGAAACATTTTTTATTGAGTCTTTTTTACTTTATTGACAATTTAAATATTTAGTTTGATTAGTTTATTACGTTGTTTTTGCAACAAAGTAATCACAGAATGAAAGGATCACCCCTTAAGGTTAGTTTAATGCAAAAAAGCATTTTTTTAATGTTACATGGCACCTTTATCCACTTGTGTCCTCAATTATTAACTAACTAGTTTATCTATTAATTTAAATTATTGATCTAGTTTGTGAATGATATCCACGCAAGTAAGTGACCATCGTGTGTAAATGCAATAAACATATTAGTGAATGATTTTATTTTTTGTACGCTATTATTAAAAGGAATGAGCTTGGGTTTATTTTTTATTTAAAATACATAAAACATCAATATAAACATAGAGTAATGATTTTATAAAAAAGTTCACAAAATTATATAGTCTCTTGATATTTTAACAGTATCATTGAATATAAATGATAGCTTTGTAATTTTAAAACAAGTTAGCACCATCATAAGTTTTTACTTGTTATCTAAATGTAATAATAGTACTACCAATGGACCTGGAACTTTGTATATGTCCTACTGCTATTTCGATATCATGTGGTTGGTACACCTTATCAACTACAGTTTGGAGGTAACCATCTTCTACAAATTCTGCTAACTTATCCAAGGTGACATAACACAGATGAGTTTCATCAAAAAAGTTGAATGATGATCCTAGCATGGACTGAAAATATAAAAAAATAGATTCTTAATCATCTAAGATATAACTCGTAGAAATTAGAAATAAATATACGAGAAATCATGTTTGTCTAGTCGTCGTTTTATGTGCTCATAAAAATAATACATTTGTTCGATAATTCACAAAACTGTTTTTAAAATCACAGGAAAATGAGCAAATGGAAAAATATTGAGTAGTGCTTGCTGTGTCTTTTTAAGATACACGCTCCAGAATATACTGATTTGTCTGTATTTAATCTGATAGGGGCTGATACTACAGCAGGTGAAAAATTTAGTACATAGGGTGTCGGCAAAGTTGGAAGCGGTTTTTCCTAGTAGCATATACCGGGTGCGCCATCTTTTATGTCGGTATTGAAACATCGAATGACTTTGATATTTACCAACCGACTGATTTGGTTATAGATGTTTCTGAAACGTCAATTTACTACAATTTTAGCCGCTTTACACCGAAACAATGCGCCGAAATAGTCACAATGTACCCAACGTGTATATCGTCGAAAATATCGTGGGAAACAGGCACCGTCTGACAACACTATCCGTCGTTTGGTTTCGAATTTTTCTTGAGTACCGGACAGTGGGAGATCGTTTACATACCGTTCATCAACGACCAAGACGTTCGAATGAATTGGTTGAAGCGGTCAGAGACAGCGTTGTCCAGAACCCAAAAGTGTCGTATCGTCACCGCGCTCAGCATTTTGGCATCAGTGGAACCACGTTGCGGCGCATTTTAAAGATGATTTGCATTTGTTTCCTTATAAGGTGCAGTTAACACAAAAAATATTGCTAACTGACCGTCCACGTCGCTTGGAATACGCCCAAACAGTCGCTCGCATGGTTGATGCTGAACCTGATTTTTGGAAGCAAATTGTGATGACCGACGAGGCCATTTCACACTCTCTGGCGGCGTTAATATGCAAAACTGCCATATTTGGGGGACGGTAAATCCACATGAGATCCAGAAAATGCCGTTTCATAACCGAAAAGTGACTGTTTGGGCCGGCGTTTGCGCCAAAAGCATCATTGGGCCATTTTTCTTCAACGAAAACGAAACAATCGATGGAACTCGATATCGGTGGATGTTGGTTCACTATGTCTGACCATAAATGCGTGAAAAATGTCTTGATAGTTACTGGTTTCAACAAGACGGTGCGCCATGCCACACTGCAAATGAAACAATCCAGTTTCTGCAACGAAAATGCTCTGAACGTCTGATGTTAAAAAGAGGTGACATTGACTGGCCACACAGGTCTCCAGATTTGACCCCCCGGACTTCTTCTTGTGGAGTTATTTAAAAAGTCAAGTGTACGCCAGCAAGTCCCAGACCACTAAAGAACTCAATTCAAACGTACCGCAACCGCCGCTATACCACCAGAGCTGCTCGAAAAAGTAATGGAAAACGCAGCAAAACGGGCACATTTTGTTTTGACCAAAAATGTGGCCACTTGATATATGTTGCGTTCAAAAACTAGTCCCAATAAATTGTAGGGACCATATTTAATAAAAATACCCAATATATAGAAATCAGTTTTTCGTTTCCTAAGTTATTTCATGTTTACATACCGACATAAAAGATGGCGCACCCGTACAGGGTGGCCAATTAAGAATCCGAGGTACTATATCTGGGAACCCATCCATCGTAGAGGCTTACGGCAAATAAAAACTTACTAAAACGGCCCAGAGAAAAACCAGGAAAATATTTCAAGTTTCTGAAATGGCCGCTTGGGGCGTAACTGAAATCTTGAATCTAAAAAAGTGATGTTTCTGAGAATTCCACTGTATTAACCTAACGAAGAAGTACCTGATCTTCAAAGTCGAGGATGTGAACTTTTCTGTTTGAAAATTTTTCCTGTATCTCTAAAAATAAAATGGTGGGGCGTATTCAAAGGTTTCCCTAAAAAAGTCTGTATCTTCGAAACTGCTGAGCCGGTTTTAACAAACTCGGGCTCGTTGAAAATAGCTATTCTTGCGCTACAAATGCTATAATATTTGAAGTTTCATTAGTTTTACATGTGGCCGCTAGAGAGCTTTTTTTGACATTCCAACAGAAATGGTTAATTTTCTCAGAAAAATTAAATGCATTAGTATATTTTTTTTTTAAGAAAAAGTACCTAAATGATGTCTAAATGAGCTGGCGAAAACCGTATCTCGATATCTTGTTCCTAACCTAAAATTGATTCCAAAGACTATTTTATTCGGAAATCCCTTAATTTTTCTGTTTTTTTTTTATTATGGCCCTAAAAAGGACTGATTTAAATAAGAAGGGTTTTTAATACCCCCGTAAATGCTCGAAATGCTGACCATCCCATGGGTAAACAAAACTGCAGCTTCAATTTCGGCTCTTGGTAGGTTACGTATTGCATTACGAATCCGGTTTCTCGTACTCGTATCTTGTTTGTTGAAATACTGCATTAATATGCTCTCGCACAGTGATAGCAAAATGTGCTGGGCAACCATCTCCAACCGCAAAAACAAGTCTTGCCGTGTTTCCAGTGGTATATCTTCCAACAACGGTAATTAATTTTCGAAAAGGTCAAGACAGACATTGCCATTTAGGGATTGCTCGAAAAATTATGGCAAAATAATTGTGCCTCCCAGTATGCCACACCACACATTTAAACTCGAACGCCTTTGGTGCTGAAGTTCACCCAACCAATGTGGATTTCCTGCAGACCAATAATGCATATTGTGCAGATTAACTCTCCCGTCACTATTAAACGTAGCTTCATCGGTTCAAAGAATTTGAAATACAAATTCCCTATTTTCGCGTATCATACCTAACCTCCAATGGTACTAATCCAACCTTCGATCACAGTCTTCCTCTTTCAAGGCCTTATGCAAAACGATATAATATGGGTGCATTCTAAAAGTAATTAAAATAAGTTAAATTTTAATAAACCCCTATATTTTTATGGCCATTAGAACTATGGTCCTCAATATATAAATTTTTCTTTGGCCTGAATTTCAGGTTAGGAACAAAATATCGAGATGCGGTTTTCTCGAGCTTGTTTAAACATCATTTAGCTACTTTTCATGAAAAAAAAACAATTTTTTGGAAAAATTAACCATTTCTGTCGGAATGTAGAAAAAAAAGCACTCTAGCGGCCACATGTGAAATTAACAAAACTTCAAATATTATAAAGTTTGTAGCCCAAGAATAGCTCTTTTCAACTAGCCCAAGTTTGTTAAAATCGGCTCAGCCGATTCGAAGATACAGGGTGTTTTTTTACAGAAACCTTTGAATACCCCCACCACTTTTTTTTAGATATACAGCTAAAAAACAAACAAAAAAGGTTCAGATTTTCCTCGAATTTAAAGACCGGCTATTTTTTTGTTAGGTTAATATAGCATTCTTAGTTTGCCGTCCTGTACATATCATGACATAGATTGGTATTATTTCTATAAAACTTCAAAGATCTAGAAAAGTAATGTTCCTAGAGTTTGTCTTAACTAATAGAATAGAGATCAACGTAGTGCATATTGTTTAAGGGTCGTGTTGAAAACATTGAAAAGAGTATTATTTTATGTAACTGATAGAAACACTGTAGTCTAAATAAAGGCCACGACGATGTTGCAGCTTCCTGAACACATTTCATATCTGCCATTTCTAAACCGATGAACACATCTTGCATTCAAATACTATTAATCTACGGCTGATGTGTCATATAGAACGTCTCCATCGTGCAGAAATAATATTTGTTATAATGTTAATAAATTAGCAAATTATTTGATCTAAAATCAAATAGAAATAACGTATTAGGTAACGATGTAGAATTAAATGAGATATGTGTAAATGTTTTCGTGGCAGCGACATAGCATATCGAAAATTGTGAACATTACAAGTGGCAATGCTCCGCAGGGGTATTACGTAACTTGGAAAGTGACAAGATATCAACTTGAAATTAGCTGTCGTTCACTCCATGCTCACTTGTAGCAACTACCTAGTCAACACGTTGACATTCTATCATTTTATAGGTTTTAAGTAATAACCCTGCGGACAAAAATTAGAAAACACATCATGGCATTTCTAATTCTACATTCTATATGAAAAATATGTGATCGTTACTGGTTCGGGTACCAGGCACCAATACTGCTACGGAATATATTTGATAGTAATCTGTTAAAAAATATCGAAACCTATCAAGGCTTTCAAGATGGGAGGAGGAACATGATACTCAAAGGTAGGTGACCCAATATACTTTTTATTATCAAATAAATCATTATTCGCCACTTACCAGAAATTTGTGTCTCAATTTGATGTACAGGGAAAGCAAAAATCGGCTACTACCTCCACAGCTGTCAGATAATAAAGGTGGAGGCAATGTAGATATTATTGTGCCATCAGTCTTTAGGAATTTGGAGAAATGTTTATTTTCGAAGTCGCATTCGTGATTCGTCATTATTATTATATCATATAATTCGTCCTTTACTTCTAATTGTTTTATGAGAGATGGATTAGTCTTTTGTGGACTATCTCCTGTGGACATAGAATAAATAAATAAATAACTCCAAGGCATTGTTCTCACCAAAAGCAACTCGACTTCATCCCAATTTCTACTTTTGCGTTCTCACTGAAGCAACTGGCAGTTTTTGTTTTGAGGTTATGTCTATTCTCTAATATGAAGGCGGCGTAGCGGACAAAGGTTTTGCAATATGACTTATCAAACGGACGCAGGAGGATGTATGTTACTGTATGTTGAGACATGCCCATGAGTGCAGCACGTCTGTTGATTTAATTGTTCATTCGTGTTGACAGGGAAAGTGTGGTCTATGGCATCGTGGTCACGTAGTGAGGTAAGGGCAGTTTTGCGGTATAAGTTTACGCGTGGTTTAAGCATAAACCAGTGCTTAGAAGAAATGACGCTTGCATTAAAGAATGATTTTCCTCATCGTACGACTATATTCAGGTGATACAGATAATTCCAAAGAGGCAATTTCACTCAGGAGGAGGCTGAGAGGGAAGCAAGGCCGCGAACGTCAGTTACAGAGGAAAACATTACTGCTGTGTGGAAAATGCTTGACAAAGACCGAAGAGTGACATATGTTACCAACAGATACAGGAGACCTTACACCTTCATGCACCAGTAATTCATTCAATTCTGCATGACCATTTACACGTAAGGGAAGTTTGTTCTCTCTGGGTACCGCATAGTCCGACGGAAGAGCAGAAGACTCGTCGTACGACTTGGTGCCGAATGATGCTGAAATCGTTTGAAAAGGGGCAATCTCGGTATGCGAACAGCATCGTGACAGGTGACGAGACTTGGCTCTATTATTACGATGTGCCGACCAAGGCTCAAAACAAAGTTTGGGTCTTTGATGATGAGGACACACCCGTAGCTGTCAGAAAATCCCGATCAGTTCAGAAAAACATGATAGCTCTGTTTTACAAATCGAGCGGGATTGTGGAGAGTGTCGTTTTGGACACACAGAAGACAGTCACAGCTAAGTGGTACTCGGAACAATGCCTGCCTAAAGTCAGAGTCTATGAAATACCTGCGGCCAGAGTCAAGAATGGACACTTGGTACCTCCAGCATGACAACGCTCCAGGTCACCGCGCCAAAACCGGCACCGAGTATTTGACCACTACTGGACTGAAACTTATTGAGCACCCTCCTTACAGTCCAGATCTTGCTCCCTGCGACTTTGCACTGTTTCCGCATGTGAAAATGAAGCTAAAAGTAAAACGGTTTTATAGCGATGAGGACCTTCTGAGTGCTTGGGACAAGGAGTGTGGCGCACTCCCGGGTGAAACTTGGCAGAGCTGGTTTAAGGACTGGTTTTGGCGGGTGGAGAAGTGTATTGAATGTCCATATTTAGTTGTAGAATACTTATCTCCAAATGTAAAAATTGTAAAGGTCAATAAGGAGATAATCATTCATAAAAATAGGACGAAACATTATTATTCATGTACAGTGTAATCAAGATTTTAGGAACTAGGTTTTGGTGCGTAGTTAAGTATTATCATATATTCTAATTTTTTTTTTGTATCTCTCCTTCTCAAACTTATTTTCTTCTACTTATTTTTCATTTCCAGCGCATAGTTTGATAGCAATTAAGAAATAAATTTTATATGCATACAATGTTTACAAATTTGTATATACGTATACATATATATTTTATATTTACTCGTCGTGCCATAAAACGTTCTCAGCGGGGTAGAAGAATTTTCATTTCATTACACTGTGTTACTTGATAAAAAATGTAGTGATTTACAGGATCCATGTCATTCTAGATCGAGAAATTTCAGTTTTAATAGACATTTGATTATCACGTTACCTTGACAGCTTAAAATATTTTTTGTCTTGTAAGCAATATGGCGTATTTTAGATTATTCACAAATTCCTTTTTAGCGCCGCCTAAATGTCACTTGTTAACATTGTTGGAAAGGGAATTTTGCATAGAGTACGATTATGGAAGAAAATATACAGATTTCCACTTGAAAAACGAAAGTCAAGGTCACTCCCGGTCAAACCGGAAGCGAGAGATAACCCATTCAACTTTCCATAAATGCATCTTAACGACTAACTAAACATGTCCCAATCTTGGAACGATATCTTTATTTGCCAAAAAATACGTGTTTTCAATTGTCATTGTCTCCCGGTATACTTAGGTATATTACTTTTAGATCTTTATAATTGTTATTGTATTTTTTCTTACTTTTCAAATGTTAAGTAACAGAATAACTTTAAGCCCTCAATAAAAGACGTTCATAGTAATTATTTACTAAAAAAACTGCCAATACGTAACAAGTATATTTGTCATGAACCATCTGTGGAAAGTAATACCTTTTATGCAAACATATTTCTCGAGTCTAATCAACTATACTATTAATTTGATTGACACACTGCTTTTACCAACTGTAGCTCTATCGGAAGGTTTTCAACACCGATGTTCCACTTTACTTACTTGAAGGAACACAAACACGCAATGGAAAAGAGAAGTACTTTTATACAATTATTAACAATAACTTCCACATGTGACATCTTCCATCAATTAATAGGCAACTGCAAAACGACTACTGCCTGCAGTTCCGCAACTTGTCGCCTTGCCGTTTCTTTTGTGTGAAAGCTTGTATTTGACATGTGCCAAGTCGGGTTGCGGATGCCTTCGGTGAGAACGGTTCCTACTTTGAAAGTTCTTATAAACTATGTCATTGATGACATACCCGAAATATATACTGACATATAAAATGCAAAGCAAAGAATTATTTATTGAATTTTGATAAAAACTTGTAAACATATTTGCTATCATGGAAGGGTACGTTGATAAAATGTGGAAGGAATTCCAAGCCGCACTTTTTTACTTTTTTTTGTAAAGGCTTTTTTGTCATACCAGGATCCGAACAATATGAACATGTTTGCTTAATCATCAGTGATTTTTCTGTGTTGTTTCATTGCATTATCATGCCTAAAGTTCCCAGACGCGCTAATTTCACTCAACTTTCCGAGTTTGAGCTAATGAAGCTAATATTCCATCGAACGGCATATTCATCGCACTGTGCGTGTTATGGTATGGGGTGCCATTGCTTACGGCAGCAGGTCAGGATAGTGTTCATTCGAGGTAGCATGACTGACCAGCGCTGTATCCACGAAGTTTTACAACCACATCTGCTTCCCTTTTTGGAAACATTGCAAGATCTACTTTTTCAACAGGACAATGCACGACCTCATGTCGCAGGTGTCAGTTTAGGCTTTTTAGAAGCGTCCGGAGTAAGCCTGCTTCAGTGACCTCCTCAATGTCCAGACCTTTCTCCCATCGAAAATGTAGGGGGCATGATGGGGAAGAAGGTTGCAAAATTCACCGCACCCTCCACAAACATTGCAGGTTCTACGAATGTGTAGCGAACAGAGGAGCTTCAATACCTTATTAACATTAAGGTGGAATATCTCAGCTATTTTGCGAAATTTCGACTAAAAATTTTAATCACTAGACCTAAATGCCGTAAAAGTATGCTCAAAATTACAGCACTCCTAGTCGGTGTAGCATTTTCTATGTCATTTAGTATAGTTTTAAAAATAAAACGACTCACCTTCTGCAAAACTTGTTTCATTAATAGATTCAGGTTCTTCTAAAATAATTACATCCGTAGCACCTAAAGCTTTCACAACCGGTATTGCTCTCTTATAACAAGTTGTTGTGATGTCTGCTTTCCAATGCCTTAGCAATTGAATGAGAACACAACCAACTGGAGAACAACCACCCTGGATGAGGATTCTAAAACAGATGGGAAAAGGTACATAACAAAAACAAATATAGCAGTGTTCGTCGTTATAATTTAGACAATAGCAATTGTTGTCATGAAAACATCATACATGCTTTTACCTATGAAAATGAATTCAATAAGGGAAAAGGTACAAACTAATAAAATGAAACGTATTAAATTGGTTTTCATATTATGTAGAAGAATGTTTGATCTTGCATACAAAAAATACAAAAATAAAGCCGCAAGTTCATATAAAATAATCTTCTACGGGGCTCCCTCATCTAGAGGACGTCAAGTCTACCTGACGATGCATATTTCCGTTATTTGTTTTTACCTACCTTTTATTTGAAGCATTTGCAAACTCTATCCCTGCCTCTCCCAGAGCGGACAAAGCTAAGCTCCCAGAGTACGGCAAACTACAAGCACTTTCGAATCCAATAATCTTTGGTTTTCTGCCGACCCATTTCTCAGGTACTGATATAGTTTGACACATGGTGCCCTGAGACCAAAATGGTACCGTCACCCATACTTCATCTCCTACTTCCAACCGGTGTACTTTGTTGCCTATATCTGTTATAATTCCTGTGCAATCTCTACCTAACGTTACTGGAAGATCACTTTTTGATTGCTGAAAAATTGGGTATTAGACTGCTAAAAGTTTTAGCTGCCAAATAGTACTTAAACCTATCCATAACTACACTTTACCGCCAGGATGTAGATAAATATACGAGTTGCAATGATTTCTCGTTTACCTTATATATTTGCTGAAGGATCCTCCTCAAAGTCCTGCCATATCCACAACAAATCTGTGCATCAATATATTGAACAGATGCCGCTTTTACATTTACAAGTACTTCGTCTTCACCGCATACATTAGGAGCGATAGCGTCTTCAGCAACAGCTATTGACTAAAATTTTACAACCATCGTTTATATGATTTTCCAAGCCATTCAACTAAGTTCAATCATGAACATTTCAGATTTCTCAACTAAACTGGTGGACAGTTGCTTTGCAACATGGAAAATTTTACCAAAATTCAAATCTCGATATTTTCGGAAGGAAAGACATATCGAGTTGCGGTATTCGCGAGGTTCTTGACCAACCCTTTGAGAACACGTACATGTTTCGATCGGTATATTTCTTTTAGTCGTATGCCACTGACCAGATACAACAGAACGTGTAACATTGCTCCGATATTTATTTCAAATTTTTTGAACAATATCGAGCAGATGGTGCCAAAGTAAGATACACTCTTGCGTAGAAAATACAGAAAACAATTTTGAAAATAGTTCGACAGTCGGTAGGTTAACCTTCTCCGAAAGGTTGACTTGGAAGGTGTCACCTGGCGCTGGCTGATAGACAACCACAGATATAATCAAAAATCGCTTAGCCGGAACACCGGGGAAAGTTAGGTACAGAAGCTCAACCAAAAACTAAGAGGAGCGGAGTGGCAAATGTCACACAGAGAGTCAGACATTGAGTCTGAAGAAACATCAACTGACGACGGTAAAAGAAAAAGATTTACTGACAGGAGCTGCAGTGTTCAAGAAAAGCAAGAAAACCAGACGGTCCCCAGTCAAGGAAGAAGTAAAATATCATAAGGACGAAATGGAAGAAATAAAAGAATTTAAGAAAACAATCATGCATGATATAAAAGAAATGAGAAAGGAAAACCAAGAATTTAAGCAAGAAATGAGGACATTGAAGCAAGAGAATCAAGAGCTAAGACACGAAGTTGCAGAATTAAAGAAAAGAGTGATGCAGTTAGAGATTATAGAAGAGAAGATCGAGCAAGATGATAAGATGAAGAGGAAGAATAATCTAGTAATAACTGGGCTGAAGATTGAAGGCTCAGACAACGAAGGAAATTGCAAGAGCGTCGAGAACGTACTAGAGCAGCACCTAAAAGGGAAAACAAAGATAAACCGAGTATCAAAAATTAAAAATGAACTACATGTGTTGAGGTCGATAACTTCAAAGACAAACTAGATATCATGAAGGCTAAAGGGAAGTCCAATTACCTAAAACAAAATAAGGTATTCATAAATAGCGACCTAACCAAGAAAGAGAGAGGCATACAGAAAACACTTAGGGATCGGGCTGCTATAGAGACAGCCAAAGGAAATGCCGCAAGAGTGGGATACCAGTACATAATAATAAATGGCATAAAGCATTCGTGGAACAAAAAAGAAAACAAAATAGAAGAGATCGAAAACCCGATTAACATTGAGCAAGAGAATTCAAAAAACTAATACACAAGCAAATTGCGGACGAACCGGATACGACAAAGACACTGCAATTAGGAACTGGGAATATTCGGCACATAACAAATAAAGACACAGGCGAAGATATAACACATGATTCAACTACAAAGAAAAGGACACTTGTTAAAACAAACGGTAAAACATGCAATATAGGAACCTGGAATGTAAGAAGCATTAGAGGTAAAGAAAAGGAATTGACTCACGAGTTTGAAAAAGCTTAACTAGATATTTTGGGCATTTGTGAAATAAAGAAGAAAGGTCAAGGAATGATCGAACTTGATGGAGGACACATATTAGTGTACAGCGAGGTCCCAACCGACCAAAGGGCTCGAGAAGGAGTCGGCTGCGTCATCAGAGCAGAATATGCTAATTGTCTGAAGAAATGGGACTGCGTCTCGGAAAGAATTTTAAGGTTAGAAATCCAACTTATTGAAGAAGCCTATACTACCATAATAATTACATACGGTCCTTGTGAAGACGAAAAAAACGCAGCAAAAAACGAATACTGGAAAGATTTATCTGAAGTGGTAGAGAATGTTGGAGGAATAATTCTGATAATAGGGGATATGAACAGCAGAGTAGGTAAGAGAACCTGCGATTCACTAGAAGTAGTAGGGATCGCCTATAAAAACCGCACGCTCATCCAGTTAACCGATCAGTTTCAGTCGACCCGCCAAGCCGAGCACTTCGCTCTCGCCGACAGCGCCACTGAATATGGCTACCGCAGATGTAGCCGAAAGCTCTGGACCAAATCCAACACGACCCCGGCTCAACAGCCCGAAAAACCTAAATTACAATGTTTAACTTATTAGCACTTCTTACCAAATCTTTTGGTGTTACGCCACTGGAATACACCCCTATTTTAAAAGTAGTAACTGGGATTTGTTCATTGAGCTGTTTAATTGCATAGCATTTATAAATTTGGTTTAAATTACATAATGTCAAAATAGCAAATTTTTACTGCACGCCACTGGAGGAAATAACTTTCAATGAGAGCTACTATCTTTTCTCGGGCGCAAGAGATTCCACTTTATGCAACAGTACGAGAACAAATACCAATTCTCAAGAGAAACCCCCAAAAAGTCACTTTTTTAGGATAAATGTAACACTTTTTTTAATTAAAAAACCTGACTTCCTTTGATCACCCTGTTAAGCAGATAAATAAAAGAAATATGCTGGTCGAACCATGTACGTGTTCCCAAAGAGTCGGTTAAGAACCGTCCGCATACCGCAACACTATATCTCTTTGCGTTCTGAAAATATCGAGATTTGAATTTGGGTAAAATTTTCCACGTTGCAAAGCAACTGTCCACCGGTTTATATTGACAAAAGATGTATTCACGAAAAATCTATGATCATGAAAAACATATCCAAATGTTGATTAGATGAGTCTAAACCTACAGGGGTATTACGTAACTTGGAAATGACATTTCATCGTTTTTTTTGACATTATATGTTTTTTTTGACAGTATGTAGGTTTTCCTATAAGATGTCAACTTGGAACTAACTGTTCTTTACTTAATATGCACTCGCTGTGCAGCTGTACGTGTTGCCTGAACGTCATGACGCTTGAGCTATCAGCGTTCGGCTCTGATGTTATGTATCATCTGCTTAGTCTAATCATATTAGCAAATTTCCCCGAAATAATTTTAAAGTCAGGTTTTATTGGTGCAAGTTATTCAAGGAGGTATTTAAAATATGGAAGCATAAACTGGGTACACCAATGTTTGTGGGAAAACTTTTTATCTGGCAACAAAGAATGAGAAAACATGTTTTTTAGGATTCAATCGAAAGTGTTGACAGGAACAGAAAACTTTTTATATAAGATTTTTAGGTATTTATGAGACCTACAAAATGAGACAACAAGTAAAAAGATCCGACAAATAACAAAAATGTTATGGCCGAAAAACGAGTCAAAATGCAGGTTTTGGCACTTTTTTATATATTCCAACTACCACGGAGGCCTAAGGCCTAAACACCCATGGGGTACCGTGGGGCTATAGAGGGATTTAGGGGAAAGGGGGAACGCCATACGGACTCTGGCGAAGAACACGTGTGCATGCAACATGCACACATTCTGGCCCCGCCTACGAGATCCGCCGGGTGGTACCTCTGCCGTTTGAGAGTCAGAGACCGTCTACCACCTACGGACAATCACAACATCCATAGCCAAGAGAAAAATTTCTCTTGGGACGGGATTCGAACCCGCACAGCGAACGGCAACTGATCAGGAGACCGAAGAGTCTACTACTGCGGCCACCGCTGCTGCGTTAGCATAAAGATAACAACTTCTCGCTAAACTTAACGATAATGCGACGATAATTTAACGCAACTACTTGAAATTCTTCAAATCCATAAGATTCATACTTCTAAATAACCACAGCAAAATTGGATTAGATTGGTCAAGTAGTTTTTTGGAAATTTCTAATTGTTTATCCTAAAACATCTGTTTTCCGGCCATCACTACTAGTTTATTGAGCATTATACAGGGTTCGTTCAAAGATAATTTAATAGCAAAATACGTCAATAGCAGCAGCTGCTGGGAAAAAGCTAGGCTATTTGTTTAGGGCTAAGAAGTACTTTTCTCCACATGACCTTCTCACATAAGGCCCAGATAAGGCCTAGCCTCGAGTATTGCTCACACGTTTGGGGTGCTGCCGCCCCGACCACATTATCCATGCTCGATGCTGTCCAGAGGAGGGCGGTCCGACTGATCGATGACTCTTCTCTAACAGACGGTCTCGGGACTCTTTCGCACCGGCGGGCCGGCGGCGATCTAGGTCTTTTCCACCGCTACACCAAAGGGCTTTGCTCCTCATAGATCTTTTCCATGATGCCGCCGCGCGATGTGCCTGCCAGACAGACCCGCCTGACTGGCGTCCCATCCTAACCGTGTCAAACTTTTTACATCCAGAACTGGCCGATAGAACCGCTGCTTTGTCCCGAGGGTGTCGAGATTGTTTAACAATCTACAAGAGGAAGCTTTTCCCAGTTCTACTAACCTTAGGCAGTACAAAAATCGTATTAACAAAATGTATTTTGGATCATCATAACAGCCGCGGTGTTCCGGCTTTAGGCTTCCGGCTGCTTCGATATGTAAAAAAAAAACATAAATGAAATTGCTTTGAAACAATAGCATCGGCTATGGAGTAAGAGTGTTGTGTAGTTATATAAATTTAGAATGTTCAAAAATTGTATATTGTGAAAATTTTGAATCGATTCTATACTATGGAATAATACTGTTTGGAGGCAGCTCAGAACTGCAAAAATTATTCGTTATTCAAAAAAGGGCGATAAAAGCAATGAGACATATGAAATTTATTGAAACTTGTAGAGGCGAATTTAAGTGTATGGGTTTAATGAGTATATGGACATTTTTGATTGTGTTATGTTCACAGTGAAAAACAGAAGCAATTTTCCCACGCAAAATAATCACACTTACGGTACAAGAGCTCTGAACGTTTTGATACCTCAGCATAGGCTGACAGTAACTGAAAAAAAAAATCCTTTTATATACAGGGTAACTTGTAATGTCACGTATTCCTGTTAAGGGGTGATAGATTAGGTCAAAAGCAACCGATTTTGTCCTATAATGTCCTATTCAGAAGTTAACCGTTTTTGAGTTATTTGAATTTTATTTTTTTTATTTTTTATTCCGATATCAGACGGTTAAATTTGAAATATAAAAAAACTACATGTTTGATTTTGAGTTTTTTGTTATCGTCGCATAGCGGACATTCCAATAGTTCATAATAAGTAATAAAATGTTGAAAACTTACAAAAGTTTTAAAATTACGCTTTTGAAATGTATGATTTTCTTATTTTTTTACTAACTTATCCGATAAAAAATGCGATTTTCTGTAAAAAATCTCCTAGTAATGAAATGTGCAAATTATGTAAATAATATCTCTATCGAACAAGCTTTCATTTGAGGTATTAAGCGTTCAATTATCTGAAGTATATGCAGAGAAAAAACAATGACACCCACAGAGGCTGGATTTTTAAGGAATTTGTATTACCTGTTTGAACAAGTGGTTACTGTCCTCAAAGGACTCGCATGCCATGTTTGTTTTATGGCATCGGCTCGACGAGGAAGCGAGCGAGAAGAGCTGACTTAGTGGAGGAGTGAGAGAGAGAGAGAGAGCTGTTATTATTCATCATTGTAGTTACTGAGAGGAAATCCTTCGTGTGTTTCAGGAAGACCCTACTACGTCTACGCGCATTGTGGCTGCTCAGTTGGGTATATCACAATACAAAGTATGGTTTACTGTGTATACTGCAAGATTATACCCTTATCACTACACGCCTGTGCATGTGATTGAAGAGGGCGATCCTGCAAGACGATTAGAGTTCTGCAGGTACCCGTTACATGCAGATACAGAAGATCCAGACTATTTTAAGAAAATTCTGTGGACCGATGAATCGAAGTTTGATAAGGACGGAATCACTAACTACCATAATGTTCATTACTGGGCTGATAAAGAAGCTTTAAACCTCCGAAAAATAAGACCGACGGGGTCTCAGAGCCGGTTTTCAGTCAATGTGTGGATGGGCATCATTGATGGATATTTAATTGGACCTCATTTTCTGCCCGCCAATTTAAATGGAGAAGTGTATGAAGAGTTCTTGAAAAATCACTTGTTACCATTAATGGAAGACGTCCCATTAGCGACGAGACAAAATATGCGGTTCCACCACGACGGCTGTCCCGCACACTACAGTAGATTAGTACGGGCGTATTTAGACTCTAAATTTCCAAATCAATGGATTGGCAGAGGCGGGCCCATTGCCTGGCCAGCAAGAAGCCCAGTTCTCACACCGATGGATTACTATGTGTGGGGACATATGAAAAGCCTGGTGTACGATGTTTCGCCCGTACCAACGCGCGATGAATTAATTACTAGGATAATCAGTGCAGCTGACCAAATAAAAAGCCGCTTAACAACTAGAGTTACCAAAAGTGAATTACGTAAGAGAATGCGGGCGTGTATTCGTAACAGGGGATTACAATTTGAGCAGAATCTGTAAAATACTAATGGAAATGTAATTAAATAAAAGCCTTTTATTTATCCTACGTAATTATCGTTCGTACAACTTTACTCAAGTTTTTTTAATTTTATGTCTTTGTACTTGAGTTAGTTGTAACTTTTATACCTCAAATGAAAGCTTGTTAGATAGAGATATTATTTACATAATTTGCACATTTCATTACTAAGAGATTTTTTACAGAAAATTGCATTTTTTATCGAATAAGTTAGTAAAAAAATAAGAAAATCATACATTTCATCAGCGTAATTTTAAAACTTTTGTAAGTTTTCAACATTTTAATACTTATTATGAATTATTGGAATGTCCTCTATGCGACGATAACAAAAAACTCAAAATCAAACATGTAGTTTTTTTGTATTTCAAATTTAACCGTCTGAAATCGGAATAAAAACAAAAAAAAAAAAATTCAAATAACTCAAAAACGGTTAACTTCTGGATAGGACATGATAGGCCAAATCGGTTGCTTTTGACCTAATCTATCACCCTTTAACAGGAATACGTGGCATTACAAGTCACCCTGTATATGCGCAAAGTTGTATAATAAACTACCTTATCATTTGAAACCGATGGGAGCTACAGGAACCTTAGAAAAAACTTAGTTCAGCTTTAACCATACAATATTTCTGAGTACATAAATACTTCGTTTTAGTTTTTGCTTGAGTATGACGTTAGTTCCACATCTATGTCATTTCTACATATTATGAATTTGTGTTTCCAGATTTGGAATAAACATTATTATTATTTCCGTCACATCTTTTCCGAGTCATACTCTATACACTATCGCGGCATTCTGCTACCAACAAAGCGTGATGACGAACTAACTTCCAGCATGGTTGTTGAGCCATTCTCCATAGTTGACGCTCACATCGAGGAAGAGCGGAATGAACTATTTGCACACTAGGAGCAAGTCAGCAAGTTGACATTTTATCGGTTTCTTTGACATTTTATAGGTTTTTTACGTAATAACTGTGCGGCACTGGTATTATGTAAGAAACCTAAAAAACGACAAAATGTCATCTTGCAGACTAGGTAGTTTTTAGGGTGCAAATAGTTCATTCCACGTTTGCTCGCTATGATCGCTGTGAGTGTCCGTCTATGGAGGAATGATTCAACGACACGCGTTGTTGGCTGCAGAAAGCAAGTACGAGTATATGTTTTGTGAAGCCGAGTAGTCTGTAGTGTTTATCTCTGAGATGTGAAAGAAAACAACTTGGATGAGTAGTAAGATCGCATCTGGATGATTACGTGTATTGGTCTGCATGTGTATAAAATTAGTGATATATGCTGTGAGAAAATTATTACTGAATATGCTGCCAATATCCATTTGTGTTTTCAAAAACTTTGAAGAGCATTACGCGAAATCGCCACAGCGCCCGCGTTGTGTGCAATTAAGCCACATCACAGAAAAATTAGGAATGACACATCCCACATCAAACAACTTCGCAGTGCTTCACATCTAGGCGCTGATTTGTATTATCTATTGATATCGGAAAATAAATTTCTATAAAATTTGAATGACTGAGAATAAAAAATAATGTAATAACCTTTTCACTTTCATAAATATTCCTGTCTGTAGTTTATTTTCTCACCTCTTACTTCATCAACTACGGATTTTCTTTTCTAATCTCTCTCATTTTTTAAATTCAGCAAATTTACATACAGGGTGTTCATTAGGAAGCCCACCACGGATTTATCGAAAACCGCTGATTAAAAGGAAAACCACCGAGACACCTCAACAGATTTGTCAAGGGGACAACTTTCACCCTCAGCCCCCCAGGGGCTTTTAAATGACAAGGGGTATCAAGTAATAGCTTGTTTGAAAGGTGATGCTTTAATTTTTGAAATCAGTCGATTCGTTTTCGAGAAAATTAGAAAAATCTTTATTTATCTTAATTTATTCAGAAAGAAAACAAAAATATACGAAAATGTCACTTTTTATTTCAATAAGTGTTCAAAATGCTGCCCGTTAGGGTTCCCCAAATCTATAATTCGTTTATAATTTAAAACGGAAACTACCAACATAAACAGCAATTCTGAAGATTAGAAATAGCAACCCGATTTTTTTCCGCATTCTTTTCATCAATACAGATATCCTGAGCGAACTATATTTATTGTTATACCTGTTATTTGTTGCTAAGGGAAAGAAAGAAGAAAGAAAAAAGTCATTATGCTTTTGTAGAAGGGCATACCTCCAAAAATTTTTAAGAAACGAAGTGATTGGAATGGAAATTTGAATGAAGTCATTTATTTGGATATGTTGGAAAATACCATCAATCCGCTTATCAGTGAAACCATTGAAAACCACATTTAAGAGGATGGAAACCCCATACTTGATGATTCTGAAATATATTTCCAGCAAGACGGCGTTCCTTCTCACTATGTTCTTCCGGTTCAGCAATGGCTAGACGACGAGTTTCCAGATAAATGGAATGACCTGCTAGATCTTCTGATTTGACGCCATAACACTTTTTTCTATAGGGCCATTTGAAACCTATTGTGTTTACTCCCCAACCTGAAACTTTGGATGAACTTCGTCAACACATCATCGAAAGCTACCATGATATCCCACATGTTTTTGAAAATGTCCGTCAGGAATTTTAACATCGCCTATATCATCGTCTGGCCAATAACGGGCAGCATTTCTAACACTTTTTGAAATAAAAAGTGATATTTCCGTGTGTTTTTGTTTGCTATCTGAACAAATTAATATCAATAAAGTTTTTTCTAATTTTCTAGAAAACGAATCGACCGATTTAAAAAATCAAACATCAAAATGGGCTTTGAAAGAACTTTCAAACAAGCTATTACTCGATACCCCTTGTCATTTAAAATTTTTAAGGGGATGACCCTGGGGGTAGAGGGTGAAATAATTTTTATTCAAAAAGTTAACCCCCCCTTGAAAATCTTTTCACGTGTCTCGGCGTTTTTCTTTGAATCAGTGGTTTTCGATGAATTCGTGGTGGGAAGTTTTCAAATGAATACTCTGCATATAATTTCCAGAATGAATAGGAAAAAGTGGATTTGAATCTCAAGTAAGTGTATTTGAGACAAGAAACCAATGGAATTATCATCAACACATTATTAGCATACACATGCTCACTATACACCTATGCAGTGCCTTTTCCTTCCAGCTATAGTATACAACTCACAGCTCAGACCTCCAATAATGCCATCTCTGAGCCAAACATTGATAACTGAAGCATCACGACGTTTAGGCAACATATACAAAACGAGTTCACAAGTGTCCATCACTAGAGTCAAAATCACAAAAGATGACTGTTACGCTTTTATTGTGAAAAAAAAACAGTTATGCGTAGAATACCTTAAGACAGGAACTCCAAAGACCAAAGTATTATTAGAAAACAACCTAACCTGCTTTAACATAACCTAACTATTCGTCTTTCAAGTATGATCGATCATGCAACATGAAAACATCGTCTATCTTTGTCGGATACATGCAAATTAGCAATACAGTCTGTTTAGACAATAAAATTCTGTTTGTCTCTGTCTAAGGCCCGTATCGTCAGTCGTCCCTACAATTGTAGGGCGCCTTTATGGCCTCCTTGATTGTCATAGTTTTCTACTTCTCCGTGTCAGCGCTCTATTTTGAGGTTATGTCACAAACATCTATTTGCATCAAATTGTGCTTGCTTTTGAGTTATATCATGTTTTATAAGCCTGAAATTTCCTACAATTTAAAAAGAAAACATATCTTCACAATAGGAGAGCGCTGACGCAGACACGGGACAAGTATAATCTAGAAATTTTGGAAGGAGAGAAAGGTGTATGACAATCAAGGAGGCCATAAACGCGCCCTACAATTCTAGGGACAACTGACGATACGGGCCTAACATATCTGAAACTTCATGAAAAATATTCACAAATCGTTGTCGTTTGTCTTTACTACAGACTAAAATGAAATCTTTCGTGATTTCGACTATTGTAGAAAAACCTACGTTATGTCACAAAAAACTTACTGTATGTCAAAAAAACGACGAAATGTCACTTTTCAAGATACGTAATACCCGTGTCTGCCCAAATCCAAGACAGAGTAAAATGGGCAGGACGAGTTGTCGTCAGATCATCCCCAAGGCGGTTTTCGAAAACGACTACCCTGTCTGATATTTCAGCTTACGAGTATTACATGTGGAATATACATCTGAGGTTACATCAACAACTATATCTTGGCTTTGGTTGGAGTTTAGAATATCTTAGATCTTGCTATACATCATGAAACATTCTTTGACTCCCAGAGTTCAGAATCCTGACATTTTCTCCATTCATATGGTATCAAGCCTTACCTCGGTACCTAAATAGTTTGTACATTGAACAGCTTGCATATATCGAACAACTGGTTCGTTTCTTCTATATTTTAATCCTATAATCAGTCCTAACGAGCCACCGATTAATAATCCAGCAGATGCAAAAAATAAATCTCTGCGTGACCCTAGAAAGAATATGGGAGTCATGATTATGAAATGGACAATAGTAAAACTTACTGTGTATTTTTTAATGGTTTATTTTGAAGTGATATCAATATTTTGCCACCAAGAAATATATTCTGAGAGTTAGCACTTTTCTCTATCAACTAGAAGTGGTAGTTAAAGTGTAAAATTTTGTGCCAAAGCTTGGACATTCTGGGTGTCCCAATATTTTATCAACATAGAAGTACCTTGAATTTTTAGATTCAACATAAGTCAATTGGACATGATCCACCTTTATATTTTTAAAGACGTTTCTTCATATATTTTTGGAACCGATAGTCCGATTTGAATGAAATTTGGAACATACATATGTGTTTTGTTAGATGTCCTATTTGACTTTTACAAAAAAAAACAAAAGGGTTCGAGAAGTGTGAAAACTACTAACACCCCTACATAAATGTTAGCAGAATTTTTTTGCAGCTCTACCAACGACTCTGATTTTTTTTGACACTGTTATTTATTTTATTTCTTGTCTCTTCCGGCCATCTCGAATAGTTTTCGAGAAAAAAAAATGCTTTCCGGAGCTGCTTTCTAAAAAGATTCAGATATCAGCACTCTCAATTATAACATGAACAAGGAATTCAAAAAACACTATTAACCGGATTTTAGATGAACAATTCATTCGTTCTTTTCAATTCCGCCTGTCCAAGAATTATTGCTTACATACCACCACTCACGTTTGATATTTGTACAAGATGTATCAGAACGAAGAGTAGCTGATAGGTCAGTTCTCAAGAAAATTTTGTTTACAGATAAGTTATATTTTACCCGAAGTAGTATGATAAATTTGTATAATACGCATGTTTACGCTGAATAAAATCTGCATGCAGTTTCACATTTTTAATGTTAATATTGCATGACGTGAGTGATATGGACAACGCAACATCCATGGCAAGGAATTGTTAACTTCTGAAGCAGAGATTTGAACCAGCATGCCCTGGGTTACTAGCTCAATACGCTGACCACGAAGCTACTGAAGCTCCCTAAGATTGTAAATAACCTTTTTTGACACCAGAGCCCTGAGAAATCATGAACAAGATGTTTTTGTTAACACAAGGTCGAAGTTTAAGCAAGAACAATGTCTCTGAAGGTACTATTTTGGACTCTCCTACTTGAATACTATGACTCTGACACCTATTGTTCTGAATGAAGTAAAAACTGAAACTCTTTGTTTTGAAACTAAACCAATCAGTACAGCTGGGGAAACAACTAAGTTTCTGGGTGTTGTGTCGAACGCTAGTCTGTTGTATAATGACCATGTAAACATTTTATGTAATAAATTAAATAGGGCAGTTTATGTCATAAGGCAATAAAATATACCGTCAGTGAAATAGCTGCACTTACAGCTTATTATTCTTTTTGATTCTATTCTACATTATGGACTTTTAGTTTGGAGCTCTGCAGCTAATATACATATTGAAAAAGTGTTTAAAGTTCAGAAATCTGCAATAAATAAGGTGCATTACTAATTTACAGCAACATGAAACGTGTAGGCCTTGCTTTAGATCATTGAATATAATAGCTGATATAAATGGCCTGATTATCTATGAAAAATTAATATATGTAGATTTTTTTAAATGTGCAGATTTTCACTCATAGCATGCAACACAAGACATTGCAATAATCTGGTACTTCCAACAAACAAACTGGCTAGAACCAACAGTGAAGAAATCAAATTGTACAATGCTGAGCAGATTTAATAAGGCTGATATGGACAAAGACAGGGCTGCAGTGAAATTAGTTCATGATGGATTACAAAAATCTCTGGAAGACTTATCCCTAAAAAACAAGGATGACAACTTTTCAGACAAGAATGCACTATCCATCACTTCTTTATTGCACGATAAACTTGACGATAAATTGTTGTTCTTCACTGAAAAGATCAACAATGAGCTAACCAAATCCTTGAGCTCACACCTTAACTTGATCCAGGAAACTAATAAGGAACTTCTCAATTGCATGAAGATTGAGATGAAGACATATGCAAGTAAGTTGTCCAAGCCCCCAATAGTCCATGAAATCACACAAGAGCAAACGAGTAAAGCTATCAATGATGCATTGGTTTCTATCAATGGCCCTCCAAGCTCAACTGCAGTCTCCATTAAACCTGGTCCGATCAAGCAATCTGAACATTCAACAGGTCCTAAACAACTTGGTAACTCTAACACTCTTGTCAGGGGTACAAACAAAACTTCAACTGGAATTGTAGCAGCGGAGGAACAGTTCTGGTGTTATATAGGCAACCTGGAAGCAGGAACCACAACTAATCAATTAATAAATTATCTTAAGTCCAACAACATTGAAGCCTTAACCTGTGAGAAACTGTCGTCTCAGAACCAACATGTGGCATCTTTTAAGCTCTCCGTGAAACCTGGTGTCAAGAATACATTATTTAATAGCGACATATGGCCTGAAAATGTGATTGTCAAGCCATTCAATTTCCCTAGAAGAAATCAACCATTACCATCAGCACAAGGTAGACGCTTTTTTAAAAGGCAGGCCCAGCCACGGCGCAGGAATTAACCCTATCAATGATATTAGGATTTATTACCAGAACATTAGAGGCATCAGAACTAAATTGAATGAATTTTCAAACAATGTGTCCATGGCATCATATGATATAATTATACTTAGTGAAACCTGGTTAACACCAGAGTTTAATGACTCGGAACTAGGGCTACAGAACTACTCAATTTATAGATGTGACAGAGACAACATAGCAACAGGCAAATCCAGAGGAGGAGGTGTTTTAATTGCGATCACAAAAAGTTTAAAATCGCACCAAGTCGAATTGAGGAATTTGACATCTGGGCATGAAGAGGTGTGGGTCTCTGTATCTATTGGTAAAATTAAGTCCACCTACTTCTGTGCAGTATATTTTCCTCCCCTTAGCAATTTGGTGGAATATGAAAATCACTGCAACAATATTGAAAACTTCAGTGATAGCTCTGATGTCATGTACATCATGGGAGATTACAACCTGCCCCATCTTCAGATGTTGGATGAAACCAACCTCCATGATAATGGTATTGGTAGACGGAATGCCTCCGGTGATCTTCTTGTTAGCTCCATGCTGTTTTCTAACTGCACTCAAATAAACTCGATAAAAAATTGTAACAATGTTTTACTAGATCTTGTATTTACCAATAATTCTAATTTTACTAAAGTAAATTGTGCTAATGATATACTTCTGCCATGTGACAAACATCACCCAGCATTTGTTGTAAGTATACAAAATATTAGCTCTTATAAACCTTTGCAATTTGAAGAACAAATCTATGATTTTAAAAATGCAGATTTTAATGTAATCAACAATTTATTAATTAATTCTAACTGGGATGCCTTATTGGTTGATCAATTGGATAATGATGTTGAATGTTTTTATGCTGTTCTCTATGATTGTATTGATACTTATGTGCCAAGATTGCTAATAAAAAGTAATTTTAAATTTCCTGCATGGTTTAGTCCTGAACTCAAAAGTATGATTTATGAAAAAAAAGAGCTGCATGCAAAATATAAGAGAACTAATTCTAATATTGATTATGGTTTATTCTGTCATTTACGCAGATTGTGCAAAGAAAAGGTTCACCAAGATTATAGTCTTTATATAAAAAATATTGAGAATAATCTAAAAGGTAATATTAATGTTTTCTGGAAGTTCATTAAGTCTAAAAATAATCAAAATAGTATTCCATCAATTGTTAAGTATAATGAGGAAACTTTTGATAGCGGCAAAGAAATTGCAAATGCTTTTGCTAAACATTTTTCTAGTGTATATGAAACACCAAGTCCTTCACAGAGCCTTAGCACTGTTGCAAAAAGTTTCAGCTCGCCAAACTTAAATTTGAGCAGTGTATATATAAAAATTTCTGATATTTGTGAAAAGCTGGCTAGCCTGGACTTGTCAAAGGGACCGGGTCCTGATAGTGTGAGTGCATTGTTTCTTAAGAACTGTGCTTTCTCACTGTCTAGGCCTTTATGGATTTTATTTAATAAATCTTTAGCCCTGGGAGTTTTTCCAAAGAAATGGAAAACCTCCTACATTATTCCAATTTTTAAAAATTGTGGAAATCGAGAGAATGTTGAAAATTACAGGCCCATTACATTGATATCGTTAATTCCAAAGGTTTTTGAATCATTTGTAGCAGATTTTTTGAAGGAAAAATTTAAAAATGTTATAATTGCACAGCAGCATGGTTTCTGTGAAGGAAAATCTATAACTTCTAACCTTTTAGTTTATCATTCACATATAGTTGAGGCATTGGAAAATGGGCAATCTGTTGACTCAATTTATACAGATTTTGGGAAAGCATTCGACAAGTTGAATATAGATATTCTCATTGAAAAGCTCTCATGTTACGGATTGCATGGAAGTTTATTGAACTGGTTAAGTTCTTATCTTTTTGAAAGAGAGCAATTTGTAAAAATTAAAAACTGTCTCTCAAATCCAATTGCTGTCTTGTCTGGTGTACCACAAGGTGCGCACTTGGCACCCATTTTATTTATAATTTTTGTCAATGACATAGCCCAATGTTTTAAATTCTGTTCTTTTCTTATCTATGCTGACGATGTCAAGATCTATTTACCTCTTTCTGATAATAACTCAACATTAAAGATTCAGAGTGACCTTGATCAATTTGTTAAATGGAGTGAAGAAAATAGAATGATCCTTAACACAGACAAATGTAAATACATTCAATTTTCAAAGTCTAACAATAATATAGTCAGCAGTTATCACATAAATAATACCCAACTTCAAAATGTGAATGTTGTTAAAGACCTGGGTGTTATATTTGATAGCAAAGTAACATTTTATCAGAACATAGAGGTTATAAGAAATAAAGCTTTAAAAATGTTGGGCTTCATAAAAAGAAATACATCTGAATTTACTAACATTGGAGCTATAGTAACTCTCTATACTTCACTGGTGCGATCTCATCTAGAAAATTGCAGCAGCGTGTGGTCTCCATATTATGTAACTTATCAGGACATGCTTGACGGGGTTCAGAGAAAATTTCTACGATATATAGCTTACAAAAAACACATTTCTATTGAGAATTTAGACTATAATGCTCTTGAAAAGGAGTTAAGGATTGGATCCCTAAGAGCCAGGAGAGATTCAGCAGATATTGTTTTTGCTTATAAATTAATTCATGGTGTTTACCACTGCCCAGACCTGCTTCTAAAGCTAAATTTTTATGTTTCTCCTAGGCATTTAAGAGAACGCAGATCCTTTGAACCTTGTCGGCATAGAACTTTGTATGGCTCGAATAGTAGCATGGATAGGATAATGAGAAATTGTAATGACTGTGATATAGACCTTTTTAATACTTCACTATGCTCTCTCAAAAAGTTCCTTAAAGATAGAAATCTTAGCTAAAGTTTTAAAATGTCTCAATAGCTGGTGATGTTTGCTGTGTTGTTTAGTTGTTCAGTTTTTTTAGTTTTTTTTTTTTAGTATTTGTTTGTAACTATTTTTATGTACGTTTTAATATTTTAATATTTTAATTTAGTAAATAGTCAAACTTCATGTTCATATGTTAACATAGATTCTTTATTTATGATGTGTGTGAATTTTATTAGGTTAAGATTGTACTTTTACAACCTGTAACCGAATGGGTTTATCCCGTAAATTTGTAAATAAATAAATAAATAAATAAATGTAAATTGAAATCTGTATTAACTCTTGCCTGTATTTACAGTTTTGAGGAATATTATGCTTTGGCAAGGGACAGGCAGGCCTTCTTGACTAAATTGAATGGATAATTTAATAATGTTCTTGACACTTTGCTCGACTTTGTAAAATCATATTAGTGTCTTTTTTTTGAGTTTATTATAAGTTTGTCATAGTTAGTGTACTTTCATGTCTACGATGCTGCACTTGAAGTAAAAACTGAAACTCTGAAACTTACTGACATGTGTATGAATACTTGTGTAATTTTTCTATGATCAATAAAGATGATTATTATTATTATAGGCAGTGGTCTTGTAAGACCCTTGATATACACACACAAATGTGCATGTATACATATTCAAGTCACTGGGCAAAAAAAACCGGTAATGTGCAAAGTGCATTGTCTGTATACCCTATTTCATGAGTATCCATCACGGGACAATGACAGCTAGTTATCTAGTGATATTTCAAAATTCCCCACATTGGTACAGGGCACATCGCTCATTCGCAAGAACAGTGACACATCTCATAATGTACTAAAATTGAGACAATACGTTCAAGCAACCTTAAAATACTCAATAAATATATTGAAATAATGTCACATCTAAGCTTTGACACCCGGCAGCAAGATGGGACTAGTGTCGTTATTCTTTCAGCCTGAAATTCTAGTGTGTGCTTCGAGAACACAGACACTATCAGTGTTGCTACATTGGTCGTGAGGTGCATATCGCATGACTTTATGGATTAGTAACATAACTCAAAAAAGTTGTATTGGTAGGAAAAGAATGATTATCATATTTTACAGAATAGTGGCATATTTATGATGTATGTCGGTGTGGTCGATAACTTTTTAAACATTAACCCTATGCGCTTCGTGAAATATCGTCCCATTTCTCAATGTGTCATTATTCCTGAAATATTTGTATGACGCTCTCTTGAGATATTTTATCCGAGTGTTTCATTTCGTTTTATGTCTTTATATCATAAGAATAATAATTTTTTTGTGTGATATTTTGTTTTGTGACATTGTTGAATTTATTACATGTACTTAATTATTTTTAACCGTATTCAAATGTGACGCTTTTTAGGTGTTAGGACCTGTACATTACTTATTCGGAAAATGTTTTCAAGCCGCTTAAAACGTATAATGAGCAATGTCGAAGCAGGCGTCTGTGAATAACTTAAGCACAATGAATCTCGCGTTTCTCTTAACAGGTTTGGATATTTTAGTATTCATTTTGATAAGCCAAAGAATGACTAGATATTTAAATTTGCAGGAAATTCAAAAAAGTCTCATTTACAGCCTAATAAATCTAAAGCAGCGTTTTCCCGATTATCTGACAGTAGCGCCTTAGAACATGTCTCAAATTAATCTCCTGGAGAGGATACTTCAGAGAATGAGATTAGTACTACTGTACAGTCCACCAATAGCTCTCTATATCTCAATTACCAGGAACAAATGAACACTGACCCTCCTATTCTTTCCACAGGTATTTTTGTAGATTTGAAATAGAAGTTTGGAGTGGACGTAGCTATAGCAGTCTCGATTTAGCAAATTTTGACAACACGTAATAATTTTCAGAAAGCTTAGATATTGCCCTGGGACCCAGCAATGCCTGTTCTTCTGACAATGTGGATATTTTAGAGAATGAAACTGGCATACTCAAAGAGTTGACTAATAATAGACAAGGTCCAAGTTACGAAGAGAAAATGTTTGATCTCAAAGGTATGTTCTTTTTGTACGTTTAGTAGAAACTGTCAAGACACCTTATTGCAGTTAACACAAGCATTCCGTCAGCTGAGTACGTAAATGCATTTGCATTTATTGATGATTCCGATGACTCTGTGAAAGATGCAGACTATGCCAGCGAGTCTTCAGGTTTCTCTACATCTAGTTCCTGTTCTAGTTACAGTTGACTCTGAGACAAGCGCGACTGAAGATTCAGTTGAAAATAGAAAGGGGAGTTCTAAGGTGCGTGGCAAGAAAAGGAATCTAGGACCAGAAAAATGGAAGAAAAATGTAGCAAAGAAGTTGAGAAATGTTGGAGAGCAATATACAAATGCTAAGACTAAAAAAGACCTACCCCAAGGGAAACTTACAACCTCCCTGTGATGAAAGATGAAAAATGGAAATCTTCGAATAAAATCTCCAGAGATGAACGTTCTGCGATTTTTAAGACGTATTAGGCTTTAGGGTGCGTACAACGACAACGCGACTGTATTAGTGCATGCATGACAACTGTTATTCCTAAATATAGATATACCAAGGAAGGAAGTACAAGACGACCCAATAATGCTTTTTATTTTGATGTCAAGGATCAAAGAATTCGTACTTGCAAGAAGTTTTTCAGGAATACTTTGTGTATCAATGAAGCTCAGAAATCTGCAGGAAATTATGTTTTGCAGCATAAAATTTTTAATGAAGAGTAAAATATTTCCTTGTTCACACCGAAAAAAGATCAATGTGAGTTTTGCGTACGAAAATGCAAATGATATGGATAAAGAAGCAGTGAAAGATACACTTGAAAAACATTTGCAACAAAAGAACCTGTCACGTATCCAAAAGCAAAAGGACAAAGAATCTGAAAGCTTTGTGGCAGTGTATGATCTTCAAGCAGTGTTACCTTGTTCGAAGGGTAATACTTCTTCTTTCTAATACATTTCAATGTTAAACGTCTTTAACTTCACAGTTTATGACATAAAAACTAACTCAGTTGTGTGTTATGTATGGAATGAAGCACAGGGGAATCGAGGCACTAATGAGATTGGTTCATGCTTTTTAAGCTACTTGACAGAATTGAATGATGCCTTCGCCAATGAAACCAATGTTATTTTTTTTCCGACAATTGTGCTGGGCAGCAAAAAAACAAAATTGTGTTATCTATGTATGCTTACGCTGTGAGAACTTTGTAAAACATCAAGAGCATAACTCAGGGGGAAACCTTGTATTGTAAAAGAAATCTCATATGAAGACTTTTATGATTTGAAACATTTAGCAAATTCGACAGATTTCGCTACTTTGCCTAAATCATTCAAACTTTCGGAGGTTCAGCTATTGAAAATTGAAAAAAATAACTTGCATACATTGTTTTTCAAGAGAACCTTCGACCAGGAAGAATTTGAATCAATAGAGGTTAATACCGGCAGAAGCTCCAGAGGAAAAGGCACAGGCTTAAGTTGTTTAACGAAGGCCTATAAAAGTAAAGTTGGCATTTCTGAATATAAGAAAAAAAGTTTGCTTTCCTTATTCAGTGAGACTGGTAACAAGCAAGGAACAGCAATGCCTAAGTGTTATAAAGACTACTATTTAAATGTTTGACGGAGCTATTGCTTTTTAGGCAGGAAGGAATCAAACTAATTTATTTTTATGAACTTGTTTATTATTTAAATGATTTTTGACAGAAAGAGGATTTTTACTTTTAATTTAAAGACTCTGTGAACCTCAATAAACAATATTATACTATTGTAACTTCCATTTATGACTGTTTTAATATGAAATAAATCTGTTTATGTTTATGGGAAACAATGACACAAACAGGAAGTATGCGAAACAATAGAACAAAATCTCATTTATTGTTCAGTTAATAATAACCTAAGGATATATTCTATATCAAGATGCTCTAAACTTCATATTTTGACAAGCTCAACGATAACTGATTATAATTATATAAAAAAAAACAGCTACAAAACAAATATTTTTTTTTAATCTTGTTTCCTACAAAACTAAGATTTTTGCAATGTGTCACTGTTGTTGCCAATGAGCGACATAATTAATTCTGAGGGATCCGTGAACTCCAGGTAGACAGACTTGTATTTTGTTGTGATTCTTTGTATGCTCCAAAGGCGTGTTATTGAAAATCGTCAGTCATTCATTATAAATCTGGTTGGGTCTGATGAAGATAGTGCAGATAGTTGTTTTATTTACTAGTGTAGTGGGATTACAGAGTTTGTCCGGAAAGTAATAGGACTGAGTCGATTTAAAAAAATTTATTGAGCCAATCGTTACAATTCTTTAAAAACTTTCAAAATAGGCTCCTTCTGCGTCGATGCAGCGCAGCCAGCGCGATTTCCAAGCATTGAAGGCGTCACGGAAGGCATTCTCTGGAATAGCTTTGAGAGCCGCGGTGCATGCTGCTTGGATCCCCTCTGTCGTCTCAAAATGTTTGCCTTTCATTGGCCTTTTCAGGCGAGGAAACAAAAGAAAGTCCGGGGGGGGGGGCACATCTGGGCTGTAGGGCGGCTGCGGACGCGCTGGGATGCCGGCCCTTGGTCAGGTAGCTGTTCACAGGAAAGGCGGTGTGAGCCGGGGAGTTGTCGTGGTGCAACTTCCAGTCAGCTGTGATGTCTTGTCGGACCCGACTGACCCTTCGTTTGAGTCTCCTGAGCACTTCCACGTAAAACTTGGCGTTGACGGTTTGTCCAGGAGGAACAAATTCATGGTGGACGATGCCTTTGATGTCAAAAAAGAAAATGAGCATCGTTTTCACATTGGATTTGCTCATTCTTTCCTTTTTTAGGCGAGAAGACGCCATCGTGTGCCACTCGGAAGATTGCCTCTTTGTCTCGGGATCATACTTTAAGATCCACGACTCGTCACCTGTGATTATGTTATTAAAAAATTGGGGGTCACTTTCACACATGTTCAAATTTTCTTGGCACATTTCCACTCGCCGCAATTTCTGGTCGAGAGTGAGCACTTTTGGGACCATCTTCGCGCACACCTTGCGCATGTTCAAATGCTGTGTCACAATGTCATGAACCACAGATTTTTGTAAATTTAACATCTAGGCAATTAAACGAATACTTAGTTGACCATCTGAGTTCAAAACTTTGCGCACACGAGTCACATTATCGCTGTTTGTTGAAGTCGAAGGTCTTCCAGCACAGTCTTCATCAGCGACCTCTTCCCGGCCCTCCAAGAAGGCCTGGTGCCACTGAAACACACCACTTCTTGCTAAAGCAAAACCTGGGTAAGCCTGCTTGATCATATCAAACGTCTCTGTCGCAGATTTACTGAGTTTCACACAGAATTTAATCGCGTACCTCTGCTCTAACGAACGCTGCCTTTTCGGCTTGCACCACTCACAGAAACATGTCGCGCGAAAATGCCTGCCCTGACTCTACTAGTGCTCAGAGACAACTGACCAGCCGCTCATTCGTTAGCTAGGAACGCCCTTTACCGAATCCAGTCAGTGCGCGCACGCTCCGAAGTACAGTCATGGTGGAAGAAAATGAGTCCTATTACTCTCCGGACAAACCCTGTACGTCTAATGTGTGTACTAGCTCCATAATTACTTTGGAATGACTGTGAAAAGCCACCTGTCTGTAACTATTTAATTTGCAGGTTGATGTATTGTGCAAGCTGTATTCATTATTTTTTATGATAGGTTCTGCACATACTTAATCTGTAATTGAATTACATTAGAATGATAATGGACAATAAACCAGAAACACATGTCTATATCATTTTTATAGATATAGATGCACTATAATAATTTTCAAGTAAACTTTTCTATATCTGTACTTGTACATTTTATTGTCACATTTCCCACCCACTTAAAAATATAATCCTGATATGTGAACAACAACTCTGAATAATTATTATTGCCAATGTTACAAATTAACACAAAGGTGTTGCTATTCTGATCAACTGTTCACCTCAAAGCATGATTGATACTTGTGAAATAAGGTGTAGTGAATGTGTTAATAGCTATTCTGACCTCATCTTCTTGAATTAACCTACATTCTTTTCCAAACACACTCAACATTGCCAAGTAAATTTCCTGAGGATCAGCATAATGTAGTATGCTGCTCTTTACTTCTTTGGCAGCATTAATAATCTTTAGGATGTTATCACTGAGATTATGTTTAGCTTGTTCCAGTGCTGCATTGTGCCACAATTGTAGGAGGATTATTCTTCCTTTTTCTGCATACAAGACAAATACATCCTTAGCTTTGCTTGCGATTATGCTGGCTTGTATCTAGAACATTATATTATGTTTAGCAAGTGAATACGAGAGAATGAGCAAGACTATATTTGATCTGAATAAACAGCACTGCTTTTTATAGTAACTTACTTGTAAATGTTCTAATTTTTGTGAGCTTCTGAAAGCGATTTCATCCATACTATACACAGAATTTGAAGGGCAGTTCTGAGAAAAATTACATAACTTCAATGAAGATGATCTTAAGAGCCTAATTATTTACATGAAAGATGACACTTTCCCTAAAATTGTGTAAAAGGTTTTAACTACCTATGTTTTTCCATGGTTTTAATGAAACAAATTTAAAATTAAAATTTTTGCTAAAAATGAATGAAAAATGAATGAAAACTTGAAAAATGTCAGTGTCAGAATTGATACTTGACACACGATGACTACCACATGAGTAGATGAGTACCATAACAATAGAGATGTGCGGTGTTATACGTTTGTACTATGACTATGAACCAGCCATTAACTAGTAATACCTTGAACTAAACAAATGCGCCGAAAAAACGCCTACTCAGAACAATTCGACGGGCAACTCGAATGACATTTGCCGCCATGTTATTGCGTTCTCTTTTCTCGATATCCTTATCTACGACATACGGCTAACGTTAAACACCACATTATTATTACTGTCAATCCCACAATGTGGGTTAATGATACAATGTAATAATAAAAATTACTTTTACCATTTATTTCAGATTTGATTTGATGCATTATAATAAATTGTCCGAATCACAAGTAGAAATACACATGCTTACAATAATTAACAGAACGGGGTCGTGATTTTCCGTAATGCTTCTCAAATGAAGTTTTTGAGAAAGTAAAATAAACAGGGAATATTTTTGAAACTTAACACAAGGTATTAGGTTATGTCGCTGTGCCACAAAAGTTGTGGTGTATGCAGCAACTGAACTACTGAACTGCGAACTGACAACGTGGTAACAGTACAGACATTATCTAGGGATCCCAATTGTTTTGTTTTGAGATATCTCATTAAATTATACGTTGAAATGATGGGATTTAAGAGCAAAAATTGCATTTTGATTCAGAATTCGCTAATTCCTCAAAACCGGACCACATATCCCTTCTTTTTTCGGAAGACAGTATACAATCGTTATATTCAATTTCAACCAAAAATATCAATACTTAATAAATTCAATAACAGCGGCAAACTCAACCCTTCATTTAACTTTCATAGTATGATGTTTATTCTCTGACTCAGTGAGTCGTTACTAAAGGCAACATGTACAATACTCTCGACAGCTTCGAGGCCGGTCGGTAATCGTATCGTTCAAAAGAAGGACTCACTGAAGAGAGATGAACGAAATGAGCGAGCTCAGAGAAAAGAGTCGTATGTCTCAAGTCTCAAGCCTGTGAAACGTGGGCTGCAGAATCTTAAGGTGTGTTTACATATGAGCACGCACGCACTGAGCATATGCGCACGCATTCGTTCGCGTGCGTGGAGAGTGTTTATCTAAACTAAAATTCATTTTTCAACGTATGGGCTGATCCAGTCGTTCGCGTACGATATTAATAAGGAGAATAGAGATATAGCCGCAGCAGCATTTATTATACTGTATAATTTACAAAAAACAAAAGAAAATCGGAAACCTAGGTGCCGCCTTTGGTGGATAACCGAATTTCTACGCAAAAGAAATAATAATTTATTAAAGGAATTACTATCAGACAGCTTATGATGAATTCAGAAATTTTCGAAAAATGACCAAGGCTGATTTTGAATACCTGCTTACGTTGGTAACACCAACGATAATGAAAAATGAAAATCTATATAATCAAGAGAACGTTTAGCCATAACCTTGCGTTTTTTGGGAACTGGGGACTCCTACAGCAGTTTGCAGTATCTTTTCAGTGTCATATCAATTAATCATATTTTTTGCGATTTTGAATAATACTCTTCGTGCCTAACGTCCCACAGTACCAGTAATTTGTCAAACTTTTGCAGTAGTTTTAAAACTTTAGTATTATCCATTTCCATCATTTACTGGACTAAATTACAAACAACTCTTCAATCTTGTGCGCTGCGTTGCCGTTTCCGTCTACACTAAGCATTCGCGAATCCATTAATTCCTTTGAGCAACGTCTTGAGACTGACGCCAGGCGGATCGCGTTCGGTGTTGCTGGCGCACATGAAGATACAGGGTGAGCGTGCGCGCATAGCCGTGGATTCGAACCTCCGTCCTGCGGTTCTGCAATCGTTAATCCTTCCTATTTTCGAGTATCGTAGCGGATCTGTTCAATTACTCACAAATACGAAATGTTTGAATTTGTTTAGAAGAAAAAACGTAACCCTTCGTTTTTCTCATAAAAATAACAATTTTCTTTCGGAATGGCTTGCGATTCATGTCTGCAAGGTAAACTCGTGTATATTGCTATAAAATGTCCTTTGAATGAACCTCGTATATTGCTCAATAAACTAGTAGTGATGGCCGGATGACAGGGTTTTTGGGATAAACAATCAGAAATCCTCAAAAACTACTTGCTCAATAGACCCCAATTTTGTTGTGGTTATTTAGAAGCCTTCGGATTTGAGGAGTTTCAAGTAGCTGTGTGAAATTATCGTCGCATTACCAAGTGCCAAAAGCTGAACTTTGCCTCGGTTTTCGGCCATAGCTTTTTTACTATTAGTGGGATTTTTTACGCGTGGTCTCATTCTATAACATATTTCTCATAAATACCTAGAAATCTTATTTGAATAGTTTTTTTCGTTCCTGCCTTGGATGTGTTTGTAAATTTAGTTATTAGACTTCGTGGCACAGGTTATTTAAAAGAACAACGAGAAGGTCACGCCGCTCAACCTGAAATGTCACAAAATGAGGAAGACACTTTAGAAATGGTCGAAGACGACCCAACAACGAATACTAGAGCCATAGCGGCACAAGTTGAAGTTTATCATAGTAAAGTGTGGAAGACAACACAAGAACGGTATTATCCTTATTATTATCATCAACGGGTACAAGTGTTACAGCCTGAAGATCATTTTAGAAGAGTTGCAATTTGTTAGTGGCTTTTAGAACAATTTGGTAGAAATGGAGATTTTATGAATTTAATTTTGTGTACAAACGAGGTCACATTTACACGAAATTGAGTGCACAATTTCTACAACAATCACGTTTGGGCAGTTGAAAATGCGCATCCAAAAGAACTTATTTTCAACAAAGATTCTCATTAAATGTTTGCCCTGGCGTGGTAAATGGCATGCTTATTGGATTCTACTTTTTTCTACCTCGACTGACCTGCGAAATTTATTTAGATTTTCTCTCACACAATCTGCCACAACTATTAGAAGAGGTTCCTCTAAATGTGGGACGGAATATGTGGTTCCTACATGATGAGGCTCCACCACATTTTAGACGATAAGATTCATTTATTTATCAACGAGCGACTGCCCAATTAAAGTACAGCATAGAAAATCTAATCTACTTTGACTTAGATATTTAACACTTAAAATAATCACAAACACTTTACAATCCAGATTATTTGTAAATTGAAACGAATTTAGTTAAAATTTAAATATATATGGGGAAATCAAATATTAAATATTACAGACAGGAATCTAATTGAATGTTGAATGTTTTCTGACTTCTGAAGAAATCCAACTTATTAGAATACCTACTGATTTGCTAACCTTGAAGATGTGGACAGGAAGGAATTACTAGCACAATTAGTACGAAATGATCTCACATAGAATGGTTGATTCAGTCTTGTTTGACGAGAAGGCACATGGAGATTGATATTTTTCGAAAGTTCTGGAGCAAAACTAAGAGAGTGTAAAATATTATAAAATAGTGACAGGTCCCTCTGATTCCGTCTTACCTGAAGGGTTGAGATATTGAGAGAGCTTTTAATGATGGAATAGATAATATCTTCAACCATAATGTTTTGTTTGAATGAAATGAATCTTAAGAATTTATGTTGCACTCTCTCTCAATTGCCTGAATATGAACATTATGTGACCAAACACAAGAACAATACTCCAGATGGGACCTCACCAAAGAACAAAACAACGTTCTAAATGACGGAATATCATGACAATCCTTAGCACATCGTTTTATAAATCCCAACAGTTGAAGAGATGTAGAAACAATCATATTTATATGGGTAATAAAGGATAATTTTGGTTCAAGAATTACTCCTAAATCCATAACTTGGGAGACTTAGAGAACAACCTTTCATGGTATAAGTATGATCAAAGGGGTCCCTGTTACGGCTGAAGACCATTAAATGACATTTTTCCACATTAAGTTCCATTCTATTCATTTGACACCAGGGACTTAATGAATTCAAATCATTTTGGATATTTAAACAATCATTATTATATTTGATTTTTAAGAATAATTTCAAATCATCTGCAAACATTAGAAAACTAACAGACTTAAAACAGTATATAATATCATTTACGTATATATTGAAAAGAAGAAGACTCAATTGGGAACCTTGAGGTACTCCAGATGGCACATGAATCTCATTTGATTGAAAGCTTTGAATACGCACTATTTGTTTTCGGTCAGTGAGGTAAGACTTCAGCCATGATGAAAGATCCTCGCAAATTCCTAGACAGTGTAACTTAGTTGGCTTATAAAACTACTTTGCAAATTTGCGGATAAAAATTCACACACTAGACTCTCAAATACCATTTCAATGCAACTCAGTTTAGTGATAGGTCGATAATTTTTGACTTGTGAAGGATCTCCAGATTTCAGTATTGGAGTAATGAAGCTTGTTTTCCAATATTCCGTCTAATTTGGACAGTTTGTCATAGATTGCTGAGATTGGACTTTCATAGATAAACAAATTGATGACCCCATACGAAAGATTACTATTCTGAGCAGTACTATTCTCTACACTGTAAGTTTTAGAGAAGTAATCTGCAAACACATTGGTAATTTGTAAACCAGAAGAACTACTGACATTATTATAATGTACTTCAGAAGGTATGTAATGATAATCCTTACGGCTATTAACAAATTTCAAAAAATTTATCACATTCACTCTAAAAGAAGATTCAGTTGTATTGACATAATCCAGATAACACTGTGTTTTTAGATTATTACACTGAACTCTGAGAATAGAAAACTCATGATAATCATTTAGCAAGTGAGATTTGATGTACTTCTTGTGTAGTTTCTTTTTTCAATTATCATTTGTTTAAGTGGGAATTTCTTTGCAGAGTACTTCTTTAAAGGAACAAAAATATAAATTGTTCAATATCATAAAACATATTAAGCATATCACCAAGTGATTTATTCATAAGCAGTTTGTCCCAATTAAAACTGGAGAGAAATGCTATCATTTCCTGCACATTTGTGGATTTAAAATCTCTGTAATAACTGTAATAACCACTACTAGTAATCCCAGAGTTATTAAGGCAAGTTTCACAATTTAGCTCAAAATACAGTGGTGGATGATGAGTGTCTACTGGTAAAAGTGCTTCCTCAGCTGCATGTACCATAGATGTTTTGTGTTGCATAAAAATCAGATCCAGTAAGTCATTTTCATTTCTAATAAAATTCACTTGGTAAAGGTTATGATATAAACACAACCAAGAAAGGACCTGTATTGATTCAGCTTCAGATGATGAAACTCCTGTCAGAGAAACAGTAATAGAGGCCATATTTTCCTTAGACCATTGACAATATGGAAGATTAAAATCTCCTAGAATACATAGCCTATAGTCAGGAAACAACTCAGTTACATTCTCTAAATTCTCCGAAAATTCAACATATTTGTCTGTAGAACTACCAGGAGGAAAATATGCTGTAGCAAGGATAATTTTAGTCCGATCAATATGAATGTTTGTAGTGGATGGTACAATACCACTAGTTAGAGCTTTCCGGAGCTATCCGCTATAAGCACTCCTCCTCCTCGAGAAAAGGTACTTGACTGTGAAGTTCTGTCTTGCCTGTGCCTAATGTCATCAAAGAATTGTAGCTCAGTACTATTTATATCTTCGGTTAACCATTCAAAACAAGAATTTCATATTGAGAATAGAACATGTCTTCATATAGAAGATGCAGCTAAGTTCGTAAGCCTCTAACAGTAAACAAGTACGGTTGAAAATATGTTAGATCTTTATTTTGCAGGCACCCTCAGTTTTTTGTAATTAGTTTGGGCACACCATTAACATATTTCATTATGAGATTAGCTTCTCCATTGCGTTTTCTAACATGGAGTTTATTTTTCAAGGAATTTACCTCAGCTCTTTGGTTAAATCTGCATCAAGAAACATCTTTAAACTTCTATCAAGTTCACGCTTATTCCTTAATATTGAACGAACTACTTCAGGAGACTCCAAAATTAAACGTAGTGCTTGATGCCCATTCTTTTTCCGTCTTCCAATATGAGCTGAAGACACAACATTAACTACAGATCCCACGAAGCGAGAGAGTATATCCTTAACTTTATAAAAATCTTGTTCCTCATTGATTTGTGGAAAATTAAAAAGGATTAAATTACAAGCTCGTTTTTGTCTGTCAGATACTTCCTGCATCACATTACCATGAATCACTGCTGCACTGTACCTGGATTGATTTTGGTTAGCTGGTATAGACGTGGAACTTTTTATTATAGCAAGATCTTTTTCGATATCTTCAAAAGATGATAAAAATCCAGTTCTCATACTTTTAACTTCATCAGATATATCACGAATCTGAGTTTCAAGTTCTTCAATTTTGTGTGAATTAGCAACTTTAACTTCGCTAAGGGAGTCCTCTAATGCTTGGACTCTCTTATTCAAGGTCAATGCTGTTTTGATTGCTGGAGCACAGTCCTCGCACAAATATGAAATAACACGGGTGGATAAAATAAGATACCGGATCTCAGTAGAACTTATGCCGGCACAGTTTCTACATATTTTTTTTTCTGCAAAAGTTACATGGGTAGCCAAAAACTTCACCACTTATTTTCGGTTCCTTAAAAATACACTTAACAGCACACTTGTTGCACACGCCAGCCATTCTGAGGTTATTTATCTGAGGCACTTAAGCTATACTGAGATTTTGTGATATCATTCCTGCACTTAGCATTCTTTTCTGGATTTTCCTTTGCTCAATATGACCCTGATTGACTCGACTATAACACCAGCTACTTATTATCTTCTAAAAAATACGTGCATTACCAATATTCCACCGGAAATAAACTTCTTGCACCACTATCAATAACCCGTGCAAAAATCAGATTTTTTGCTGAAGTTAAACAATCGATTTTCAACAAAATAAGGAGAGCACTTTACACACGTCTATCACTGTATACCCTATTCTATCATAGATAATCTAAATAATGAATTTCCGAATAGATGGATAGGGTGCAATGGATCCATTTCTCAGTCTGCTCGCTCCCCGGATTTTTTCCGTGCCGCTATTTAAGAGTTGGTATATCATGATGGAGCAGTAAATACTCTGGAAGAACTTCAACAGCTCGTAAAGAATCGTCGTAAGATTTTGCGTTAATCGAACAAATGGGGACAATTTTGGACAGTTTTTGTAAAAACGGTATCCATTTAAGTTGATGATGATTACTTTAAATAATTTTTAATAATGTGAACTAACTCTCTTATTATGCAACTTTTATACAGGGAGACTTCGAAGTTGAGTCATTTATTTTAACAGTGAGTAGATCTGATAAAAAGAAATGTTTTTTCCTTTAACATTTTTCTGGTAAAATTAAAGTAACAAAGTTATAGCCATTTAGAAGTTTGAGTACCGCCCTGTCTCAATAATATTATTATGTGCTCGTGTTTGGCAACGACGGATATAATCCGTCTTATCGGTTCATCGCATCGGAAACAAAAAAGCGAAAGAATTTGAAACGAGTTTTTACTACAATTATTATTCAGTTGTATTCAGTCAATGTGTCAGTCGGTAACGCGTGAGTGAATAGTGGTGTTTGTTGTGTGGCTCAAACGAAATAAAAAATGGCACATGTTTACGAAAATGCTGAACTTGTGGACATGATTCTTATTCTTAATCGAGTGCAACCAACCCCTCGTGCCTTTGTTAATGTAGTACAAATGGCTCGTGAATCAGGTGACTTAAGACCTCACAGGGGAGGGCATGCCGGTGCTCCAAGACCGCACGATGGAATACAGGTCCGCACTGAAATACTTGTCGGGAGGATACTTTATAAAACAAGGTAACATTTTTTTTAATTTTTTTTTATGTTTACACACATATTTTGGTTTACCTTCCTTCTACAATCATTATCTGGAAATTAATGAGTTCTATAAGCTGTTAAAATAAATGACTCAACTTTGAGAACACCCTGTATATCCTCTTTTATCAAAATTATCTGTCACGTAAGAAGTATATTCAATACATTTTCATAACCGGCTGGAGAACGGCGAGCTGCTGACTAGTCGTCGAAGATCGACTATGAATACGGCTGTTAGAAACCCGTTTTTTGTCAATAACAACATCATCAAAACCAATTGAGATCTGCCCCTATCAGATTAAGGAAAACTTTTTATTACAGTCAAAAGCATGGGGAAACAAAAATACTTTATTTAAACATATCTATTAAAAAACAAATGTGAAATATGTATAAACAACTATTACATTGCATAAAAATTATAGCTAAACTAACATAAAATCCATATTCTATCAATATTTGAAATGAAAAAAATATGAAGTTACGTCAGTTTTTGAAATACCATAAATCTGAGTAGTACATAAACAGTATATAAAAACTAAAACTATTGCATTATTAGTACAGAAGCTACCACTAAAACGGTTTAGAAAAATGCAAGGCTGAACATTTCGTGACTTTCCGGTTGAATGGAAGTATACCAAAAGACAAACACATACATAAAACTACAGACTCTACTTTCATGTCATGGGAAATTCACAAAATCATAATTTAAATCAGTCAGAGTGCTTTTAGAAGTCTCGCAGAAAGGACCATTCTAAGCCTTATAATTTTGTAACATTGTTAAGCTCAATATTATATATGTCATATTGCCTCGAATAATTCTACATATAAATAGATTTTTAGATATAACAGAGCATATAGGTTATATTTTAATTTTCTGTTTTCAAACAAGTATGAATTAATTACTCATCTAAATAAGCAGCACTTATTGTCATAAAAAATGTATCATACATGAGTGGGATAAACGACTAAAAATGCACAAAAAAGATGTAGTTGAGAACACTGATTTTCAGAATAATGCACAGTAAAATGAAGTCATTTTGGATGTATGTAACTGTACGAGAAGCCAGTTCCAATAGTATATTTTTGTTCGGTAGTTCAGGCTGCTTTTGTTACTCGTTTATCCAATTCAAATGCCGTAAGATATTTTACTCCCTTTGCCTAATATTCACAGCTAGCATTATTAGTGTAGTTTATAATCACATTACACGGCATACGTTGAAATTGTGCTATTAGGCCGACACACTGGAAGTGGGTTTCTGCTCACCGGCAATCAGTGCCGGTCATTTGCCAAAGCAACTATGGAAACAACCTGTGATGTGCAATAAGCACTTTTAACCTGTTTCCGAGGTTTCCAGTATGTTAGATGTCGTTGCCGATGAGCAGAAAACTACTTCCACCGAGTAGACGCCTTTACATTGAGTGCGTTCGTCTACCTTGAAGCGGACCAGCGCTTTTAGGCTGAATAGCAGTAACTTCGGGATAGTTTTGTCAGTTTTCACTTGGATCGTATGTTGATCACGTGCTGCGAACTGTCAAAGTTATTCTACATCTAGTGGCGTGCGTTTGTAAATCACTTGGCAATGCAATACCGTACACAGTAATGGAATCTAGATTGACAGATGACATTTTACTCTGAAATATTGTGAAACTTTTGTTTTAGAACGTCTAAATTATTACAGAGACATGTAATGACACTTGATGACAGCCGATTAATTTTTAACCACGTTCTCTGCGACCATTGTAGTTATTATAAGAGACCCTAACGATACGAGGTCGCATTTATCATGAAAGATATATATTCTGACAATTTTGAACAGTATTTGATAGCCAAATAAAATAAACAAACAACGAACCATGAGAATTACAAGTGACAGCAGGTTTTGAGCTCAGGAAGAAAAGCACACTTTTGACGTTCCAGAAGGATTACGATTCCCGAATGCATGTAACAGGTACGTCAAACAATTACGATTGCTAAAATTGTTACAGAGTAGTACAAAGTACAATTTGCACCAATTTACGAATACAGCCCTGCTATTCAGCATAAAAGCGCTGCACTGCTAGGCTGATTTACGTTAATTCACTCATTACGATGATTTTTCAAGATAAGTCCTAGACTGTAGAATGTCACTACCGCATGATTATATGTACTCCGTTAGGAAGGGAAGGGCAAATGCTGCAAAGGACAATATTTTTTTAAGAAGTATCTTATTTCGCTGAAGCAACTTGAAATGTATAATTCACAGAAAATAACATATCTGGAATGTGTTAAATCTATATTTCTCTCTGAACACATCTGATTTTTTCTAGTTGAGATTCGTAACTTTACAGCACCTTATGATGCGTTTTGTTTCCTTTCTGGATTGGTCACAAAAATTCTTATATCTACACACTTACAATATATAACATATTAGCATTCTTAAAAGTGAATTTGTGTCATACACAAAAACAAATAAACATATATTAAAAAAAATGCGACCATTTACCAAACATACAATATATATACGCAAGTGATGATAAATTATATACAAAAAATTAATAGCAGCGCTTTGAAGCATTGTGTATAATTTGGAATATAAAAAAAAACAAAAATAAATACATATTCTCATGAAGCTTGAATTCGAAAAATTGTAGATAATACCAACGTCAAGCAAAGCTGCCTCACATTTCTTGCTGAATATATTCCATTGTCTCTGCAAAAAGAATAGCTATTTTTTAATATAAAAAATATTAGAGACTATGGTGGTTAGGGAAGCGGCGAACTGTTTTTTTTTTTGTGTTTTTGAATAAAAATTTTTAAGGTCCATCAGTAAGCTGTTTTTTGTTTGTTCCAAAAAATCTCATGTACAAGGTCTGTTGCCAAGTAAACAGGACAAAGAAAAAATAAACAAACATTTTTGTTTCGAAAATCCGAATTTCTTTTATTCAAAGTTAATACAGCGATTTGCACGGACCAAAATATTTCCGAATGATGCTTTTGGCTTCTGGCAGAACACGACGAATACGCAACAGCAAACACCTCTTACACCAAGATAAAACACAGCATTAAGGTGACACGTGCCGTTTTTAGATGTCATTTTAAACTTCCTGCTTGCAGCAGTTTTCTAAATCCTTTTCATCTAATAATTTCATGCTGTCTATAGAGATGACTAAAGAAAAGTTTTTTCCTTTTTTTTATAAAAAAATGCATTTTTCTGCATTTTTTCTTCAACCGGAACTTGTTAACAATATCAGTACAGCTCTGAAATTGTGTGTGAATATTCCTCTTTTATGGAAGAATGAAACGAGTGATTACTTTTGTTGTCACTTTTCTCTTTCCAAAAACCTTTGCTTTTCTTGAAAACTCAACTTGCTGCGAGGCGAGGCTTCGGTGTACTTAGTTCCGATTGAAGAAATAATGCACAATATTATTATGACAAAAAAAAATAAAACGTTTTTTAGTCATCTTTATACACACCATGAAATTATCTGATGAAAAGGATATATAATAGAATACTGCTGCAAACAGGAAGAAAAATCTAAAAAAGGGACGGCGTGTCACCTTACCCATTTGGCCCGGTGAACAATGTGAACAATTCGCTTCGAACTATAGAAACAAATCAACATTGTCTTCACTTTGGACTTTTCCAAACATCTTTTTGCCGGATTTGGCTCGCTTGGGTGCTTCCATTAGGCTCTTTGACGCTTGCTGGCCAACATGTTCGTCTTCCAGCGATTCATGACCTCTCTTTGAACCGTGTAACAATCATCACCATACACTTGCATCAACATCTGATGCGTTTCGGTAAATGTTTTACCAAGTTTAACACAGAACTTAATATTGGCTCTTTGTCCGAAGTTCATTTTTCGACCGATGCTGAAAAGGTACTGTCACTTTGAGCGAGATAACTCTTTGACGACATCAATGAAAGATGTACCTATCTAACGCTAGTCTCCGATGGCGCTACTTGGATATCTTTCAAAAGTCCTGTTTACTTTGCGATAGACCTTGTAGTTTCCCTATAGTAGCTCTTGCCCCTCATTTCAACCATTTCAAGTCTTATTTTCACAACAAAAGGTAAAAAGTGGGAGTAAATTATTTCAGTGTTTAAATTTCATTTTTAGAATTTGTAAAATCCTTTACTGTATTATTTGTATTATTACATGCAATATATTTCGTACAATCAAGATAAAAATACTTACATTTATTATTGAGGCTGAGAAGTTTGTTGCTGAATTTCGATCTTCTCCACAGTCATATCTGGATTCATAGCAGTAGCTTCTTGAATGGCTTCAGCTAAAGCTCTGTCATGGTCAATCGGGTCACCATCTGATTGGATGGTAATTTTCTGTTCTACTCTTGTTTCAACCACCCCATCCCTTTCAGTTTTGTACTGCAACAAAAATAATCACAGGTCACCTACAGGTTAGAGGGAGTCAGAACTAGTACACGTTTTTCTCTAGCTGTGTTTCCTGAATGTTGACAAATCTGAAACCTCTTTTTGTAGCGATTTTTAAGAAACCTGTACTATAGAGAGAGCAACTTATCGCTGAGCCCAAATTAGATAACACTTCAGGCAGCGAGCAGGCTCAGGCAGTTTGGGATGTTATTAACTGGCATCTTGACGATAAGTTCAGATTCTCTGTTGTGATGCTACTGCTTAAAATGCGGGTCGCATTAACGGTGCCTGCGTGCTTCTCGAACAGAAAATTAACGTTAAAAGGCGTGTTTGAATGAAAGATCCAATTCCAATTTTAAAAAGTTTCGCGAGAGCTGGAAAAGTGTGCATCCCGAAGAAATACAGATTTATACTAAAAAGCTATCATGATTGAATTCTTCAGAGACTGACATGCTGCCAGAATTTTATCGACATGAATTGACCAAAGAAGATGCTAGAGATGACTATCGAGAATTAATTGAACTTTCAATAATATTCCTTGGCGCCATGCATCTAGCTCGATCGATGGCCAAAGGATTTTATTCCCAGTTCAAACTTTCGAATAAGGATAAGGCAGCTATGTTAGATATCCGCCAGCAGGATTTGTGCATTTTAAAGGCTTACGAAAGAATTGACAAAACCATTTCAAAAGCAGCTTTAGGGCCAATTTCACCAATATTCCTTGGACCAATAGGGAAATACCTTATCGAAATGCAATTTGACGGAAGCTGTTAAAGCTCTCTGAATATCAGTGATTTCTATTTGAATGTTGAATAAAGTCGTGAAAAAACGGTTGCCTTATAAATAAGGGTACATTATAGATGTAATATTATGTTTTTGTGCTTTAGAATTAGGATAACTTTCATAGAATTTCAAATTTCTATCATTTCAGAAAAGACGGTCAGTTATTTAAATGGACCAATGAAAATGAGAGAAATAATAGGTCGATTTTCTCGCTATTATATTTGGTATGATGTTTCCACCGTTTTTGACGACTGTTCATGCATGACAATCTAGTTTTGTCTGTATCTCACGTACATAATACGTAACCAGTAGAAATGTACCGATTTTTGTTATTTTGCAAAAAAGGGGATATAAAACGTATTCTAACTGGTTCATCATCTTTTGTTACATCAAAAACAATTTTTGCCAATTTATGATCTAGAAATCCACACCAAATGTAAACAATCAGCACATTCTGCATTTTTGGGTCCTAAAACATCGATATTTGTAAAAGTATACGCACCCACATATTATTCATCGTCTAGATATTATAAGTCAGAATCAAAAATACCTATTTATGAAAATACATCTCCAAACATTGTTATATTTTCTTATTATTTCTATTATTATAACAAGTTTGGGATATCAACTGTTTTTAACGTGATCTGCACATCTGCAGTGTTGCCGAACCGGCAAAAAAAAAACGGAATCGGTGAATAGTGTCGTTGAATTCTGTATAAGGTAAATGCCGTCCCAAGATCAGTGGTAGATCAAGGACCTTTGAGTCATGAAAAACGTCTGTTAATGTATTGGGCGCGCACACAACATCTTTTTTGAGGGCATAGTTCTATATTACAACTTCTACAATGTGCATACCGGTCGCTTTTTCAAAGTACTTTGCAACCATTCTGGAAACTCCTTTTGTCGATACTTGTTTATGGGATTGTGAATAGTTTTCTGTTTTACCACTTCTCATTTTAATTTAATATTTATTTTGAAAACAGACAGGTTTGAGGTAATGACGGTAATCTACAAGTCTGTACCTTTTGTATGCATAAAAATCAATTCAGGGCAAGAGGAGCAAGGGATGAGGATGTGCGTTCGTAATCATAGGTAACCCAAATCCCCAAAATATGTATGATTGATGTGGAACATAAAACTATGAATACTACATAAAATTAACTTTTAGCTTTATTTTTGGTTTCAGTTCTTTTCGGCAAGTATAGAAATATTTAAATTATTTTGAAAAATCGTGGAGATTGATGTTATCGGTAAATATTCTCTTTTCGGCAAAAATACCAAAAAATCCGGTTTAAGTCCATGCATAGACAATCTGAAATTTGCAATATGAATTTATATTCTAAATTCTATGCATATCCGTTCATATTCGTCAATATTTCATTTGAAGCTTTCATTTGTCATAAGATTTTAGCAAAATGTAAGATAGTAAAGACAACACCGCACCCTGCAGCCCAGTTGACAAGAACGACAAGCTGTCAAGATTAGGGGTGTTTATATCCACGAAAAGTATCGTTATGTATCGATTCTTATCGTTTTAGGAAGTATCGATACTCTAAAATATTGGAATAAAATTATCGTTATCCAGCGGAAGGAAACAAAGAAGAAAAGTAATCTGAAGTTAGTCACTCTTTCTGACACAGTCCTGATCGAAAGATGACGATACTCGTCAAATGTATCGATACTTCTAAATATAGCATCGTATCGAACATCCCTACTGTCAAGATATATAACCCGAGGTACCGACGGAGCTATTTTGCGGCGTCATGGAAATAATTTTAAATTTTCATTTGCATTTTTTCAAGTGTTGTGCAACGATTTTGGAAAAAAATCCACTTATAGTCTTATAAAGCATAGTAAAGTATATTTCAACAGTTGGCGGAGCTTACTCCACTGGGACCAAGGGATGACGGATCCCACACATGTGTCACTCGTTGCGGAGTTTTGAAATGTAATAATCAGCTATTATTCAAATAATGTCTAATATAAATATAACCTAGAATGTGTACTCAGTGAAATAAGAAAGTTATTGCAAATTATAGTTTTAGGATTTCGGTTTGCCGGTAGCTTCACGACATATGTTTGAGTGTTTCTTAATCGCTGTAAATATAGTGTTCCTGAACAGCGAAAAATATTCTACTTTATGGATGTATGGATATCAAAAATCCTGAATGGTTTTGTGGGAATATCAATCGACGGTGCTGTAATGGTACTGATGAACGGCAAGTAAATGAATGAATGTTTGGAAACGAGCAATATCTATGAAATTTTTGGTAGAGCCTGTCATCAAGTAGGTGCTTAATGGCTATCTGCAAGAGGTTTATAGGAAAAGAACACACGGTATGTGATGTTGAAACAGTAAAATCGCATATAAATTGAAGAAAATAATATAAACATGAATAAACAATCGAGAATATTAAATAAAAACATGAATATTATTCAAAAATTGAACACTTTTTTAAATTTTGACTAAATGATATGTAATTTCTTAATATTCAATAAGCTGGTGATGTTTCAATGACAAGCTGTCATCTCATACTTTGACAATATTTTGTTTTCAACATTTCATAGCTATTGGTTACTAGAATTTGTTGATTGGAACAAGCTCATTCGCTGTGTTTGACGGACTGTTACCATATAGGTGGAGAATAACGGACTGTTAATTTGACAATCCTGGTGAAATCTACCCTTAGAAAAGTTTTGTAACCATTTATGGTATTTGACAGATGAGGTCTCTGTCTTACCTCTGTTTGACGACAACGTAGATGAGGAAACTAAAGTAAAAATTGTTGCTAGTTTAGTCAAAAAGGATTTTTTCGTGAGTCCACGGTGTAGCATGGGGCACTACCGGGAACTGATACTCAAATTTTCGCGAAGAACGGGAATAGGGGAAGACGGATGTGACGTCATCCAAATGTCAAAAAATCACGTGGTGCGGTTAACCGCCTAACGTTGGTACTAGCAGGTGACAGGTCTTATGTCAATGTAATTTAAAAAACAGACATCTCAATTGAAAATTTGTATTCGCAGTGCCGAAAATTGAGTTGAATCATTAAATCATAAATTGAGGAACACGTCCACCTGATTTTAAATGACGAGGGAGAAGTTCATCGATGATATAGGAGCCGCATTTGTCATATCGAATGGTTGATTTTATTGATATATATGTACATTGCACAAAAAATGATCGGTCTTTTTATTTAAGATTCAAAGAAGGCAGCTAAGTTTGTCAAGGAGCTTAAAGCAAACATTTTGCGCAACACGCGCCATCTAACCACTCCCGGTGTAACTTGAAACTGTCAAAACTTCGAGGTGAAGAGGAAATTCCATCTGTTCCCGCTCCGTTCACTATGGGATCTCGTGAAAAAAATCTCTAAGGAAAGTCCATCAGCCCACTGTAAGCGCCTATATCTCGTCAAAAGATTATGCTTCGATATAATATGCTAACTGTTACGTGCGTCCGACAGGAACACAATTTGCAGGAGCGTCCAGTCCACGTACCGCCACCGGGGCCGGAAAGAGTGAGGGTACCTGGACCGGGGAGGTGGTGGGATCGCATAGGAATTTGTGTTCCGTTCGTTGTCCTGACCCGAGGCCAAGCCTAGACGATGCTGATGAGTTGCAAAAAAAGCACAAAATGTCCATGGTTGACTGTCTGAGGTCGGACGTACAAAAGCAGTATGATTGTTTTTTCATTACATAGAAAAATATCAAAAGCAAGTCCTTGTTCAGTCGTCTCAAAATTGATGACAGTTTTCTCAACGAGTGTCCAAATTCATGGCCACATATTGTGTCTTTTCTACATGCTAAGAATAAGGTGCAAATACCGAGAGCAGTTAACGACAAATGGAAAAAAATAGAGGGTATGCTTATCTTGATTCGAACAAAAATTTGTTTAGCACCTTAGGCTAGGACACCCTGATATACAGGGTGTAAAGTTAGTAGTGGATCAACGGAAGTCAGGTGATAGACGGCCTCAAAACCTATAAGTGTAGTCCGAAATTTCATAGTTCAGGAGATATTTGCAATTTTGTGAAATTTCGAAAAAACGGGATAATGATCTTTCAATCGCAATTACAGCTAAACCATTAGGTTTAGGGCTGTGATTTGATTTTTTTTCTGAGATGAGCTAAATGGTTATGTCACTTTTTAACAGAGCTTATTAGAAATCAACGCAAAAAATCTTAAATTCATTTTTTTGTGAAGAATCTCTTCCATCCCTCAACTTTGGAGGGCGGTGAAAAAATTAGGTTGTATTTCATTATTCATTTTATTGTAAAAACTGTTTCATACCATGTAGAATAAACCCTGAATATTTCAGCTTGCTACGATGAGTGTATCATGTCACATTCGTTGTTCTGATGCGATAAACGTAAGAAACTCAATAGAATCCTTACCACCTACAAGTACAGAACCTATTGTGTTTAGCCGCTCTTTATGGCAATTGACCGACAGATTTGGAAGATAATTTAATTTAACTAACTTTTAAAGAACATGTTCGAAATTACGTCCATTATTTTCTATACATAAGCGACACCTTCCGATAAAATTGTCCTCTAGTCTTTGAAATTAATTTGCGTTTTCCATAATTTTTATTTTTGCTTCATTAGTTTTGGCGCAGTTGGTTGACATTTGTATATTCAGATGTATAGATTATCCCCTTATAAAACCACCATATAAAAAAATCTAGAGGATTTAAATCGGATGTGTCCACCTCTACCTATCCAACGCCCAGGAAAGGTACTGTCTAAGTATTGGCGTACATCCCGTGCAAAGTGGCATGGGGCACCACCGCATTGAAAATATGTATATGCGGATTCGAACGTCCAAATGTACATCCTCTAGCAGCTCATGCAAACTGTTTTGTAGAAAAGCAAGATATGACTGACCATTCAGCCTGGCGGGAAATTCATATGGTCCTTGTTGAGTCCAACCCATAAATGAACGCGGAACTGACGTAGAAAGCTGTGTAGGCGAATAGTGGGTGGATTTTCCACGCTCCATGAATGGAAATTGTGCATGTTGAATATTCCATTTCGGTTAAAGTTGGATTCATCTGTCCATAAGATGCTGTCGAAAAAAGTCATTATGCACGCGTATAAAAACGCGGTAGTCGGGATATATCGCCGGTTGTGGTCCACCTCTTCTGGCAGCACCATAATAGTAATGCATTTCTGCATCATCTCGCGGAGAATATGACATGATTCTACTCAAATGCCAAACGTGAGATACAAATTCAGCACTGGATCATTGCCCGACTTAGTAATTTCGGTCGAACCGAATATTGAATGCTCCCGCACCTGGAATGCGGAGTTGAATGCCCAAGCTCATTAAGCTGATTTGGCTATTTGCGTAAAAAAACAGAGTATCACTCGCGCTGCTAACAGTATCTCATATTTCAAAATCCATCAAGTCGTTTGGACTGTAGCTCGTAAAATAGAATTTCTTGTTCATATGTATAGATACCCGAGAGTCAAACATACCGATTTTTTACGGTGAGCCGCTTATCGTAGCAAGCTGAAATTTTCTATTCTACATGGATTGAAATAGTTTTTACAATAAAATGAGATTTTTCACAAAAACATGATTTCAAGATTCTTTGCGTTGATTTCTAATTAGCTCTGTTAAAAAATGACATAACCATTGATAAAACTAACCATTTAGCTCATCTCAAAAAAGTATCACAGTCCTAAACCTAATGATTTAGTTGTAATTGCGATTGGAGGGTCATTATCCCGTTTTTTCGAAATTTCACAAAATTGCAAGTATCTCCTGAACTATAAAATTTCGGACTACATATACAGGGTGACTTTGAAGTTGAGTCATTAATTTTCAGATAATGATTGTAGAAGGAAGATAAACCAAAATATGTGTGTAAAAATAAAAAAAAAATTAAAAAAAAATGTTACCTCGTTTTATAAAGTATCCTCCCGACAAGTATTTCAGTGCGGACCTGTGTGACCAAAAGCATGTCACAAAAACTGTTCGAAATGATTTCCGTTTTGCTCGACGCACAGCTGGGCGCGTCTTAGCCATGTCTCTTTACAAGCACGTAATAAAATCACTGGTTGATTTCTGATCACTGTACTCATTTCCTCAATTCGAGCACGTAATTCTTCGCGTGTATTAACCGGTGTTTTATACACTAGTTTTTAGCCAACCCCACAAACAAAAGTCTAAAGGATTTAAGTTCGGAGACTTTGGACGCCAAGGTACAAAACCGCTACGGCCGATCCAACGATTATTAAATTGTCTATTTAAAAATTCACGCACATTTCTTGCATAATGGGGTGGTGCCCCATCTTTAAAAACCACATGTTTTGTCTAATATTTAAAGGCACATCTTCCAGTAAACTAGGCAAATTGTGTTGCAAGAAATCAAGATAATTTTCACCAGTTAAGCGATTTGGTAATTCAAAAGGCCCCACTAAAATGCCATTAACAATTCCCGCCCACAGGTTGATTGGTTCAAATCGCTGTTGAAAATTGGTTTCCCTTATTTCATAGGGATTTTCAATAGCCCAAACGTGAGAATTACGTGAATTAATAATTCCGTTTCTAGTAAAGAGGGCTTCATCACTCACTAAAATTTGATTTAAAAAATTGTCATCATTTTGATGTTTATTTAAAAGCCAATTGCAAAAGTCAACCCTTTGTTCATGATCTTCCGGTTGTAACGCCTGCACTTTTTGTATGTGAAACGGATAGAACTGATTTTCACGTAGAGTTTTCCAAGTTTTATATTGACTAATCGCCAATTGAGTTGAAATTTGTCGGGTGCTTACTGTTGGATCATCACTTACTAATTCTAAAATTTGTTCTTCTAGTTCTATTTGATCGTGCGGTCTTGGAGCACCGGCATGATCTCCTCTGTGAGGTCTTAAGTCACCTGATTCACGAGCTCTTTGCACTACATTACAAAGGCACGAGGGGTTGGTTGCACTCGATTGGGAAACCGATCCGCATAGATCCGTGATGCCGCGGCAGCATTTTGTAAAGACTCCCCGTAAATAAGAACCATGTCCACAAGTTCAGCATTTTCGTAAACATGTGCCATTTTTGATTTGAGCCACGCAACAGACACGACTATTCACTTACGCGTTACCGACTACTTACTGACACTGACTGTATACAACTGAAGAAAATAATTGTAAAAACATCGTTCCAAATTCTTTCGCTTTTTTGTTTCCGATGCGATGAACGGATAAGGCGGATTATATCTGTTGTTGCCAAACACGAGCACATAATATTATTATTGAGACAGGACGGTACTCAAACTTCCAAAGGGCTATAACTTTGTTACTTTAATTTTACCAGAAAAATGGTAAAGGAAAAAACATTTCTTTTGATCAGATCAACTCACTGTTAAAATAAATGACTCAACTTCGAAGTCACCCTGTATAGGGGTTCATTAGATATGTTTTGAGGCCCACTATCAACTGACTTCCGTTGATCCACTACTATCTTCACATCCTGTATATATTATATTGTAAGTATTATACTTACTTTTTTTGGAATTTCGAATTTAGCTGTAGTTGAAATATTCCTTACATCATTATATAATGTGAATATTGTTTGTTCGATATGGTATTTCTGGACTTACCGTGATTGTTTCAACAGTTCTAGTTTTGGAACTGATGGTCTGCGAGCTCACTATCTCGCCGGTAGCACTGTAAGATCCATCATCGGAGGTGAGGTTGACTTTTCTGGATTCAGTAGCTACCACTGGAACATTTGTGGTAGAGTGAACGACTGTGGGATCTCCGCGGTATATCACGGATTCGGTCTGTACAATACCCTCTCCTGGTATGTCATCCTGCACAGTAAACATCATCATTGCAGTAATAAGATATAGATAAATTCTAATGGTAAGAGACTGGGTAATTGAGTAAGGTAGAGAAAATAAAATGATATAAATATTATTTTCACGACAAAGAAGGTGAAATAAATGGTTTCATTTTGTTTTGCTGTTACGGCTTTTCGCATAAGAGGTAACGCTTATAGTTTATTAAATATTCTGTCGAAAAGAATCAAGACAGACAAAAGGGAAATCAATATATTTTAAACGAAAGGAAACATTTCTGAGAAAATATTCAGTAAATATTTTAAGTATGTTTGCTTGACGATTGGGACATTCCGCATAAAGCGCAAACCAGGAAAAAAGTGAAGTGAACATCTAGTAGGTGTGAAAGAGAAAACACGACTTTTTTCGGTGCATGCTCATTTGCTAAGTTACGGGCATCGAAAGAACTGAAACCGGGATTTTTTCGAATTGAAATGTATGATATTTGGATATGAAACGCAGCGTATTATATCGCAAATGTTCTGTACTTTTTGATGAAAAAACCAAATTCGAAATTCAAAAAAACTTAAGGTGCTAAACCGGAAGTACAAATTTCAAACTATAATTTTAACAAATTCGCATTTTTTTATTTTCTCGACTTAATATTTTTTTACTCCAAAATATAGGCTAAAGTGTGTTTAAAGTACATCACAAGTTTTGAAATGTGCATAATTAAGGAGGTATAGTCGAAATCACGAAAGATGACGATTACATCATTTTAGTCTGTAGTAAAAACAAACGACAGCGATTTGTGAATATTTTTAAAGAAGTTTCAGATGTGTTATACAGAGACAAACATAATTTTATTGTCTAAACAGACTGTATTGCTAATTTGCATGATCCGGCAAAGATAGACGATGTTTTTATGTTGCATGATCGATCATATTTGAAAGATAAATAGTTAGGTTATGTTAAAACAGGTTAGGATGTTTTCGAATAATACTTTGGTCTTTGGTGTTCCTGTCTTAAGGTATTCTACTCATAACTTTTTTTTTTAAAGCAAAAACTCCCCACAAATAATTTTTAAGGTATCACTCAAAACGATGAAATAAAATGAAAATAAAAATAATCAGTGAAATAACCTAACTTCGCAAAATCATAATATAAATTTATTGTCATTATGTTCCTGACATCGTGATTTTATCATCGACGTACGTCCATTGATTACTTCAGTACAATTTATGGTATGACGTAATAGTCATCTTTCGTGATTTTGACTATACCTATTTCAACGACGCTACGTTAGGTGCTTGTTTAGGTCGAACGGTTTGCGAGAGATTGCATTCATAGGCTACACTATGAGTATTTTTAAGTTATAACATATTTTAACGTACAATTATAGTTTAGTTTTATACAGTTCTTAAACAATGCAATTTGAAATAAAAATATCCATCGTAAAGGCTTGCGGTAAAAAAAAACTTACTAAAACCTGACAAGAAAATACCTTATCTCTAAATTCGAGGATAATCTGAACCTTTTTTATTTACAATTTTTGCTGCACCTCTAAAAATAAAGTGGTGGGGGGTATTCAAAATTTTCCATAAAAAAATTACTGATTCGAGGATAATCTGAACCTTCTTTCACAATTTTTGCTATATCTCTAAAAATAAAGTGGTGGGGGGTATTCAAAGGTTTCCTTAAAAAACACCCTGAATCTTCGAAACGGGTGAGCCCATTTTAACAGGCTTGGGCTAGTTGAAAACTGCATTCTTGGGTTACAAATGTTATAATATTTGAAGTTTTGTTAGTTTCAGTTGTTTTGTTGTATTCCATGGCATACTTTCATGCATTTAAACAAAAAAATATGCCTTTTGTTATTAGCATTACTTACTTTTAGAGATATTTCGTAATGTTTTCAAAAAAGGTAATTTTAATCTGATGAATAAAAAAAATCTCATAAAAAATAGTTTAAAACAATAAAAATTTAAGGGATTTCCGTATAAAAATTTTCTTTGCCATAATTTTAGGTTAGGAACAAGATATCGAGATGCGGTTTTCGCGAGATTGTTTATACATCATTTAGCTACTTTTTCTTAAAAAAACATCATACCAATGCATTTAATTTTTTTTTGAGAAAATTCACCATTTTTGTCGAAAAAAGACATGTGAAACTAACAAAACTTCAAATACAATATTTGTAGCCCCTCTTTTCAACTAGCCCAAGTTTGTTAACATCGGCTCAGCCGTTTCGAAGATACATGATGTTTTTTACGGGAACCTTTGAATTACCCGCGACCACTTTATTTTTAGAGATACCGCAAAAATTGTCAAACAGAAAAGGTTCAGATCATCGTTGAATTTAAAGATCAGGTATTTTTTGTTAGGTTAATATAGCGGAATTGACAGAAACATCACTTTATAAAGATTCAAGATTGCAGTTACGCCCCATAGCGGCCATTGCGGAAAGTTGAAAATATTTTCCAGGTTTTTCTCTTGGTCGATCTAGTAATACCTGTTCCTGCCACAAGCCGCTACGATGAATAGGTTCCCAGATACAGTACCTCGCATTCTTAGTTGGCCACCCTGTACTTACAATATGAACGAGTTTTAAAACCTCACTTTTTTTTCGGCGTCTACTTCACGTGAAATGCCCCAATTTCAGATGGAAGTCGCAATGCTTTTTGATGATCAATAAACCGTAACAGTAGATAGTTGGTAATTTTCAAATACACAAAAATGTATACAAAGTATGCAGACATGCTCAATTACGAATAGGTTTCATGACGCAAGACGAAATTCTAACTAAATTCACAATTCTAAAGAGCATAACAGGCATATTAGCGTGCGTACTTACTAAGTTAACCTGCAACTGGAGCAAATTCATTTTCCTGATATGTGAAACCAATAAAACGAGTGTAAAACTATCAATAATATTTCAATCTTATCGAAATAATAATGGAACCCCGTTACTAGCAAACGGGAATACCAAGCACCCTGGAAAATGAACAGAATTCAAGGATTTTTAGTAAAATGTGTTCCAAATGCTGCATATTAGATTAGACGCTATCAAGTCCTGAGCACTACCTTTTTATATTTTGTTTTTATCATAAATTATCATAAATACTAATTTTGAGCCTTCATTACTATGTGTTAATTCATTTTTTTATTATTATATCAATGATCAACTTGTGATTATATTCGTCATAAAAATGTTTTCGTTTACCGTTAGGTAAGTAACTTTATAGAGTTTGTATACCGGGTGGTCCAACGAAAAGGTCGCACCCCTATTTGTGACTCTCCTGGTACATTTTGGGAAAAATGCTCAGACAAGTCATTTTGAATTTCTAGGACGTCTTTTCATCTGTAGCCGTACAATATAGGGTGATCGAAAAATAAGATATTGCGTTACACTTCAGAATTTTAAATGGAAACTCACAACTTTTTTTAATTTTTAGATTTTCCATGAAGTTTTCAGTAACTTTTATATAATAAAGTTTATACCTATCTTCAATCATTGTGAAGCTATTTGAGTTTACAATAGAATTCTAGAAATTGTGATAATAAGGGGTTATACCGTAAAAAGAACAATATACTATAACAGTAAACAGTATTAAAAAACAAAAAACAACTTACAGTTTGCACGCGCATTAAATTTAAAGTAAAAATTAATTTGCTATAAAGAGGTAGGTCAATGTGATAATAAATGCCGCAAGTGGTGGTCATTTACCTCTATGCAATAATGAAGACTTTGTTCGAATCTATTCCTAACATTGAGTTATTTGTCTACATTCAGCCGTAATCCGCTGAAGATCTTGAATGGAATCTGGCTTCGTACTAAAAACTTTACTTTTCAAATGACCCCAAAGAAATTAATCTAAACGACTTAGGCCACTCGATGGTGCCTCGTCTGCCGATCCACTGATTCGAAAAATGGGTGTCTAAATACTAACGTACTGGAGCCACATAGTGCGGCGGTGCATCATCTGGTTGGAAATAAATGTAATTTTCATTGTAATTAACGTCACTTTCTATTATTTTGGTAATTCGTGCCTCTCTTGAATTTTCTAACATGTCCAAGTATGTCTCAACCGTCAAGTTAACAGGAACAAAGAAAGGTCCTACAATATAATTTCCGAAAATGTCACTCCAAACATTTATTTTTTCAGGATATTGTGAGTGTACCTCTCGAAACAAATGTGGATTCGAGTCACTCCAATATCGACAATTGTGCCTATTTTCAGCACCTCGTAAATAGAACGTATACTCATCCGAGAAACAAATATTAAATAACAGATTTGCATTGATTAAACGTTGGGACATTAATGCGCAAAACCCCTACCTTCTATCAAAATCGCATTCATTAAGCTCATCGACAAGTTTTATCTTGTACGCCTGAAATTTATTGTTTTTCAAAATTCTTTGTACTGTTGTTTGTACCAAAAGTGCTATTTCTGGGGCTCTATTTCTAACTGGTCAGTTTCTTAAAATTCTCTTGTCAACTTAGCCACATACTTATCGTTAGCGTTAAACAACTGGGCAGTAGCTCTTTCAATGCTCCCATTTTGGTAATACTGTTTTATTATTTATACCCTCTCTTAAATTGAATAAGTAATTGTTCAATATTTATCACAACTAGTTAGGTAATTCAACAATTTGAAATGAAAAAGAAAGTTTTGCTTTGACATACGATGACGCTGACTGATGCTAAATGTTCTTGCTGATAACCATGATTATTATTTTTTGCCGAGCATTCCATTATTATCAGTATTAAGTTAATTTAGTCGCATTTTATTATAAACTCAAACAGCTTCACAACGATCGAAAAAAATCTGAAAAAATGAGGTTTCCTTTTAAAAATCTCAAATGTAACGCAATATCTTACTTTTGGGTCACCCTGATTATACGACTATAGATGAAAAGACGTTCACCTAGAAATAAAAATTGTGTCCAACCGTTTTTCCCAAAATATACCAGGAGAGTCACAAATGGGGGGTGCGACCTTTTCGTTGGGCCACCCTGTAGATGCCGATTAATTTAAACATATTCAAATATGTTGAACTGTAAACTACTTAAATTGAGTGGCGTCCCACTTTCCTTGATCACTTATTTTTGGCACAGCCACTTTCACTGCAGTTATAAACTTAACTGTAGGCTTCAGTCTCGAGCCCTAAGTTTGCTTAACATGATACTTCCAAGTGCTAAACATGATGCTTCCGCCAGCACAGCCAAAAGACAACCAACCATGGACAGCTGTTTTGTGTGTTATTCAATTGCAAGTATCTACTTTACAGCCAGAATCGTCAGCCATCTAGCGGTCACGCAGTGACTGGGCTGTTAAACGTGAACTTAGATCCCCAACAGTTGAATGATTTACAAAAGAAATCTAAAAAATGAAAACAAGGGCATCAAATTTTAGACTTAACGCATCCTTTGAAACACATTTTACAAAAAAATCTATTTAATCTTTCCGAGCTGCGAGTAATAACCCCTAGGGTAATGTGATATCAAGAAAATACAATATATCACAATGATTTAGACCCAATGACATTTAAATCATTCTATACGTACATCTCAAAATAGTATTTTCTGGTTATCTTCTTTTGTAATTACTCTGATAAATACAAACGTGTAGAGGGGGTAGAATTATTTGAATTTTAAGGCTTTGTAGTACTTTTATATATTTCTACGTGAACATACATCCATCAACTCCATCATAACTCATTTGATTTTTGAGATACAAGAAATGGTGTCATGAAATGTGAACCCTTGATGGTAAGGAAACGCTCTTTAATTTTTCAAAAATAGTTTTTTGAATATAAATGTAACACATTTTGTGGAAAAATATGCTGCACTTCAACCATGACTCATTTGTTTGTTTTTGAGATTTAAACGAACATTTTGAGATAATCGAAAAAAGTCTGTTTGAGAATTAAAAAATATATGATCAATATTAATTTACTGTGAAACAAATTGCGGTCAGATATAAAACTTTTTTTACACTTAGTTACCAGCGGACATGCGTCGCTAAGATGGTTCAAAGAAGTACAAGATCTGTCGCAACGTAAACAGGACAAGGAAAAAAATAAACAAACATTTTTAGTTTCGGAAAATCGAATATATTTTAATCAAAATAGTCTCCTTCGGAGTACAAACGATTTGCACGGGCCAAGATTTTCGAATGATGATTTTAGTTCATTGATCAGGATATCCTTCAAAATGGTCACGGCGCCTTTTGGATGGCCTCTACGTCGGCATACCGATGCCCCTTCATCGCCAAATGTAGTTTACTGAACAGAAAATAGTCACACGGTGCCATAACAGGAGAATATGGGAACTGGTTGATGGTTAAAATGCCATTCATTATCACAAAATCCGACATAAGCGTCGATCGATGAAATGGTGCATTATCGTGCAACAAGCGCCAGCTTCCTTCTTCGCGATATTCTGGCCGAACCCGACGAATACGCGACAGCAAACGCCTCATAACTCCAAGATAAAACACAGCATTAACCGTTTCGCCCAGTGGAATGCATTCTTTGTGAATAATTCCCTTCGAATCGTGGAAACAAATCATCATTGTTTTCACTTTGGACTTTTCCAAATGGCTTTTTTTCGGATTTGGCTCGCTTGGGTTTTTTTGACGCTTTGTTTCAGGATCGTATTGAAAACACCACGTTTCGTCACCAGTCACAATGTTGTACCGAAAGTTTTTTTGACCTCCTTAATGATGCCTCTCGAATGTTGAATACGAAGCAATTTTTGGCCATAGGTGAGCTTGTACGAAAAAAACAAAAAAAAAAAAAAAAAAACGTGAACACACCTTTCTCATGCCCAAATTCTTGGTCAAAATGTTAATCATTGAATCTTTTGAAATATTTAATTCCATTTTGTATGTATCTCGATGAAGATTTTGAATCATTTTTGATAAACTCACGCACTTTTTCGACGGTTTCTGGCGCAATCACAAATTTTGGCTGGCCAACATGTTCGTCGCCTTCCAGCGACTCACGACCCCCTTTGATGCGTTTCGGTAAATGTTTTAACAAGTTTAAAACAGAACTTAATATTGATTCTTTGTTCGATTTTTCTACCGATGCTAAAAAGGAATTGTCACTTTGAGCTCTATAACTCCGCGTGAAGTGGTTCGATTGTCATAAAATTTTGACAAGGCATCAATGAAAGATGTACCTATCCAACGCTCCGATAATAGATGACGCTACTTGTATCGGATATCTTTCTAAATTCCTGTTTACTTTGCGAAGACATTGTAGTAACTAGTTGACATCCGCGGCAACTGCACGTGAGATCAACTGGGTTATGCAACTTGTCGTAGTGCCCCTCAACTGGTAGGCACCACTTTCCAAAAGTGAGATATCAGACATTATTTCTTGCATGATAAGTTTCATTTCGGTGCAACAAAAAGTAGCAGTCGTAATAAAGACGATGAGAGTAAACCCTGTTTTTTTCTTCATATTTCTAGATATCCTGAAAAATATCCCAAGCAATGTGGGCAAGTTATTCGAGTACACTTTGGTGGATTTTGTCTCAACACATAGATAGTATCGGCAACAAATTAAATCCAAAATATGCCAGAAAAACTCCTAGAAGCCACTGAGTATACTACATCCGTATTTCCAAATTTCATGTTTGTATTTTGAAGAACAAAAGGGTTATGATAGAACTGTGAACAGCACATTATATTTTTTACAAAAAAACATTTTTCCTTTAAATCTCTTAACTTTCATATGCCATTTGTTGTTTATATCTTACAAAATAAACGATGTAAGAATGACAGATGTATGTTTACATAGTAATAGATAGCGGTATTGCGGAGCATAACAATGGAGTGAATGAATATTTACCTTGTAAATGGGGCTATTGTAGTATGGATGATTCGGATCGTCAGGAGGATCGATGGGGGTGCCTGAATCACCTGAGCTAGTCGAACTAAGGCTGTCTCGTCTGCCCAGCTATAAGCCATGCATTTTATACAAGGGTTAAAACATATGACAAATGCTGGAATGCATGTGTTACATAAGAAAATTGAGGGACATTAGCTTTCATCGTGAATCAGTTCCGAACGGTTTTCGAATTATGGGGGATCAATTCCACGCGCATGCGACACTAACCAATCATCTAACGTTAACCTTTTGGAATCTCGCAGACGACTCAACAGCTGTTTAAAGTCGAACATTCACCACGTGCGAACTGTTCCTTCGGCCGATCGAAGAACTGTGATAACCAGTTCAGAATTAGTTTAGAACTGTTACCGCGATCCCTCAACAAAATAATATCTGGCAGTACTGGTTGTACCGCAAACGCTACGAGTCCGCGCAGGCGCGAATGGTTCATAACCGTTAGGAACTGTTACCGCGATTGAAGCTAGTATTTGATCATAATGCGTAATCATATACAGGGTGTCCAATAAGTACCATGACAAACTCAAGGAGAAGGTAGGCTTTAGACTTACCTCCCAAATAACAAAAACTTACCTATATAAAAGTGTCACCGCTTTTGTGATATGGATTTTTTTCTTAAATTTAAAAAAACGATCCTTTTCATGTGTAGTCTTTAGCTGCATGTAGAAATAAAGTTATACTTTGTTCATTTTTTCTATAAAATACTTCTATACAAATGCAATCTAGTTAAAAGATATTAAGGAACCATGATAAAATAACGACTGTTTTGGGATTCATTACCTTCTGTAATTGTTTCCTCAACTTTCATAAAATCATATCAGGAGCCGGTAATAATAATGTAGCTTTGTACTATTTAGCATGTCACTGATAGGTACCCAGTGCAACTTGAATTTAAATCCAATAATTACATGGTAGTGTGTTTCTATTCAAAATAGTACGTGTGGTGCCTTTCTGACATCTGTATTCAATGAGCAATCTTTTTATTCAATATAATGCAATTATAGCCCAGTACATTTTTGTTTCATCACAGATGGTCGAAGTTGAGGAAAAAATATCAGACGGTTATAAATCCCAAAATAGTCCTCATTTGATGATGGTTCCTCAATATCTTTTGACTACATTGCATTTGTATACGATAAAGCAACTATCTAGAAGTATTTTATAGAAAAAATGAACAGTATAACCTTATTTGTACATGCAGCTAAAGACCACAGATGAAAAGGTTCGTTACTTTAAAAATTAAGAAAAAATTCAATATCTCAAAAACGGTGATACTTTTATATAGGTAAGTTTTTGTTATTTGGGAGGTCAGATCAAAGCCTACCTTCTCCTTAAGATTGTCGTGGTACTTATTGGACACCTTGTATGAAACCCGTGAAAATAATGATAACGAATCAAATATGCTTCAGTAAAGTATTGCTCGTTAATATGATACAGAATGTTAGTTTATCTCTCTAAAATGTTATTTCTCTATAGCACAAACTGTTTTTGTGCTATTGACAAAAAAATTGGGAATCGGAATAAGGTTATATTCAATTTTCCTACATAGTAGTGGACTTTCATTACAATCTATAACTCACTCTGCCATACCATACCTTTCTTACTAGTACCATTTCATTACTTATAGAGAGATTTAACAAACAAACCTTTATCAAAATATATGCGAATCAACATTCTATCATACAACCAAATGGCTGGCTCAAAAACTATCCATTAAAAATGACACTGCCTATTTACATTTCGCATCCTCAAAATATTCCACGCCTAATGAACTGTTTTGTAACCTGTCAAATGCACCTGCTTTTTTCCACCTCGACTGACAGGTGAAATTGATTTAGATTTTCTCCGACACAATCTGCCACAATTATTATAAGATGTGAGACAGAATATGTAGCCCCTACATGATGGGGCTCCACCTCATTTTAGACGAGAAGTTGATGAACATCTAAATACAGCAGACGCTCGATAACGTAAACACGGGATAATGAAAACTTGCGCTAACGTAAACAACTCTCGGCGCACGGAAACAGCGCGATGGTAAAATGCTGAAGCCTCGATGATTTATGTCGGGCGTCGGGGAGTCCCCGATTTATGATGTAGAGTGTAGGGGATTCACCTCTGCGATAAAATACGACAAACTCGGTCAGTCGTATGACCGTTTAGGATACGTTTATACGTACGTATGTATTTCATTTTTGAACGTAAGTGAATACATTGCACGCGTTAATATATTTTACGACTATGGCATCCACATCCTATAAAAGAAAGTGTTAAAGTTGAGTGAGAAAGTGAAAATCTTAGACGAAGTTGCACTAGGTGCGGGAGTGACACAGTTAGCAAAAAAATATGGAGTATCGAAAGCAACAATCTGTAAAATTAAGCGTATGAAAACTCAAATTTTACAAAGAACGTGCAATACATTTGGAGGTCCGGGAAAAAGAAAAACTTAAAAAAATGCGAAGGCACCTAAAATGGAAAATTCCCTGTATAAGTGGTTTTTAAAAGAACGGGAAAATCATGTCCCAGTTAGTGGCGAAGTACTTAAACAGAGAGCGAGACTGTTAAATGAAAAACTGAAAGAAACTGAAAATTTCGTAGCTAGTGATGGCTGGCTACAAAGATTCAAAACAAGATATGGAATTCGACTGCTGTCTAAATCTGGTGAAAAATTATCAGCACAACCACAATTAGTGCAACCATTCAAAGAAAAAGTGATGAAAACAATTACCAAGCTAGATTTAAGAATGGAACAAATTTACAACGCAGATGAAAGTGGCCTTTATTGGAAAATGTTACCAGAGAAAACCTATGCTGCATCATTTGAAAAATCTGCCCCGGGAAGAAAGCCGGAGAAACAACGAAGAACGTTTCTAGCCTGCACTAATGCTAATGGTTCACACAAAATAAAGCCACTGATAATTGGGAAAGCAAAAAATCCGCGCTCATTTAAAAATGTTAATATCCCTGTTGATTATGATTGTTCAAAAACCGCTTGGATGACTAGCAGTATATTCCTGAAATGGTTCCACAGGTGCTTTGTCCCTCAGGTATGACAATCAATTATCACAAATGTTCTATTCATAATTTGAAGATGTGTTTTCACTTTGTAGGTAAAAGGTTTCCTAAAACAACAGAAGCTTCCAATAAAAGCGTTGTTACTATTAGATAATGCACCAAGTCATCCTGCCGAGCAACAACTGAGGAGCAGGGATGGGTCAATTTTCGTCATGTACATGCCGCCCAACGTAACACTGTTAATTCAACCGATGGACCAGAATATAATAAGACTCGCCAAACTATACTATAGGAAGTTTCTACTTTCGTCTGTCTTATCAAAGCATCCTGAAAACTTATCTGAGGCTTTAAAAAAAGTAACATTACGAGAAGCTGCAGATTTACATATGGCCTGGAATGAACTTAACCAGCAAACTATTCAAAAATGTTGGAACAATCTCTTTTGTACCAATAATGAATATGATGAAGAAGACGATGTCCCCTTAAGCGTAATTAGAGAACGTTTGCGATCCAATAATGATAATGTTATTATTGTGTCATTGGATGTTGTTGATTTATTGAAAACAGTGAATCCCAACATTGTTTGTACTCCTGCTGATATTAATTTATGGAACGAAGATAAGCAGACGAATGATGCTGATAAGTAGGAGGATATGGACAGTGAGGATGATGAGAACGATCCCATTGAAGTCAGAAGTGTAGTGACTGACGCGCAAGCTATACAAGTTTTTAACCAAGCTTTAGATTGGACTGAAAGAAAAGAAGTTTCATACACGAATATTTTAGTTCTTCGTAAACTACGGGCGCAGGCATTGGAAGACAATGCTAAGCGCAAATTTACGCAGACAAAAATTGTTAATTATTTTTCTTCTAATTAAAAAAATACTTATCGCTGTTAGAATATTTGTTTATTTTGTTATAAATAGTATGTATTAAACGTTTCTTTTAATAAATCAAATATCATATAAATCACGTTCGCTAATGTAAACATTTCGATAATGTGAACCACACTTGGATTAAATTAGTTTACATTATCGAGCGTCTGCTGTAATGAGTTTCCGAATAGATGGATAGGGCGTAATGAACTCATTTCTTGGCCTGTTCGCTGTAACAATGTAAAGTAACTCTCTTATTATGCAACTTTTATGTAGGTGATTTTTGGTATATCAACTTCTTTTGACGAGTTCTACAAGCTGTTGCAATAAATGATTCAACTTTGATAATACCCTGTATTCACTTGGATGTAACACTTAGGGCCATATCGTCAGTCGTTCCTACAATTGTAGGACGAGTTTATGGCCTCCTTGATTGTCAAAGTCTTTTCTCTCCTTCAAAATTTTTTAGATTGCACCTGTTCCGTGTCAGCGTCAGCGCTCTCCTATTATGAAGTTGTTTTCTTTTTGGATCGTAGGAAATTTTAGGCTGATAAAACACGATATAAATCAAAAGCATGAACAATTTGATGCAAATATTTGTGACATAACCTAAACTAGAGCGGTGACACGGGAAAGCAGAAAACTATGAAAATCAAGGAGGCCTTAAAGGCGTCCGGCAAATTTTCAATCTTTTACTATTTATTTTATTATGCAACTTTTATATATGTGATTTTTGGTATATCAACTCCTTTTGACGAGTTCTACCAGTAGTGAAATGAATGACTCAACTTTGAAAACGCCCTGTATAGGATACATTTTCAACTTAAAATACACTCACTCTACCATGATTACTAAAAAAAATAAACGTTACTTGCAAGAACCTGTCGTGAAACAGTGATATAGGCTATAATTAGCCCCATCTACATGTTGTGGAATATAATCATCAGAAATCCTCGATTCCCAATTTAAATGTCAATATTACAAAAATATTTTATTTTATATTTTGGGCATCCATTATGGACCACTTTTATAATACTTCATTCGGATAATTGTGGAATAATTAAAGGTGGAATGAATAACGTATAATATAGCTGCAAAGAATAGCAAATGTAATGTAATGAAATGTCTTTTCCCTACTATACTAATCAGTGGGTAGTAGTGATATGACGAACGTGTTCCTTTTAAATTCTTTTACTTACCAGGCCCACTGGCGAGGAAGTATTGTATCGCAAAAAAATTTCGAATATGAGATATGTTTTTTGGATCTTATATGACCTGTACATGACGAAACCATGTCACTCATTTCCGTCTGCCTGAGAATTACAAGTTTGAATATGTGCTTGACACTGACGGTCATTTCCAGGCCAAATTGATCTTCATAAATGGAACCCTTATACTTTTGACCCCGGAAATCCAAAGAGGACATGACCTTGACCTTGATTCCAAGGTCAATCCGTTTTTATTAAAACGGGCCCTATACCTTTGACCACGAAAATCGAAACGGAAAATTTCTACGTTTGCGTATGTCGGATATGTCCTTGTCCAGATCGATCAGTGACTGGCCAGTGAAGGCAAGTTGGATCAGTCATTGTGAAGGTCGATCAGTGACCAGGTCAATGAAGACATCGACGATCAGTGACGGGCACGGGTATTACGTATCTTAAAAAGTGACATTCCGTCGTTTTTTTTACATTTCGTAGTTTTTTTTTTACATTTCGTAGGTTCTTCTACAAGATCTTAACTTAGCACAAGCTGTTGTACACTTGTTGTGTATTCATTTTGCAGCTGTACGTGTTGCTTTAACATCAGCGAACAGCGATTACAAGGTCGTCGTAAAGTAAACAGGACAAAGAAAAAAGTGAACAAACATTTTTTGTTAGTTAATACAGCGATTTACACGGACCAAAAGATTTTCGAATGATGATTTTAGCTCATTGAGCGGGAAGTCCTTCAAAATGGTCGCCTTTTGAATGGGCTCTACGTCAAATGTAGTTTACCCAACAGAAAATAGCCACACGGTGCCATATCAGGAAGTGGTTGATGGCTAAAATGCCATTTTTGCCAAAAAATCGGACACAAGCGTCCATCGATGAGATGGCGCATTATCGTGCGACAAGCGCCAGCTTCCTTCTTGGTGATATTCTGGCAGAACACGACGAATAGGCGACAGCAAATGCCTCATAACAGCAGTATAAACCACAGCATTAACAGTTTGGCTCAGTGGAACGAATTCTTTTTGAATAATTCCCTTCAAATCGTAGAAACAAATCAACATTGCCTTCACTTCGATCTTTGTCAAACTGCATTTTTTCGGATTTTTGTCGGTTCGGTGCTTCCATTCGTCATCAGTTACAATATTCAGAAAGCTTTTGTTTTTTGTTTGGCCTCGTTAATGATGTCTCTCGAATGTTGAATTCGCAGCAATTTTTGGTCATCCGTGAGCTTGTGCGGAACAAACCGTGAACACACCTTTCTCATGCCCAAATTCTTGATCAAAATTCGATGAATTGAATCTTTAAGATATTTAATTCCATTTCTATGTATCTCAAGATTTTGGATCATTTTCGATAAACTCACGCACTTTTCGACGGTTTCTGGCGTAATCACAAATTTTGGCTAGCCGTTTGTCGTCTTCCAGCGACTCACGATCCTCTTTGCACCGAGTAAACCACTAGTGGACTCGGCATTGAGATAAACAATCATCATCATACACTTGCATCAACATGTGCTGCGTTTCGGTGAATGTTTTACCAAGTATAACACAGTACTTAATATTGGCTCTTTGTTCGATGCTTATTTTTTGCCGATAATAGATGGCGCTACTTGTATCGGACATCTTTCCAAAGTCCTGTTTACTTTGCGACAGACCTTGTATAGCGCGCAATTGTGGAATGAAAAACTACCTAGTCTGCAAGATGACATTTCGTCGGTTTTTTTACGTTTTTTAGGTTTTTTACATAATACCCTTGCCGGTCAGCGAAGGCGAGGTCGATCAGTAACCCTTAAGCTCACACATAAGACATCATTATATACTAAGTGACATATAAAATGCAACAGCCAGAATTATTTCTTGAATTTTAATAAAAACTTGTAAACATGTTTGCTATCATGGAAGTATACTTCTATACGCTGATAAAATGTTGAAGGCATTCCGAGCCGTACTTTTTTGTCATATCAGGTTCCGGACAATATGAACATGTTAACTTAATATTCAGTGATTTTTCTGTGTTGGTTCCATTTGTTTCATTGCATTATCATGCCTAGAGTTCGCAGACGCGCTAATTTCACTAAAATTTCAGAGTTTGAGAGAAGTCGGATAATCGGGTTACGTGAAACCGGATTTCTTTTAGAGAAATCGCTAATCGGGTGAATCGCAACGAAGCTACTGTAATGAGATGTTATCGAGCGTGGTTCCAAGAAGGCCGAAATCGACGAGTTAGAGGTACTGGACGTCAAAGACAGATTACAGAGCGACAGGATCGTTATTTGAGGCAACTAGCACTTAGAGATCGATTTTCCACAACAAGAGCAGTTGCGAACCAGTGGTTTGACGCTGTCGGAAGGGTAATAATAATGAGGACAGTTTATCACCGAATAAGGTCTTTTGGACTGTTTTCATACCGTCCCATCTTGTACTACCTCTGACCACACAGCATCTTCGGCAACGATTGGTATGGAGTAGGGAGAAACTAGAATGGAATATAAAATGGAACTCAGTCGTGTTAAGCGATTAGTCCGGATTGTTTGGGCGCACATGATGGCCGTGTAAGAGTAAGGAGACGAGGTGAAAGACGGAAAATCCAATAATCCATCGGATTATTTATCGCACTGTAGGTATGGTATGGGGTGCTATTGATTACGGAAGCAGGTCAGGATTAGTTTTCATTCGAGGTAGCATGACTGCACAGCGCTATATCCACGAAGTTTTACAACCACATCTTTTTTTGGAAACATTGCAAGATCCACTTTTTCAGCAGGACAATGCACGACCTCATGTCGCACGTGATAGTTTAGACATTTTAAAATTGACCTGCTTCAGAGGCCTCCTCGATCTCTAGACCTTTCCCATCGAATATGTATGGGACATGATGAGAAGAAGGTTGCAAAATTCACCGCACACTCCACAGACATCGGAGGCTCTACGAAACCAAATTCAGATGGCCTGGGGATACAATACACAAGAAGATATCAATCACCTAATTAAATCAATGCCGCGTCGACTTAACGAATGTGTAGCGAACCGAGGAGCTTTAATACATTATTACCATTAAGGTGGGATACCTCGGCTGTTTTGCGAAATTTTAATCACTTTCTATTTATCAGTAGACATAAAATTTGTAGAAGTATGCTCAAAATTACAGCAGTCCTAGTCGGTGTTGCGCATTTTCTATGCCATTTAGTATAATATTGTAATTATAACCTTCTCTTTGGTGTTAGTATGACTTCGGACCGGCGCAACTAAAGCAATAAAAAAAAAGAAAACAAAAAAAAATAACCGAACCTGATCTCCGCTAACCACAGTGCTAGTAGTCTTGACTTCCTGCGTGACGGTTCGTTGTTCTTGCCTGGTGGCGCTCTTCGTGGTCGAACGCGCGACCGTCTTCTCTTCCAGTTGTTGCGTCTTTGCGTTAGTTTCCAGATCCTCATGCGTCATCGCCGTACGAGTGGTGACGGCTCGCGCGGTTACAAATGGAGAATCTTTAGGGGCGTCGGCCTGGTTGGTTGGTGAGGGGAAGGTATAAAAAAACATGTAAACATAATCGAAAGAACTAAACATAAGAGGTGCAGGGTTTTGAAGGTACGGGTATGATACAAACACAGGATCGACAGTTATGGGAAATGAATTAATGAGACTGAAGTTGCAGATAATGGTGTATAATACCATAATTCTTCCCCATTTTTATATTTTTCAACTATTTTGTTTACTGCGAATGGATACATATTTTCAAAATTTCAAATTCTACAAAATACAGCTACGAGGATCATTTTGAATAAAAACAAATATGCTAAGATCAAGTCTATGTTAGAAGAACTGCAGTGGTTAATGTAAAAAAATACCGCCACATTCAGAAAACTTCACAAAATTAAATATCATGAAAATAACTACGAAACTAGATACTAGAAATAGTAGCATAACAAGCAAATCTGTATTTCGAAAAGAAGTATTTGAGTTTAATTAATAAAATAATGGTATTGAACTGAGTTGGAATTTAAAAATGTTTAAGGTGAAATGAAAAAATCACTTCATAAATACCCAAAATGCAAAGTGATATAATTTTAATAGACAAAAATCTAAAATTACAGAAAAATTATTCAAAAAATGTGTAAATGAATAATTATACAAAATTTACAATCAAATACACCGGGAAATTCTCCAAAGTGGCTCACCCCTATACATTTTTATTATTGGAGATAGAAAAGCGAAATTTGGGGGTTGCGTATTATAGATGAATTTACATTTTTTGACAAATCCACTCGCTTTGACGTACTTCCAGTTTGATATAAATCGCTTCATCTTTTATCAAGTAACACGGGAAAAATACGATTTTGAGGCGAAGATTTTCTAAAAGTTACAAACACAAATTTTTTTGAATTTACTTCATTTTTTCATATAGAAGAGACCATTTTCTAACGCATAATTTGACACTACACACTCTCATTTTATTTTCACTATTTTTCTGAATAATTGTAAGAAACGATCATACCGAACAACAAATAATACGTATCTGCATTCGGTATAGCTATGCACTAAGTCATATTATTCTAGTTATCCGTGACAAACAATTGAAGGTGTTGCTTTCGAAATACAAAATGCGCAACGAATCAGAAGAAAATGCGAATAACTTTATCGTCAGTGAAGAAAAAGAAATAGACGTGTTGGCCTATACAAATGAATTAAATACCTATCCTATCATTAGAACATAAAATAAAAAAATGTGCCATTTAGGTTCTAAGTGTTCAAAATGACCTCCTTGGTCTCGGCAAAGGTCAACTTTATCAATTGTAGCTTGCACCACTTTGATTAACTGTTGCGCCCTAACTTTATGCTCTAGTTCTTCGCGAGTAGCTGACGTAGTTTTATACACCTGAATTTTAATTGTACCCCAAAGAAAAAAGCGGAGTAAGATCTGGTGATCTAAAATATGAAAAATAAATAAGACTTTCTAAAAAAATATGACAACTTAAGGATTTACCTCGGAGGCCATTGAATAGGCCCATTAGTGCCAATCCGCTTTTCTGAGAAGGTGTCATACAGATGTTCTCTTACCGCATGAGTACTGTGAGGTGGAGTCCCATCTTGTTGAAAATAGATATCAACTTGTGGCAAATCTTCAATAAAACCATTTATTTCATTATTATCCGCAGTAAGTTGTCCATCGAAAATTATTGGCCCCAAAACTTTTTCTCCGATAATACCCATCCAGCAATTGAATCCAAATCGCTCTTAAAAATTTCCTTCTTGCATTAGACGTAAGTTTGTTTGTGACCAGTACCTTTTATTATTCCGATTGAACATACCAAGTTGGTAAACCGACTTTCGCCTGAATAAATAATTTTAAACGGAAAACGTACAGTACCGAGCAAAAGTGGAGAAACATCTTATTTTTTTAAAGATTTTATTAAACTATTAAAGTAAACTAAACACTTATGTTTTATTATAGCTTAATGTAACATGTAATTCAAAGCCAACATGAAAATAAAATTTCTGCTTTAATAAAACTATGCTAACAATTATTATTAGAAAATACAGCGAGCAAAAATAGAGAAACATAATATACAAAGCAATTCTGGTATACAAAGAAGCTAATACTTGGTTGCATAACCTATATTTTTATAACTGCTAGACATCTTTTTCTCATAGAACCAATAATTAGACTATCTATTGTTTCTTTTGGAATACAATTCTAGGCGACTTCGATTGTTTCAAATAGTTCGGCACTATTTTTGAATTTTTCTGGATGTTCGGTCCGAAATTTTTTTCAACTAAATCCCATAGGTTCTCTATGCGGTTAAGGCTGGACTCTGAACTGGCCACTTAATGACATTAATATTGTGATCTACAATTTTTTTTTTTATTATTTTCGTAGAAGCATGTTTTCTTCTGCGTAAGGCAGCATGGTATCAGGTAATATTTCCGAGTATTTGTACCGGTCCATGATTCCTTCAATTTTGACGATGGGTCCCATTTGAAGACCACACAAGCAACCCCATACTTGAACCTTCCCGCCTCCGTGTTTGATTGTACCCAAAGTGAACTAGGATCAAATCGCTTGTTTGTGTGTCCTACCCATAAAATGCCATCCGACGAAAATAAATTAAATTTACTTTCATCAGAAAATAATACAGCATTCCACCTTGTTACTGACCAGTTCAAATGATCGTAAGCAAATTGAAGACGGACGGTCCGATTTTTCTTGGAAATAAAGGGTTTTTTTAGATGGTCTCCTTGATGATAAATCACTCTCTCTTAAACGTCTTCGAACAGTGTGAACACCAATATTTACTTCTTCTAGTTGAGCTTTTATGTCGATAGTAGTAGTAAAAGGATTTTTAAGAGCAAGTGTTTTCATTTTCCTATCAATCCTTGGTGTGGTTTTTCGCGATCTACCAGTCTTAGGAGGGCTTACCAACGATTTTCTGAGGCGGAACAGCTTAATAGTTATGCAAATTACCGATAGGCTTAAATTCAGCTGCTTGGCTATGGTTGATTGTTTAATGCCTGATCGATATTTTAAAATAATCAATTCTTTTATTTGCAAATTCAATGTAATTCCTCTGGCCATGTTTTTGAACTACACTTTACCAAATACAGTCAAAAATAACACCTATTCTAATCAACGACTAAATATAAACTAAATATTTACAAAATGATTCTCTACTTTTGCTAGTTGGACAAAGAACCGACCATATTATATTGAAAAAAAAAAAGAATGTTTACAAAGATAAGCATTTCATTATCTTGAGGTAGTCATTCATAAAAAACTTTATAGTGTACAGTTTTGGGTTAGACTAAATCTTTCTGGATTTTTATTTGTAATGTGGTTTGTTTCTCTACCTTTGCTCGGTACTGTACATCTTCTCTGTATTTAGTCAAAAACCAGTTGCAATAAGTTAATCTTCGGTTGTGGTCGACAACGTAAATATGTTGGTGTAATTGGTACTTGAATGATCGAATATTATATTTGTGAAGAATTCTCCAACCGGATACATAACTTATGTCACATTCTAAAACAATTTGCCGAATTGAAGCTGTACAATTTACTTCAACATAGGCAACACGTCTATTTTTTTTCTTCACTGACGACAAAGTTATTGGCATTATTTTCTTCTGCTTCATTTCGCATTTTCAATTCCAGTTTTGGAAACTAAAGCCGAGTGGGATGGTGATGATTGGAGAATCCATTGTACATTAACTACATAACAAATTTTTAAAACTGACAGTATTTTTAATAACCTATATTTTTGGTATTTCTTGAAGTAACCTTCAATATTGTTTGTCACGGATAATTAAAATAATAGGTATAGCCAATGCAGATACGTATTATTTGTTGTTATTCCAAGAAATTTGTTGCTTAGAAAAAGCCGACGAGCCCACTTACTATTTGAAAAAAACAAGAAAACTGAAAAAATTAGTGTTTGTTAACTTTTACAAAATCATTAAAACGACTGAAGGTCATTCGCCTCAAAATCGCATTTTTCCCGTGTTACTTGATCAAAAATGAAGCGATTTACAGGATACATTTTAGATAGAAAAATAAAAAATTGAAATAAAAATGACTTTGTCAAATATTGACAAGTGATGCGTTGTTGAGTTCTGAATGTCATTCTCAATCGGAATATGTAAGTAAAAATATATAGGGTGTCCCATTTAAAATCGGAATTTGGAGTCCTTTCCGGTCAAACCAGAAGTACGTTCAAGCAAGTGAATATGTAAAAAAAAGTAAATTAATGTAAAAGTTACGAGGGGTGAGCCACCTTGGAGAATCATCACACGGTCATTGTACTGAAGATCACCTATGTGATTGAAATGTTTACTGTAGTTAAGAATATGTGAATAAATGTCGTTTAATTGACCAAACAAACATGGGGGATTATCAGATTTATTTATCAATATCATTTATCAGTTAAATTTCAGAAGTGTAAATCATCTTCAGTCTCATTACATAAAAAACTAAACTGTCAAAAAATGCGAATGGTTTCAAAACATTTCAATGTAAAGACAACGATGCAATGATTGTGAGAAGCAGAATTAATATTGCAACTGCATAGAACTGCAAAAGAAAAAATCTGTTAGTATCTCTGACAAAACAATAGACGACTGACTTCAAAGTTACCATAAAGACACTATTTTTTCAGTTTTTTCTTTCACAGTTATGTCACATTTGGAACACTTCAAGCCATATTTTGTTGTACCAATCAAAAGCATATACGTTATTTTAGATAATAACTTTGAAACCACTCACTTGTTGAAAAATTGGCACTATTCCTACAATACTATTCGAAGATGTAGGCGTATCGTTAACAAAGTTAGTTAAGGTTCACAATATTGAAAAACAATACAAACTTTGTTCTAACTGGTTACAAATGGTAATGACTGTCATACCTTAAACAAGTTAGGCTAACCGGTAAAAAATTGAGCATCTGTAGAGAAAAATATGTAAACGGATTTTATAACGTTTAACGGAAAATGAGAAGACCCTTCGCCTAGAGACACAAAAAAAAATGCTGAATAACATTTTTATTAAATTTCAGGGTTCTAAAAATCTATGAAGTAGTGGTTTAAGTGGTCGACAGAATACTTATGGGTGGGAAGGTCTTCAAAATAAAACATTATATGTTCAATTTTCTGCAGTGGTTACTTCGATAGCTCATCCAAAAACATTCTTTTAAAAATAGGTAATGCCCAGACATGATATTTGCGAATTTATTTGAAGGCTAATTAAAATTTTATTTCAAATATAATATTTTTGGTTTCTTTATGGGAAGATAACAAAAAACCGACGTGGATATTTTAAAGCATTTTTATTTAGTATTACAAGGTAACGTCACTACTTCTTGAGTACATATTTGACTAAAATTAACTCAAAATAGGGCTTTTAGGCTCGATTTTATTAAGCCGGGTCGCAAAAAACGCGACGGTCACAAATTCAAGCAATGTAAAATGTCTCAAATTAGAGAATAAATATACGGTTTGTGTAAGATGGGCCCCTAATTACCATATTAAATCAAGATATATGTTGGTTAAGCTACAAAAAACCCATTTTTTTCATTTACGTCCGGACACTAAATTAGCGGCCTTGGTAATAAAATGTACCAATGAAAAAGATGCATTTGCGCCATACTCGAAGCACAGACACACACCTGATAACAATTGATATTACAGCAATTAATGAGCATTTTATTGAAAATAACAGTGTCTCACTGTTGCTGCCGATTAAGAATGAGATGTACCTGGAGAATATTTTCAAGTTTCTGAAATGGCTGCTAGGGGGCGTAACTGCAATCTTGGATCTAAAAAAGTGATGTTTCTGTGAATTCCGCTATATTAACCTAACAAAAAAATTACTGCTTTAAATTCGAGGATAATCCGAATCTTTTTTGTTTGACAATCTTTGCGGTATCTCTAAAAATAAAGTGGTGGGGCGTATTCAAAGGTTTCCCTAAAAAACCTTCGAAATGGCTGAGCCGAATTTAACAAACATGGGCTAGTTGAAAAGAGCTATTCTTGGGCTTCAAATGTTGTAATATTCTGTAAAATTTTGAAGTTTTGTTAGTTTCGCATGTGGTCGCTAGATGGTTTTTTCGACATTCCGACAGAAATGGTTAATTTTCTCAAATAAATTAATAAAAAAAGTAGCTAAATTATGTCTAAGCAACCTCTCCAAAACCGCATCTCGATATCTTCCTCCTAACGTAAAATTTAGGAAGTCCCTTAAATGTTTATTTCTTTAAACTAATTTTTCTGGAATTTCTTTTTATTATTAAGTTGTGGCCCTAAAAAGGACCGATTTAAAATGCATTCCTGAAGCCCCTCATGGGTAGACTAAATTGCAGCTTGAATTTCAGTCGGAATGTCGAAAAAGCCATCTAGCGGCCAGATATGAAACTAACAAAATTTCAAATATTACAACATTTGTAGCCAAAGAATAGCTCTTTTCAACTAGCCCAAATTTGTTAAAATCGGCTAAGCCGTTTCGAAGATACAGGGTGTTTTTTAGGGAAACCTTTGAATACCCCCCACCACTTTATTTTTAGAGATATAGCCAATATTGTAAAAAAGATTCAGATTATCCTCGAATTTAAAGTAATTTTTTGTTAGGTTAATATAGCAGAATTCACAGAAACATCACTTTTTTAGATACAAGATTGCAGTTACGCCTCCTAGCAACCATTTCAGAACTTGAAATATTTTCCAGGTTTTTTTCTTGACCCTTTTAGTAATAACTGTGTTTGACGTAAGCCTCTACGATGGATAGGTTCCCAGGTACGGTACCTCGCATTCTTAGTTGGCCACCCTGCACAAAATTCTGCTTGATAAATCCTTTGAAGACATAAATAAAATTACAGAATGCTAATTCTTTATCAAACACCGATTAAAAATTTGATTTACTCAACTACCGTGCGAAAACCCCGTTGCTTAATCCAGGGAGTATAAACTCGCAATGAACAAAGAAAAAAAAACTAAAAAATGGACTCACCTTATTAATCTGTGTAGATACTTTCACCTCTCCAGTCCTACCGTCTTCAACCCTCTCTTCGATGTTCTGAGTCAACCCGTCTTTATCCTTCGTCACAATCTGCTTGGTGGTTGTCTTTACGATTACTGGTGTGCTTGTGGTCACCTTCTTGCCCTTGGATATATTCAGGTTTGCCATATCGCCGAGATTCTCACTGGCGTACTCGTTGAGGTCATCATCACTAGATTCTCCAGAGTCCTTCTCACCCTTGGTGTACGTTTTCACTTTGACCTTCGTATCTTTGAGATCCGTAAAGTGACTGGCATCGATTTGGGCATAGTTGAGGATAAGTTTGCCGGTAACAGGATCTGTTCTAGCGGTCTTGGGATCGATATCTCCGGTCTGTGGGTCGATATGACCCCATTCTGTGTGGATCTTGCCTGTCTCAGGATCTATTTCACCGGAGAGAGTCAACACTTGGGTTACTTTAGTATTTGCGCTCTTTACCACAGGATCGTTAGGATCCACTTGGACTATTTTGCCTGTTTTTGGATCTACCATACTGTAAATGTAAACGGTGTGCGTGGTAACATTGATGATTCTGCCTGTTTTCTCATCGAACTGACAGTCTTTGGGATCTATTTCCTTTACTGTACCTGTAGGATCGTTCTGGGTGATTAGATACACTTTAATTATAACGAGCTTTCCTGTTTTGGGATCGATCTTTCCATATTTTGTGTAAATCTGGCCAGTTTTGGTATCAATTTCAGAAGCACAGTAAACTGGAGCACCTGACTCATCTGTTTGTGATGTCTTCGTAAATATCTGCTGAGTTTCGGGTACGACTTTGGTGCTACTGGGATCCACTTTACTGATCTTAGAAATTGCACCTGTTTTGGGATCAACTCTACCATATACGGTGACGACGTATCCTGTGACAGGATCTGCAAAACCGGTAGAGTACACATCTTCTTTAGAGATCGGATCATGGTGATCAAAAGCCCATACTTGATTCGTTTTAGGATCCACCTTAATACTCTTCGCGTCTCTAGGTACCACTTCGCCTTTTTCATTGATCTCAGGATTGGAGATCAATATAGCTACCATCCTAGCAAAATGTGGGTCAGGCTTACCAGTTTTGGGATTTACGTAACTTCCTTGAACATAATCTGCCCTGTAGACGGATCGACGGTTCCCTGTTTAATTTCTATTCTACCCGATTTAGGATCAATATACGTTAACGTACCTTTAATCGGGTCAATTTGGCCGTGTTTAGTGTCTATTTTATGAGTAGATGGATTGTATAGACCGTTTGAAACTTCGGGTACAATATGCTTCGTATCGATTATATTCTTCTTCGCATCTAATTTGCCTGTGAACGTTACTATTTGTACTTCTGGTTCAACCTCGACACCAAGTTTGATCACTTGGCAGAGATTTGGATTCACAGTGTCTGTCTTAGGATCCTTAACACCTGTTGTTACCAGTATATTGCCTTCTGCGTCTAGCTGTATAGGTCTGCTTTCCGTTTCACCAGTCTTGGGATCTTTCGTGATCAGTAACATCTTTTTGATGTTGATGATGCCATATTTAGTTTCAACAACTCCCGTAGCAGATACCTTCTTCGCCTTTGAATGTTCCATCTGGCCATTATTCAGGTCTACACTGCCAGTTTTGGGGTCTTTCTTAGCCGTTATAGTAGTTATTTCGATGATAGGGTCAATCTGACCGGCTATACTTATAATCTGGCCAAGAGAGCTTTCAGTTTTTCCTGTTTTTGGATCTATTGCTCCCGTCAGTAGAATTTGTCCATTTGCTTCATTGACTTGTGCGGATTTCGCATCCACCTTTCCAGATTTCGGGTCATTTATGATAACCTTGCCGCTCTTTGGATCAATGAGACCGTACTTGGATTCGATCAAACCTGTCTCTGGATTTAGCAAAGCAGTGGATTGTTCTACCTGACCTTTCTCGACTTCCATTTTACCAGTTTTCGGGTCAATTTTTGTAGTTATTACAGTAATCTTTATAATTCGTTTCTTGGGTATAGGCGCAGCGGAGGGGTCCTGAACTTGTTTCAAGCCAACTACTGAAAACACTTGTCCCAGACTAGAATCCATCTTTCCAGTTTTCGGATCAATTACCGGGCCACCATTGACAATGATCTGGCCAGTAGTTCCATCAACTTTGCCTTGAACAAGTTCGGTTTTGCCGGTGCTAGTGTCTTTGGTTAACAACGTTCCAGTCACAGGGTCGAGCTGACCGTATTTGGTTTCAATAAGACCATGTTTTGGATCCACGATTCCTGTTAAATGTTCAATTTGACCATTTTCTACATCTATAGCACCGGTTGTTTTGTTTTTCTTTCCTGTGATTACCATAATTTTGACAATCCTGTGTTTGGCGATGGGATGAAGAACACCCGTGATAATTTCTTTGACAGGAGTGGTAGGTTCAACAGGCGATACTGCCTTGGCAGGAGAAACTTGTTGTTTGGGCTTTTCTGGAGTCACTATTTGAGCCGTCTTCTGTAGTTCTCTTTCGCAAGGTTGTTGTGATGCGACAGGATCAATTATAGGTTCGGTAATGTGCACCGAGACAGCTCTGCCGAGGTCTCTGTCAACTTTTCCTGTTTTAGGATTAATGAAGCCTCCCTTAAATATCAGCTCTCCAGTGTTTGGTTCAATATAACCTTGTCTGACATCAGGTTTGCCTGACTTGGGATCGAATACTGCCAGTGTTTCAGTAACAGGATCTAAATGACCGTATTTGGTATATATCTTATTTCTATCTGGATCGTACAAGCCTGGAGTAGTATCTGGTGAGGCATTCTTAGAATCTATAGTGTTACGTTTGTTATCCACTTTGCCTACAAAAGTTCTAATCTGAATTTCAGGATCAACTTCTGATCCAACTTGTACAACTTGTACCATGTTAGGATCGACCTTGCCCGTTTTAGGATCAACTACTCCTGAAGGAATAATAATGTTATCGTCTTTATCGATTTGAATCGACCTCTCATGCAACTGACCAGTTTTAGGGTCTCTTGTAGTTATCCTCATGAATTTGAGATGTATAGTACCGATTTTAGTGACAATTTCGCCAGTTTCGGGTATAATTTTACCATTGGTTGTTTCCTGTCTACCATTAGCCATATCAATAGCACCACTTTCAGGATGTTTAGTTGTGGTAATTGTAGTTACGATAACAGCGGGGTGTTGCGGGTCAACAATGTTTATCACTTGAGACAGATTAGGGTCGACTTTACCTGTCTTTACGTCAACTACATTATCGTTGATGTATATTTGGCCAGTGCTTTCATCCAGTTTGATTGGTGTAACGTTAGTTTTACCACTTCTATCTTTCGTGATGACTTTTTTGTTTTGAGGGTCGATTTTTCCATACTTAGATTCTATGATACCGCTCACAGGATCCACGATTGCTGTTAGTTTTTCTACGGTGCCTTTTTCCGTATCTATCCTTCCCGTGGTGGGATCTTTCTTGCTTGTAATCACCAATATCTTAACAACCCGCTTTTTGGGAATTGGATGTGAAGGTAGAAGATTTTTGACAGGTACGGTATCTTTCGTAGGATCGTATGTGGATATAGTGATAACCTGTCCCATTTTAGGGTCTTTTTTGCCTGTTCTTGGATCAATTATTGGACCGGTAAGGATCTGTATTTGGCCAGTAGAGGGATCGAGTTGTCCTTGCACTGTCTCTTGTTTTCCTGTAGCTGGGTCAGTAATGGTCACCGTAGCTTTTTTGGTATTAATGAACCCATATTTTGAGTCAATCTCTCCCGTTGGATGCAATATACCCGCCGATTGATCTACATGACCATTTTCAATGTCCAAATTGTTCGTTTTGGGATCACGTCTAGCTGTAATGACCAGTAGTTTTACTACTTTGTTTCTATCGCCTAGTTTAGTGGCAGGCGAAGATTCTGTAGGTGCTTTAAGAGGACCTTCAGATGTAGCTACCTTTTTGATATCTTTGGATATTGTTGGCACACTTCTAGCGGTTGGATCAGCCTGCTGATGAGCTACATCGATTTTAATTGTTCTGCCAAAGTCCTTGTCAACTTTACCTGTCTTTGGATTAACCACGCCCTTGAAAAGTAATTCGCCAGTAATTGGGTCTCGCACTCCGTGTTTCGCTTCTATTTTTCCTGATTTTGGATCTATAAACGTGAGCGTTTCGTGTACAAGATCCAATACGCCATATTTTGTATAGACCTTATTCGTCTCAGGATCGAACATTCCTGCAGATTTTTCTGGCGGAGAAACAGTTTTGGGATCAAAGCCCTTCTTATCCACCTTTCCAGATGTAGAAAATACGGAAACGTCAGGGTCTATTTCAGAGTCTATCTGAAGGATTTGGCTCAGATCATCTGCTCGGCTACCCGTTCTGGGATCAATAGCACCATTCAGTACAATTACGTTTTCATTTGCGTCAAACTGGATAGGGAATTCGTCGATTTTTCCCGTTTTGGGGTCGCGGTTTGTGATCGTCTTTCTATTGACATCAATCGATCCATATTTGGTGACTATCAGACCATTCTTCGGGTCAATTTTGCCATTAGTAGTTTCTTTGTGTGCTCGAGAGGGATCCAGCTGACCGGTCTTCGGATCTTTTTTCGCCGTAACTGCTGTTACTGGTACTACAGAATCGCCTTGTTCCGAAATTTTGATTAACTGGCCAAGGCTGTTGTCAATTTTGTTTGTCTTTGGATCAATGACACCTTGTTTAACAATTATGTGACCGAGGTTATCATCTACTTCAATTGGATAAGCCTCCGACTTGCCCGACTTGGGATCCTTGATAATATATTTGGTATGATGTAGGTCAATGATACCGTACTTTGTTTCAATAAGACCTTTGGCAGGCTCCATTATAGCTTCCAAAGTTTCGGTGGTACCCTTTTCTGCTTCAACTCTACCTGATTTAGGATCCTTTTTCGCTGTGGTAACTGTGATTTTGATAATGCGTTTTTTCGGCGGTAGCGCTAACATGCTGTCAGACTTTGGTTGCTGCTCAGCAATGGTAATAATCTGACCTAGTACGTTGCTCTTCTTACCGGTCTTTGGATCAATTACGGATCCTGATGTTATGATAATTTGCTTTGTTTGAGGATTAATGTAACCCTGTACAACTTCTTTTTGGCCGTTGGTAGGGTCCGTAATGATAACTGTTCCGTTGGACGGATCTATGAGACCGTATTTGCAGTCTATAAGGCGAGTTTCGATATTCTGTTGTCCGGTGCATTTATCAGCCGTACCAGTACATGGATCGATATAACCTGTCTTAGGATCCTTACTACCGGTTAGGACGAACAAGGTAATGGGCCGAGTCTTCTTCGTTTTAGCGGCCGACACCGGCAGCTGTGTGGCTTCTGGCGGTGCCTGATGCAAGTACTGCTCACCAGCCAGGAACGCAGCGGTGTCAGCTTTCGGATCTTTGAACGGTTTTTTCAGTTTGTCAACATCACCAGGGGCGTAGTTGAAAGCGGTAGCCGTCGCTCGTTTCGAAGAAGGTGACTGCTGGTTGTCGGGACTGCTCTTAGGACTAGAAGGTGACCCTTGGTTCTCGTAGCTGAAACCTTGCTGTCTTCTAGGCGTAACCTGTTCTTCGGTAGGTTCGTAATCGTACTCGCGCGTGTAACCTGGCAGTTGTGGTGAACCGACCGGCGGACCACCTTTTCCTGACTCTTTGGCGGCCACTTTTTCCTTTTCTTTCTTGTCTTTCGGGGATCTGTCTCGCTTAGAACCAAATAGGAAGGCAGGACTCTATCGAGCGAAGCATAAACATGCATACATTATTACATGCAGAACACATAATATACTACACTTGTATAGGGCTATAGACTCTACTTTCAATTTTTATAACAAACCAAAAAACTAAAATATCGGAAATATATTTACTAGCAACAACTTGCAAGTCAAAGTTCTACACTTTAAATCAAGAACATTTACTACAATATACAAAGTCAGCTCTCCGTGACACTGGCCATTTTCGCGTCTATAACGCCAATGGCATTTTTTTCTAATATACAGGATGTCCCAACTAAAATAGAAAGTAGTTTTATGGGCAGACTGGAAAAGATATCAAAAATGTTTTCGTAACCTTGACATGTTACTAGAGCATATTTTAAAATTATTTCAATATATACAAGATGTTTCATAACTTCGTGCCACAGCAAACAGGTACATATTTAAATAGACTACCCTATATTTTATTGCATGAAAATGAAAATGTCTAACTTTGACGGCTCGCAGCTCCACCATTTATGAGGATATTTAGATAGCTTTTAGTTCACAAAAATTTTATTATCATCGATCTTAAGCTGATCTGAAAAAATGTTAAAATATCTTTCTATTTATACAGGGTATCTCAAAACGCAAAATGGAACACCCTGAATATTTCTACATCATTAAATAGATTTCCTTTGGATTTTTTTTTTATATAAGGTTTATACCACTTTTTTCGAACAGTTCTTGAGTTATTGCTATTAGTTCCAAGAAAAAAATATATTCCACATTTAGACTTAAAATCAGATCATCTTTTTTTTGCACAAGACTCAACCCAAGACATTAATTCATTATGCAATTATTGTTGTAATACATTTCAAGTAGTTATGTTGATTCCCAGATGTTTGATCTCAGGTCCAGTATTTTTTCACAACCACTTGGGTTTAACTCGGAGGACCACATACCAATGTTGTTTAAGAAAACCTAGCGGATCTCGGGACCGTATCTAGACCGCTGGCGTCCTAATATTTGGTTAGGGAGAGGCGGACCGATCAATGCATTTCGAGAACCAGTTTGCTCCGCATTCTCCACAAGGATTTGAATGTACACGCCTGCAAGATCCAATTGACGCAAGAGCTGCGTCGGGCCGACCATTTTTCGCGCCGAACGTTCTCAGATTGGCTCCTTGAACACCGCCAAATTGATGCCAATTTTTCATCAAAAATCATGTTCAGCGACGAAGCGCATTTCACTTTGAATGGGACGGTAAACAAGCAAAACTGCCGCATCTGGGCGAACGAAAATCCCCGTGAGTATCAAGAGCAGCCGATGCATCCTCAAAAAGTGACTGTGTGGTGTGCATTGTGGTCAAAAGGCATCATCGGACCTTACTTTTTCGAAAATGCGGCCGGGGACGCCGTTACCGTCAATTCTGAGCGATATCACGTGATGATAGAGGACTATTTTTTGCCGCAACTTGAAGGAATGGATATGGACGATGTTTATTTCCAACAAGACGGTGCAACATGCCACACAACCAACGTCAATATCCATCGATTGCAGTCCTTCTTCGGTGATCGCGTGATTTCGCGCAGAGGAAATGTGCCATGGCCACCAAGATCGTGCGATTTGACTCCCTTGGACTTCTTTTTATGGGGATATTTGTAAAGCAAAGTCTACGTCAACAAACCAGCCACCCTCCAAGAACTCAAAAACAACATCATTGCCGAGATAAATGCCATAGAACCGACCATGTTGCAAAATGTCATTGAAAATTTCGACCATCGCGTGGACGTCTGTAAATCCAGTCGTGGTGAACATTTGAGCGATATTATTTTTCACACATAAATGGTATAAATGAACCTTCAAAATAAAGTACCCAACTTGATTTGAATATCAATCTTTCTTGTTTTAATATGCATTTACTTTCCTGCGTCCGTTTTGGTCAACTCCATATATTGCAACAATTTATTAACGATTGATTGCCTTAGGCTGGGATATTTTTGTTGTGTTTTAAAAGCTATTGTTTTGATAGACTTGATTTCATGTTTAAATGCAAGATGTATTTGGATTTTCCTGAAATTATTACTAATAACTCAAAAAAGTTTCGAAAAAAATTGTATAAACCTTATATCAAAAAAAGTTCACCAAAAAAACTATTTAAAGATATACAAATATACATTTGAATTGTTTGAGAAAAGGTAGATTTTGCGTTTTAAGATGCCCTGTAGAAAGAAGTTTCAACACTTTTCCAGATCAGCTTGAAATCGATGATAATAAAATTTTTGTGAACTACGGCTTATCTAAATATCTTCATAAATTGCGAAGCTGCGAGCCGTCAAAGCTGAGATTGTTTTCAGACGTTTGACCAAATATCTAAGCAATTGACAAGCAAAACCATATGTTATATGATATAAAAAACCTGTTATTTTCAAACAATAAAATATAGGGTGTTTTATTTAAAAAAATATGTTTGCAATGGCACAAAAATAATTTTAAAATGTGGACTAGTAACATCAAGGTTGACACGAAAACAGATTTTTAATTTATTTTTCCAGTGCACTCATAAAACTACTTTTCGTTGTAACACTTCTAGATTCTATAACGAGCCACTGCTATGTGCCGACAGTTCTGATATGTTGAACACAATTGTACATTTCAAGTTTTCAGTTTTACATATGACGCCACAGAAAACGCAGCCAATCTCCCTGATGCATATAGAACATAAAAATGTCACAAGTTCCTATAAAAAATGTCATGCAAAGGCTTCCTACGGAAATACAGGCTTGAACTACTGCACTTTTTTCATATAACCTCCTAACGACACGGTGTAATTCAACGAAATTTTGAAGGCACAGTCAACCATGGACACATCATGCGAGGCTTGAACCGTTTATTATGCTGGCAAAATTTTGTTGAATTATACAGTTGTTCAAGGGTTATACAAGGTCTGTCGCAAAGTAAACAGGACAAAAAAAACAAACATTTTTTGTTTCGGATAATCGAATTTGTTTTATTCAAAATACTCTCCTTCATGAACACGTCGTTGACCCCTTTTGAATGGCCTCTGTCGGCATCCCTGTCCCACGGTGACATCAGGAGAATATGGGGAGTGGTTGATGGTTAAAATGACATTTTGCAAATAGATGGAGCTACTTGTATCGGATATCTTTCAAAAGTCCTGTTTACTTTGCGACAGACGTTGTAGAGTGCTGTCATCAGCATAGCTGCCGATCAGATTGATCGTATAGGAAATGAGGCCGTCGCAAAAGAAACAATGCCGAACCCAAAACGGATTCCTGGGGAACCCCCGCGTTGACGTTGTTGGATGAAGAGGAGAACCCCTCAATTACGACGGATATTTTGCGGTCACAGAGGAAGTCAGCCACCAATTTGCAAAGCTTCTTCGGGAAGCCATACGATGGAAGTTAGCATAAGAGGGCGGCATACCTCAGCTAATCGGACGCTTTCGTGATATCAAGAACGCCGACATGGGCCGCACCATTTGAATATATGAGCTTGTTACATAATTTTTTTTCTTTAGGCAATCGAGAGATAGGCCATATATTCTAGGACCCCCATAAATTTTGCACAACTAAGCTGATTAATGTTGTTCAATTTACCAGAACTGTCAACAGGCGACGTTTTCCATATTTAGCAATCCGGTAACAAGTAACTCACCTTGGACTTCTCTTTCTTTGGTGATTTGTCTTCTTCAGCGATTGAATGTGCCTGAGAATCGTCGATGCCATTTTGCTCTGGACCATTCGTATCACGATTTTCTTTATCCTTCTCCTTCTTGTCTTTTCTGCCAAATAATCCTCCAGCTGGTAGCACTGCCACTCCGCCTATCGGCTTCTGTGAGAAACAAATCAGATGAAATATATTATATTCCAGAATTTGTGACTCAAGCTCAAGCCATACAAAAGCAAAGTGTACATAACATAACAAAATAAATATATAATCAGTGCTATCTGAAAAGATGGTGTAATCCTTACATAAAGTTTAAATTCTATGTGAATTAGTTACAAATTTTTATTTATAGCTATCTCAACGTTAATATTTTTTTAAATCACTGATTAATGTATTTACCCATTATACCGCATCATACTAAGAACATGCACACGTACAATACTATACTCCACCCCTAACCCATTTGCAATAAAGTTTTTAATTCGGATTTAAAAAATGTAAGGCATATAGTGATACTGCCAGACTTAGTTATTCCAAGAAAACAGAAGACTAGACAGGACTTGAAATTATCATATAGTCAATGATTTCGTATACTTGACCAGACCTCAAAATGAAGATAGTAACATAGTTTGGCTGACTGAGAAGAAGGGAAATAAATCCAGCAGCGAACAGTGTACAGAGAAGAGTCAGGAAATAACTAAGGTTTCGCAATGTCAATGTATGACGTATTATACATCTAAGGAATCAGATTTGAAAACTCTTCATCTGTGCAAAAACCCGATATGGCGCCCATAGGAAAAAATAAAGTAGATGCTGGAGCACAAGAGAGGAACCGTCATATCGAAATTCTAATTATGCGTTCTTGTAGAGGAGAAAAAGTGGCAATGTTGATGTGCAATTTATTTTGAAATCCCTAATACTCCTGCAAAGTAAGAAAAAAAATAAAACAATTTTGGGAGCATTAGGGTTTTTCCGCCTCTCTTCGGAAGTGCTTTGGATTTAGAAATTTTCTAAGCGCCATTTTGTTAGTTACCCAAATACGTAACTTTACCATCATTTCAGCGACTTCGTATCTCTTACCATTTTCGAGATCCCACTGGTGAGTGTCGAATTTGAAACACCCGGTATAACAAATCAAGCGCGAAGCCAGGCGGGCAATGGCAAAGATGCCATTATCCCACCCTCCCCCCCCCTCCACAAGGACTCAGACTTTCGAAAAAAAAGAGGAAAGGAGATAAAGAGGAAAGAAAAGAGGAAAATGATAAAAAGAAGAGAAAAGGAAGGAAGGGAAGAGGAGAGAGAGGAAAATGAGAATGAAGTTGTGTCATCTGAACGCAAACGGCTTGACAATCCCAATGAAAGTAGACAACCCACAGTACTTGCTCCCCCCCCCAACTTAGTTCACGGACGCCGTCCTAGTATGATACGGTATGCTGGCCAAAAACCTTTATACATGGTTTGTCGCAAAGTAAACAGGTCTATTGAAAGATATCGCATAAAAATAGCGTCATCTATTATCGGAGACTAGCGTTGGAGAGGTACATTTTTCATTGATGATGCCCTGTCAAAATTTCATGACAATCAAACCACTTCACGCGGAGTTATTGCGCATCGAACAAAGAGCCAATAAAGGATTGTGAGTCGCTGGAAGACGATGAACATGTTGGCCAGCCAAAATTAGTGATTATGCCAGAAGCCGTCGAAAAACTACGTGAATTTATGAAAAATTATCGAAAATCTGCATTGAGATACATAGAAATGAATTGAAATATCTCTAAGGATTCAATCCATCGACTTTTGACCAAGAATTTGGGCATGAGAAAGGTGTGTTCACAGTTTGTTCCGCACAAGCTCACCGATGACCAAAAATCATTAAAGAGACCTGTACAACATTGTGACTGGTGACGAAACGAGGTATTTTCGATACAATCCCGAAACCAAGCGTCAAAGTGCCGAATGGAAGCACCCAAGCGGGTCAAATCCGGAAAAAAAAGCCGTTTGGAGAAGTCCCAAGTGAAGACAATGTCGATTTGTTTCTACGATTCGAAGGGAATTATTCACAAATAATTCGTTCCACCGGTGCTGTGTTTTGTCTTGGTGTTTGCTGCCACGTATTCGTCGTGTTCGGCCTGAATATGGCGAAGAAGGAAGCTGGCGCTTGTTGCACGAAAATGCATCATCTCACCAATCGACGCTTGTGTCCGATTTTTCTACAAAAAATGGCATTTTAACCATTAACCAGTCCCCATATTCTCCTGATATGGCATATGACAACGGTATGCCGACGTAGAGGCCATCCAAACGGCGTCGACGACCATTTTGAAGGACGTCAATGAGCTAAAATAATCTTTCGAAAATCTTTTGGCACGTGCAAATCGCTGCATTAACTCTGAAGGAGATTATTTTGAATAAAATAAATTCGATTTTCCGAAACAAAAATGTTAGTTCATTTTTTTATTTCTCGTGTTTACTTTGCGACATACCTTGTAGAAAGTCTGAGCTGCTTAATAAATAGCACAGCTTTCAATATTGTGCACCAGAGTATTCTGCTTAAATAGTTGTTTGTCTTTAGTATATTCACAGCCCAGTTCGATTCAATCTATTACTTCACCTATTGCTGTAGTCGTAGAAAAAAACATATACGTTGATCAATACCAAGAAATACGACACCAAGAACTGTAACAGGAGAGGTGGGTAGGTGGGACTAAGCTCAAATACAAATTTAACAAAGCTAAGACACTCTCGAACTCTTTATTTACCTCAACTATCATAAATGACTTATTTTAAGAGTATAAATAAGACTTTTCACAAACACCTAATGGTCAACGCTACAGGTTGTTCATAAACTTATAACTTCACGGAAGCGCCTGATTTTGAAATAATGGGAAGGCGTTAGGTAAAAATACTAAATTTAAAGAATCACTTAAATAAAAGTTAAAAATCGGCGATTTTTAGGGCAGAATGTACGAATATAAGTAACAGGATAAGATCTCATAGACATGGAACCTAAAACGATCCCTGTCGAGATACATGATGTATGAGTTTGTCTGATGAAGATTTATTTAGCATTGATGATACAATGTCAATTTTATACATATATATATATACTAAGTGACATATAAATCCGAACACCCAGTTTAAATGGTTTTATTTTAATAAAAGTTGGTGAATGTATTTATCTTACTGTAAATAACAAGTGAAAAAATTTTTAGCCTTATCAGTTGGACATTCCGGTTTTTATACTGCTTTTTTTTAATTCACTAACGCTCTAAAAATGAATATTTCAGCCGCAGTAAAGAATCAACGTCGGCGGATTTTGGTTCTTGACATCCTTTACGATCGATTACGATGCCTAGAGTACGGAGACCTGTACGATTTCGTCAACTTAGTGAGTTTGATAGGGGCCGTATAGTGGGACTTCGGGAAGCTGGACTTTCTTTTCGGGCAATTGCAGTTAGAGTGCAAAGAAGTGTAGACACTGTGGTTAGGTGTTGTCAGGCATGGCTTCGAGAAGGCCGTACGCAAAGAGCAAGGGGCACTGGACGCCGCCGGAGAACAACAGACCGTGAAGATCGCCGCCTAAGATTATTGGCCTTAAGGGACCGTTTCTCCACTACCAGGTCCCTTGCAAATGAATGGTTTGCAGAACACGGAAGACCTATTGGCATGCGAAGTGTTTACCGACGAATGAGAAGTTTTGGCTTGTTTTCATACCGGCCACACTGGGTCCTCCCTTTAACTCGAGAACACCGACGTAATCGCCTTGAGTGGTGCAGATAACGGTCACTCTGGGATCAGGAATGGAACAGTATTGTCTTTAGTGACGAGTCTCGATTTTGTTTAGGCATGCACGATGGTCGTGCCAGGGTTAGAAGGCGACGTGGTGAAAGGAGGAATCCACAGTTTTTTGTTGAAAGACATGTTTTCATCACACTGTTGGAGTTATGGTTTGGGGTGCTATAGCTTATGGTTCCAGGTCACCTTTAATCTTCATCGGAGGTAACATGAACGCGCAGCGTTATATCCACGAAGTTCTAGAACCCCATCTTTTACCCTATCTTGACACCCTGGCAGATCCAACTTTCCAACAAGATAATGCCCGACCACATGTTGCAAGAGTCACAATAATGATGTCACATTGTTACCGTGGCCACTAAGATCTCCCGACTTATCCCGAATTGAGCACGTGTGGGATATGATGGGTAGGAGATTGCTCAATTTGCAACGTCCTCCTCAGACTCTAGAAGCACTTCGAGAGGAGTTGGTGGTTGCCTGGAATGAGATACCACAGGAGTACATTGACCACCTGATCAGAAGCATGCCTAGGCGCGTCGGAGAATGCGTAGCACATCAGGGTGCATCCACACATTATTAAAGGTCAAAGTGCTTTAAAGCAGTGCAATCATTTTGAAATTTTTATCATTTACTTATTATGCTTCATTAAGTACTTATACAAAATTTTATTAAAATAAAACCATTTAAAGTGGGTGTTCGGATTTATATGTCACTTAGTATACACATTATTTTGAATCAATTTTCAGTAATTTTACATTCTTGTCTATTAAAATTACATGGCTATGCATTTAGGGTATTCATAGTGATTTTTTAATTTCACCTTAAACATTTTTTATAGAATAAACTATTATTCAATTTATTAAATTCAAATTCTCCCTTTTGAAATAAAGATTTGCTGGTTATGCTACTATTACAGTTTTGCAGATGAAAATCAATATTGCCTATAGCATCGTAGTTATGATATTGACTAAGTTTGTGAAGTTTTCTAAATGTAATGGTAATAAATTATTGTTTTTTAATTTGAATATGAAAATGAGAACTAAATAACATATTTTTTTTAAGTTCTACCACTATAGTTCTTCTAACACAGACTTAATCTTAGCATATTTGTTTTTATTTAAAATGATTCTTAAAGCTTTATTTTTTAAAAGTTGTAGTTTGGAAAATACGTTTTCATTTGCTGTTAGCAAAATAGTTGCATATAAAAAATGGGGAAGAATTATATGGTTTTTTTGGAATACATACTGAGATTATGGGAAACTCTATAGAAATAATTTATTTTTCTTGATATTTTTGAAATATTGTGTGGATAATGCTCTAAAAACAGTAGTTTTAATATCCATATATTCATAGCCAGATATTTGAATGATTTGACTATTTTTCCATCATTAATGATAAGTCTAATTGTGTTGTCACCTAAATGTTTCCCTATTGGCATACAATTTGTTTTATTAGTGTTTAATTTAAGTTTATTAATATTTAACCAATTAATATTTTTTAATATTACTATTTAACAGTCCAAGCAGTGTTAAAATGTTTATGCGTTATACAGGGTGTTTTCAAAGTGGAATCATTTATTTTAACTGCTTGTGGGGCTTTGTCAAATATACCAAAAATCACCTATATAAAAGTTCAATAATAAAAGAAATAGTAAAAGATTAAAAATTAAAAAAAAAATAAGTATGTTACCAGTAGTGTAGAAATTTATAACACCAGGCATCTCGGCCAGCGATATTTTAGGAAAAAAATGTTTGTAAGAATCTTTCATGGTATTTTTCTGTCTGCTAAATACTGCACTGTTTCTCGAAACACCACGTATACCTATATATTTGTGGTGTTGCAAATGGTAGCTCACATGAGTTTATGTTATGACAACCTTTGAGTGTTTGGGTAATATTTTTTATACTCCTAAAGAAACACCAAGCATGATGCTGACAACTTAATAAGGATAAGCTATTACTCAATTTACTCCACAAGACTACAGAAAAAGTACACTGTAAGGCAGACCAAAAGACAAGAAGGCAGCAAATGTAACATGGCCATCACGACCCAAACCTGGCATTTTTCGGAATTCCAATGTGTAGATTGCTAGGTTTGAATCGTTAGTAGTTAAAGTAATTTGGTAAACACCTTCTGATTTTTATCGGCCACATATTCTCCTTCTACTGAACTGGCCGAACTTCCTGACATAACTGATCCTGAACTTCGCTTCCATGCAAGCTATTCAATTCATTATATTAATCATGGTTTCAGACATATACGTATATAAAAAGAACATCAACCGCTGAGTACCATGGGTGCATTAAAACCAATGTAATGATCTTTCAATCGTTGAGACCAATAATCGCTCTTGATTAACATATTCTAAAAGAAGTTGTCCAATCTGTAGTGTTTTTGGACGTTCACATACAATTTCCACCGTCACAAGTAATAAAACAGTTACAGCCATGTTGCCAAATAACATCCATTTTCATTAAAAAATTGTTTATTCTTAAACATGACGTCACCCATCAACCATCCAATGAAAGATCATCCTCGAAATTCTCCCAAAACTCTTCAACGACGGACAAGGAAATCCTTTAATCTGCGGCAAAGTCTTGGGGATGGCAACACTTATGAGGTCTGTAAATTAAGTAATGAAACGGGCAACGTTACGTTCGATCTGGCGACACTCGAGGCGCCGCGCTTGGAGGGGAGACAAGGGAACATGTGATCCGCCTTCAGTACAAGTTTGAACTCGCTCAAGTTGTAAGTAGCGATTTTTTTGTGAAATCGTTTTATTCTTATTGTGTTCTAAAAACGAGTGACATCAATTTCGAGCGACGGTATGCTATCAGGTTTTGCTCCATACTTGGTAATAGTGCAACAATAACTCTTGCTAAACTTCAGCAAGCTTACGAAAATAGTGTTTTGCCAAGAGTTCAGGTTTTCCTGTGGTTAAAGGCATTTTCAGAAGGTAGAGAGTCGCTTGAAGGCCGAGCGAAAAAGCGGCACGGGTATTATGAATCTTGAAAAGTGACATTAGGTCGTTTTTTTTTGACATAACGCAGCTTTTTTAACATAACGTAAGATATTAACTTAGCACTCGCTGATGGACACTTGTTGTGAACTCGTTTTGTAGCTGTACGTGTTGCCTAAACGTCATGATACTTAGTTATCAATGTTTAGCTCTGATGTGATGTAACATATGCTTCAGAGATGGCATTATTGGAGGTCTAAGCTGTAATTTGTATACTATAGCTGGAAGGAAATTTCAGTGCATAGGTGCATAGTTAAGATTTGTGTGCTAATAATATGAGATGATGATAATTCTATTGGTTTCTTGTCTCAAATAACTTAATTGAGATTCAAAGCTATGAATTAGTTGCGCATCCACTTTTTCTTATTCATTCTGGAAATTTCATAGCAAATTTGCTAAATTTCAAAAATGAGAGAGATAAGGATAGAAAATCCCTGGTGGGTGAAGTAACAGGTGAGAAAATATGATACAGACAGGAATATTTATGAAAGTGAAAAGGTTATTACATTATTTTTTATTTCCAGTCATTTAAATTTTATAGAAATGTACTTTGCGATGTCAATAGGAAATACAAATCAGCACTTAGATGTGATGCACTGCGAAAATGTTTGATGTGTGATACGTCATTCTAATTTTTTGTGATGTGGCTTAATTGCACACAACACGGGCGTCTTGGCGATTTCCCATAATACTCTTCAAAGTTTTTGAAAACAGAAAAAAACGGGAAAAATCGTAATTTATAACTTTGAACATAACCTTTCTTCAGAAAAGACGTCATATAAATAACCCGTCGGGCTCAGCTAATAAATATTCGTCATTAGCACCATATTCAGTAATGATTTTGATAATTCTCTATCTTCTACACCAGCCTTTTTTTGTTTCTCCGTCCGTATAGGCACTAGGTTTGGGTTGTAAATGATGGAAATGAGATAAAAAATCCCGGCAAATGGGTTAGTTGCAGAATACTGTTGATATTATCTGGAGTTTAAAAGGTGTACACACCTTCTTAATCACATTTGCTGGAACGGATCCCATACAGACCGCGATGTTGCCATATTGAAGAAATATAAGAAAATTAACGAAGACGTTATCTAGGGTTTTTTGGAGTTCGAAGTCATAATACATACAAATTTAATTATCAAGAATATCCATCAAGCGTTGAAGTAATGAAATCTGGCAACATCGCACTGTCTTTAGAAACAAACCTTCAATAAAAAACTATTATATAGTAAAATATTTCAGAACTTTCATGTTTGCGCTCATTTTCAGTCCCATTTCTTTGCAGCCAAAAACTAGGGTCTGAAATCATTTTTTCATCAAAAATGGCTGGTGTAGCTAAGCTAGAGAGGTGGCATAATTTTCTCACATAGCAAATACCACACAATACACAGACCAATACATATAATCATCCAGATGCCATCTTGCTACTCAACCAACTTTATATCTTCCACATCTCAGAGATAAACACTACAGACTACTACTTCACAAAACATACTTGCTTTCTGCAGCCAACAATGCGTGTCGTCGAGTCATTCCTCCATAGATGGACGCTAACAGCGATCATAGCGAGGAAACGTGAAATAAACTATTTGCACGCTAAAAACTACCTAGTCTGCAAGATGACATTTTGTCGATAAAAATATTGACAGATTACGGGATCTTGTGCGTTCAGATAGTCGATTGACAGTCAGAATGACCGGGAATGAGTTAAATTTGACTCACACCACCGTTCAGATTTTGAGAATTGAATTGAGAATGAGAAAAATCTGCGCAAAAATTGTCCCAAACAACATTTCGCAAGGCCAAAAGGGCATCAGGAAGGAAAGGTGCTTTGCCTGTTTTAATTCGATTGAAAATGACCATTTTCTGAAACGTGCCATTACTGAAAACTAGTCTTGGGTGTTTAAGTACGACCTAGAAACCAAGCGACACAACATGAGGTGACACACTTCAATCTCTCCAAGGCCCAAAAAAGCTAAAAAAAAAACAAAGTCGAAGATCATGCTGATTTGTTTTTTCGATATCCACGGAATCGCCCACAAAGAGTTTCTACCTCAAGGCCAAACGGTGAATCAACATTTCTCGAAAAACTTCAAAAAAGGTTCATTTGTGCGAGACCAAATAAACATCAAGAACAACTGGCTGTTGTATCACGATAATGCTCCTTGTCACACAGCAATGTCAATAAATGAGTTTTTGGCCAGTAAACAAATTCTTGTGGCTCCTCAGCCTCCTTATTTGCCTAACTTGAGTTCTTGCGACTTTTTTCTTTTACCGAAGTTGAAAAATCATCTGAAGGGAAGTCATTTTAGGACAGAAAAACCGACACCGGCTATTCTCGTATCGTAGTTCCAGCACTGCTGTCAGGAGTGGAAGAACCTTGTCCAGCGCCTTGTAGCTTCAGAAGGAAATTATTTTGAGTGTGACAAAAAACTGTAATTATATTTGATTAGAAAAATTGAAAAGCCTGACTCATTACTTAATTTACTGATCTCGTAAGATACATAACGCCATATCTTCTGATGGAATATGTTAATCAATGCTGCTACACCCGTCATGGTAAATAACGGCAGAAGGTATACAGGGCGGCCCAACGAAAAGGTCGCACCCCTATTTGTGACTCTCCTGGTACATTTTTGGAAAACAAGTCAACTTTGATTTCTAGGGGGACGTCTTTTCATTTATATCCGTACAATACAGGGTGATTCAAAAATAAGATATTGTCTCGTATAACGGCAAACAATATTTTACGAACAAAATATAACTGCATTTTTAGGTCTAATTTTCAAGAATTCAAGATAATGTTGACTAAAAGCATGTATTATAATTACGTGGAAATACGTGTATTAATCAACATAATTTTGTCTGCACCTACAAGCGTGTTATCTATGTGGAGTGCTAATGAATGAATATGTAGGCATGACAAAACCACGTAAATAATGACCACACCTTTTATTGTGGGGACTGCCCTGTTCATAATGTACTACATCACCGCCTGTGTTATTACATTTACATACCATGAAAATAGTATGAAGAAAATTGTGGTATTTATATCAACGTCAGGGCCCACCTTCTTCCATTTAGATTTAAAATTCGTGTCCCAAAAATACATATCAAGCATGCATCATACAGGGTAGCCCAACGAAAAGGTCCGCACCCCTATTTGTGACTATCCTGGTATATTTTGGGAAAAACCCTCGGACAGGTCAATTTTGACTTTTAGGGGGACGTCTTTTCATCTATAGCCGTACAATACAGGGTGATCCAAAAATAAGATATTGCGTTACACTTTAGGGACCCTCGCTTTTATATTTTACATGAAGTTTTTAGTAACTTTTGTATAATAAAGTTTATACCTATCTTCAATCATTGTGAAGCTATTTGAGTTTATAATAAAATTCTAGAAATTGTGATAGTAAGTAAAAACAATAGTCAATATAGTTCCCATAGTACAAGAGTTTAAAATTGAAAACAAGACCCGAGTATTAAAAAAAATGCACCATTTTGTTCGAAATGAATGTAATTTTTATTATAATTAAAGTCATTTTATCAAACTTCGGTAATGTCCAAGAACGTCTCGCCAGTCAAATTTCCAGGATCAAAGAAAGGTCCTACCATATGATTTCCGAAAATGCCGGCCCATACATTGATTTTTTCAGGATATTGCGAGTGTACCTCTAGAAAAAAATGTAGATTCGAGTCACTCCAATATCGACAATTATGTCTATTTACAACACCATGTAAGTAGAACGTACACTCATCCGAAAAACATTAATTCTCAAAACTCAAACCTATGAAAATCGTTTTCATGATTGTCTTTCAAAATTCTTAATACTGTTGAGCGTGTAGATCATGAAGAAGTAGCCAGTCCACGAGTGCTTTGGGTATTGTCAAGTGCTACGTGTCCCAAAACTGCTATTTTAGCGGGTTCATTTCTAATTGGTCGATTTTCTCGATGACGATTACCGCGATTAGACGCAGATCCCGTTTCTTCAAACTACTTATCGTTAATATTTTTGTCTGGATGTAACGCAATAAACAACCGGGCAGTAACTCTTCCAATGCTCCCATTTCAGTAATACAGTTTTGTTATTTCTACCCTTGAATGCAGTAAGTGATTGCTCAATATTTATCACAACTTAGTAGGTAACTTAACAATTTGAAATGAAAGACACAGTTTTTCTATGACATACGATGACAC